TTTTAAGATAGGATAAGATGTTGATGATTCCAAGATGAGATAAGAAGTTGCGATTTTTGAGATGATTCGATTATGATTTGAGATTGAGAATTGAGATTCGAAGCTTTTGAATATGAGATTATGACTTGAAGATATCTGAATTTAAATAGTGAACTGAACTCAAGTTGTGAATTGAACTCAAGTGGTGAACTGAACTCAAAGGGTGAACCGAACTCAAAAGATGCACTGAACTCTTGAACTCTTGAGCATTTTGAATTATTCGCAAGTCTTGCAAAGATCTTGTAGATATGACTATCAATCAATGGCGCGCGGCAAGTTCTGGGAGCACCTAAATCCAGTCTGTCACGCTGTTTGGCTCTTTTCTCATTCGTCATCGTAGCTCCTTTGCCAACGAGGACCCCAAACAGGCTTACAATCGGCCTCATTTATTTTTGCCCAGTCCCCAATACAAGCGCTTTGTCTACTTTGCGCTCTCCCGGCTCTGTTTTTCGTGCATCATGACAAATTATTTGATTTCAACTTTGTCAATTTCGAGCCTGGCGCTTCCATAGACAACCAAGACCGGCCGGGCCAGTGTGATTGCCGGGCAATGCCTGTTTCGGAGTGCTTGCGTGGGTCACTATATCACAAGCTGGGTGATCCGACAAAGACCGACTTCGCTTGTCAGATGGGTAGCCCCATTTTTCGGTGTGTGCATCGCCCTGCGAGTCACAAGGCTGGAGGGACTACCGCCGCCAGCTGCCAGGCGGTGAACTGCCTCAAGCGCACGAGTGTCGAGATGTGCAACGCAAATCAGCAAGATTCTTCCCCCTGTTGTATTACGGAGCCTGCATTCTTTCCCAGACCAGTGCTCTTGTCCGATCTCGGACAAGTCGGTCGAGATCTCCGCCCCCGTATGACAGACAGTGCACAAGCCCCCCTCCCCCTCATTTGTATAGTATAAACGGCAGCACAAGAAGCATGAGCATCAGGAGTAAGAATGCCGGTTTTGCATGACAAATTTGCACTGGAGTGTAGTGCTATTTGGACTACCAAAAGTTGTCATGCAAAGAGTGCCACGAGGCAAACGAAAGGTTGGATTGGGTATTTTGCACGACAAATGAGGGGGAGGGGGAGTTGTGCACTTCCATACCCCGGCGCGAGGAAACTACGAACCGACTCTCCCTGGACAACCGCGCGAGTACCTGGCGCTGCCCCTTGGAGCCCCGGCACGCACTGGCGCTAGTCGCGAGCGTGCTTTTAGAAGACCTGCTACCGCACACCTCCGGGGAAGAAACCGGTGCTGCTAGCACGACGACAAAGTTCGAAGCATTGCAAGTCGAGCTAGCCAAGCTCGTCTCGGGGCCCAAGGCCCTTTGGCAAAAGCTGGCGGTGCCTCGGAATTCGGTCTTCTCGGACGATTATGAAAGCCTCAGGTTGAAAATCCTCAAAGTGAATAATTTGCATAATGCAAATAAACGACTCCAGTTGAAGCACCATTTCTAGTCGGCGCATAACAAATTTCCCGGGCACTCAAAGCGTGTCTGTCATGCTAGTTCGGCAAAGGGGTGCCCTTCTCTCGTGCTAATCAGCGGCCCAATTCTGGACCCGTAGAAGCACAATCGTCGGCCTCCATTGCGTTCTCTGCAATAGCAATACTACAGTCTTTCTGGTGTCGCATTTCATTATAACCCGCTCAGGTATTAAATTCAGCACGAGTTTGAAAAAAAAGCAACTGCTTTCCTTTTTCGTCTTTGAAACCGAAAAAAACAACCATCGCCAATTTTGATCAAATTGGAAAGTTGATCCGCGTGCTATGCTGGTCCTCGGAGCTCTCGGACCTGTGAAAAAACCTAAAATATAACAAAAAAAGCGCACTTTTGGAGATTTTGAAAAGCTAACCACGACGGTGCGGGGTCTCTTTTTCCTTTCGGACCTGTGAAAAAACTACTTTTCCGGATCCGGCAGAAACGGGCCGGGTTTTTGGGTCCATTCTTGGACCCTTCCCACGGCGGTATGAGGTCGATTGATTTCAGATGTTAACGCCCCCCCTGGAGGGGGGGTGCTTCCTCATCCAGGTTTTCTTGCAGAAAAAGCTTGCTCTTCTCTTGTATAAAGTGTTGCCTTTCCAAAGATCGAAACCGCGCCGGCACCTTCGCCATACCACCGGCGGACTTACCGTTTAGGGACACATCAACAAGAGAACTGGAAGACCTTCGGACCAGCTAGCTTAAGAGCTGGGCTTTGAAGTAGCGACTTTAAATGGCGACGATTTGAGAAATAGCGGCTCGCTTTTTTTCAAAATATCGCTGAATTTAATTCCTGAGCGGGTTATATTCATGCATCACAAATTATTTCCACTTTGAGAATTTCCATTCTGAGGCTTTGTTCATAACGACGATGATGAACTTTCTGCGAGGACGGAAGAACAGAAAAGGGCCGACAGGAAAGAGGACGAGTCCTTTCGGAGTATAGATAAGCGTCTGGAAGAAGAGTGCAAAACTGTTGAAAACCCACAGTACGTTACTAGCGCAAAGGATCTAGCACTAGCAAAGTCGCACGTGCGAAACGTGGTTTTCGCCTTCGCGCTTCAGCTTAGAGCGGCTCCCCCCCCGCGCGATGACCCCAGCGCTTTGCGATGGACGGAGCTCGGTGATGTGCTGCACATGGCAATGACATTCAGCTCGGTGTTTGGATCCATAAAAAAGAGACCCGCAAATGCCCCGGCGGCAGCTTCGGGGAGACCTGTCATGTGCGATGCGCTCTTTGCGGATGAGAAAAAAATGGAGACATTTTGGACCCAGTACCGTGCTTCGCCGGCGAGTGACGCAACGGGAAAGCAACGAGTCTACACCGAGAGTGCAGGCGACTTGATATTGGAGGCGATTGCGGTGGTCTTTATGACGGAGAACATAGGAGCCTTTACGGAGCTAACGAGAATTGCGCGTGGGCTTGAATGGTACTACTTACAAGGAGGCTCCCACGCGGATTCGGGTATCGGCCCGGTGTGCCTAGGCGAATCCATCTTCGGCGATCTGTCGAGCAGACTTTTCGAACCCGATATTGATTCTGACGAGCCCGGCGAAATTCCGGCGAAGCAGCTTTCCGCTATATTTTGCCCGCGAACTACCAACGAAGCGAAGGGGCAGCAGAGGCAACAGGGAGCAGGATCGTACCGGCTTTTGTCCTGCGTGCAGAGCGCGTTGTTGAAAATGCCAAGGAACGCGCTGTGCGATCCGTTGCGGCGACCAGGGTCGGTCGCGGACGGGAGCGCGAGCTCCGCCTCGGGCAACTACGGCGACTGGCACGTATGGCTTGCTGAGATGGCACAGTTCTCAGCTGGTGCTTTTTTTGTCATCTTCCATGCATATTGTGAAATTTGAAAACGACCGAGATCAACATCAAGGAGTAGAAGATCAAGAAGAATAACATAATTAATTCCAAGCCGAAGCATCTGCTGCTTTTGCTTGCACCAACCAGCAACTCTTCATTCGTTTGGTTTTCAAACCGGCTGGGATCTTGGAAGCAGTGCACAGCCCACCCGCGGCTTGCTTGTGAACTAGCAAGCCGCGGGTGGGCGTGGTTTCACTGCTTGTTCTAAAAGTAAAAGCAGCAGTTGCTTATGTTGGTTTAAGTTTAAAACTTCGTAGGTTTCTCTTTCACTTTCAGTTTCAGAGGACATAATCTGCTGCACTTGAGACTGTGACGTTTGAAAAGGCCAGAGCGCGCTCGCGGATATTCTGCATTCATAAACTTACGAAGGGGAAAAATAGCTTAGGAGTACGCGTTGATAGATTTGCTTCAGCAAGGATTGTATCGGGAAAGGGGGGTGGGCTTTGCGGGGTGCGGCCAGACGCAACAGCCAGCGTTTTGGTGTCGAGGAGGAGCAGGTTGACGTCGACTCATTTTGTTTTATAGGAATGCTTTATACAAGAAGCAAATCTTCATCTTGCCAAAAGTATATAACATACGCGACTCGTTTTTATTTTTATATCAATCGCGATCGCGAATATATAGCCGGGAAACCTGAAATGCCACACGGCAAATTAAAGCCAAAGCTTCCAGCTCGTCTAAGTATGTATATGATACTCCGGGTTCCCGGGAAACCGGGAATAAGTATACAGAAACCGGGAAACCGGGAAGCCCTGAAGTGGTTTCGGGTAAACCGGGAAACCGGGGGGCTCTTGAGTGGTTTCGGGTAGGGGTATCCCTGGAGAGGCTTCGGGTAACGGTATCCCTGGAGTGGTTTCGGGTAAGGGTATCCCTGGAGAGGTTTCGGGTAAGGGTATCCCTGGGGTGGCTTCGGGTAAGGGTATCCCTGGAGTGGTTTCGGATAAGGGTATCCCTGGAGTGGTTTCGGATAAGGGTAAGTATCCCTGGAGTGGTTTCGGATAAGGGTACGCGGGGGGTGATAAAGTGCTTCACGATTTCAGTGCTTTCGGGCATTTTCCACCTTTCCCGCGTCTATATAAATAATAAATTGAAGGGCTATAAGGGAAAAAGTCATAACATCCTTCAGAAGAAAAACCTTCTGAAGAATCTTCAGAAGAATCAGAAAACCTTCAGAAGAAGATCCAAACGTCGGCACTTTTTTTGACGCGCAAAACTGAAACGGAGTCAGGTCCTGAATTGCCCAAGTTTCGCCTTTTTCGAAAACCTTCAGAAGACTCATACCTTCAGTAGGTGCGTTGTAACCTTCAGAAGATTTTTGGCCCAAAAAACCTTCTGAAGGTTTGCCAAAAATAATTCTTGACCTTCTTGAAGGTTTTGGCCTTCTGAAGGTCGTTTTTTCAAAACCTTCTGAAGGTGGAAAACGAAAGTTGCCGCTTTCTATCAAAAAACGCGAAAAAAATGGCGCAACTTTTTTTGACCTTCTGAAGGGCAAAAAATCTTCCTGAAGAGCTTCTGAAGATTAGGCTTTCAAAACCTTCTGAAGCTTTCTTCTGAAGGTTTTGCTAACTTTGCGTTGTAGTTTAAACACAAGCAAAAGGCTTCAGCATTGACTCAAACTGCGCCCGGCTCGTGATGAAGTTCCGGCTGACGCAAAGCGAAGGCGCACCCTTTTTAGCAGAGGCGCCGGCGCCAGTCGGACGCTTTTCGCCGTGTGAAAAGAGCCCGACTGGGTATCGCTCGCGTTTAGATGCTTCGCGCATTTCCCTCGCGATTCTGCGCCTCGGGAGCTCGAAGGCCTTCGCGAAACGGAGCGAGAAGTCACTGAGTTCGCACTTTTCGAAAATTGTCACTCTGGGAAGAGTGAACGCGACTCCGATTCCAGAGTGAGAATTTTTCAAAAGTGAGAAGTTAGTCACTGACTTCTCACTCCGTTTTTCGAAGGCCATCGAGAAACGCAGTGAGAAGGCAGCGACTCCTCACTTTTCCAAATGGAAAGCAAACTTTTCGGAAGTGTTTCACTTTTCCAGAATGAAATCTCTCCAGCAAGGAGAAGTCAGCGGCTTCCAGAATGAAAACTTTCCAGAAGTTGGAGGTCAGTGACTTCTCATGTTTCCAAGGAAGCGCGCACTTTTTGGCTCCGAGTCCGATTTTCGAGGACAAAGTGAAAATTTTCCCGAAGTGAGAAGTCGCGGACTCTTCGCCCCGTACGTTTCTCGACGGGAGGCAGGCCCCTTGTTTCTCAAAAATTTTTCCAAACAGAAGGCAGGCCACTTGTGACCCATGCGCGCACGCGCGCCGCGTTTGCGAAATTCCCGCGCTGCCACGCCTCGAAGGCCTTCGGGGATGTTTTCCGGCTATTAATTCTATCAGAGGGTGGCGAGCCATGCGCTTTGATTTGAAAGCAATTGCAGCGAACCTGAGTGATGTATATACTTTTTCCCACGCGGCGCACGCCGCGTGGATTGGTTCTTATTAACTAACAACGCGAGCGCCAGCTTCGCCACCTGTGTGTAGGACGATTGCGCGACAACTCAGAAACTCCAAAAAGCGCAGCGCTAGACTCAGAAACCAAGGCGACAGTAGCCAACTACCAAAGACCGGACGGGGGCGGGAGCGCCGACCAGCCGGGCAGGGGCGCCCTGCGTCCTCGCCACACGCGCCACTATTTCTAATTGCAAAACGCACGCCCTGCGCCGCGGCGCGCCGAGCAGCGCGCCGCGGCACTTGTAAACTTGCTCACGACCTCCCTCCACCATGAGCATGGCGCCCCCTGCTCGCGGTCCTTCAAGCTGAGGGATGTATGGCGCCGGGGCAGCTCTTGTGGGGTTGACCTGCTTGCCCTTGCCCGTCGTAATTGCGCTTCCGGCTCTTGTCTGGCCGTGGCCCGGGGCTTCATTCCTCCCACCCGTTTCGTCTTGTGAATTGTGGACCAAGATCGAGGACTTCGAGAGCTAAAGCCCAGACGCAACCCCCCGAGCCCGGCCGATCGCACAAACCGAAGTAAGAGCCAGAAGAAAACGCCCAAGCCTGTTAGCTACCCAAGCCCCAACAGGAAATCCAAGCCCAAGCGCTTAACTTCAATCCATCCCGAAGCTTCACCGATGCCCCGCGCCATCGGTGTGCGCGGCCTGCTTCGTCCCGGTGTTGCTTCTCGTCGGCTTCTGGGGTTTGTCGTCTTTCCGGCCTCTTGCATGCATTCCCCCACTCTCCGACGCGCCGGCCTCAGTAAGTGCCTTCCTATTTTCTAGCCGCTGAGACGGGACCCCACCCCCATCCGAAGGGCGAGCGGGACTATACCCAGCGTGGTAAGAAGAGGCCGCGGGGTGCCGGCACCCCAAAAACATGGTAAAAACTGTGGCCGGTTTCCGGCGCCGAGCGACTCCTCACGTTTGGGAAACAGCACGCGCGCAGTTGTGTGAAGGCCCTCCCGTAATTCATTCGCCCGCCCACTCCATTGGCTACCTCGCCGGACTAACACCAGCAGGGCTGCCCCCGGAGGGCGGCCCATCTCTCGCGACGTTCGCCCGTGCGTTTTAGTGCAAGGCCGAGCCCGCGGATGAGGCCCGGTCTTGTTTTGGATGGCAAGCTTTTTGGGGTGGGTGTGGTCGTGGACGCGGCCGACGCGTCGAAAGCTCCCTCGATAGCCATGCATCGTGACCAGCATGGCAAGTCTTGCAGCCACCCAGTGCGTGGAGCCGCACAGGTTTGCAACGCTATAGCATGCGCTACGCTGTCAGACAATATATAAACAAACGCGACGCGGCCGCGTTACCGCGACTGGCTTTCGATGTGACTAATAAATGGGCACGCGCTCTAATACTACGGGCGGGCGTTGGATTCAAAATAGCTAGGGCGAAGCCTCCTCGTCCTCGGCGAGGAGACGAAGCAGTGGCACGCCGGCGAGTTGCAGTTGCTGCAAGGGTGCGCTTGAAAAGCAACTGCCCAAGCGTGCGACGGTAGCGTCTCCTTTCCATTTCGTCGTAGGCAGCATGGTGCTAGTCCTGGGCGCAGCCTACAGAAGTAGAAGAACGAAAGAAAAGGGCTCCGCGAAGAACGAGGCGAGCGCGGATGGATATTGGGCGCGGCCCTCAGTTCTTCGCGTGGGGATAAGCAAACCGCTTCCGCCGCGCGAAGGTGTCGGGCAGTAGCCCAAGACATAACTCGACGCAAGCTGCTCGCTTGCGGCAAGCACTACCGTGAACAGACGACAGGCGCCCCCCCCTCAAATCCGGCAACAAGCGACGGCCCCCCGAATGCCCCCCGTCAATCGTGGTCGCCAAAAGCCGCGGGGGCTAAGACCTTCCTCCCGGCGTCAATGCGTCTACTGTGGTTGGGTAGCGCAATGCCCTCTCCGTGTGATCTCGGGCACCCGGGGAAGATTATAACACTGCCGGCGTCTGCATCATCTAAAGCGACGACGGGGACCTTCTGTCCGTCTTTCTTGATAGCGATTTGTTGTAGCGGCCGTGCCCACCGGCGGGCTGAACGCATCCGGCGCCTGCTTCTGTGAATTCCAATGCAGCGACATTGGGGGTGGAGTGCCTATGGATGAAATGTTGACTATATATTTTTTTCGCAAAGCATGTTACTTCTAACTCGTGAGCGAACTTTTCCCCGTAGTAAAGTGCTTTCGTGCGGTATTCTTATGGAGCCCGTTTGCGGAAGAGAGAGCAACAGCGCTTCGGGGGCCGGGGCGTATACAGTGACGTCGAGGCCTCTGCACCCGGTCGTAGTTCGGCAGCAGTAGCCGCAAACTTTTGCAAAAGCCCACTGGCTAATTTCGACGCAGACGCGAATCCCGACCGGGGGACAACGTCGAGTTACCGAGACGAGAGCCCTCGCACCAAACGACTTCGGCAGCTCAAACGCGTCGAGTTCTTTCTGAACGGTGCACAAGTGTTTCATCACAACTTCGAGCTTGGTGCTAATCAGAACTGCCTCCGAAACGCGATGGAGAAGGGCTTCGCAGCTCTACACAATGTAATTTCGAGTAAACCGTTCTCGGTCGCTGATTGCGTTGCAGAGAAATTGAAGCCCGCTATCAACCGCTGGAGCGTCTTTGTAACCCTTCCACAGCAGTGGGCCGCGCTCATCAGTCGCGCGTCGTTTTATTTGCCGTTCTACGCATACGAAAACAAAGACCTTGATCCGTTTCGGCGATCAACAACAACAAAAGACAAAGAGTTCCAGATTAATCGGTTTGACCTCCGCAACAAAGACCCCCCCCATTCATGGGAGGCCGTCGACAAGAACCGTGATGGCCCCTTGACCTTCGCGGAGTGCCCCGGTGGGCAGTATGATCCACATGTCTACGATCGTCGAGACTCCGGCGCCCTACAACAACGTAAACTCGACGACGAGACCGGAGCGCAGGCTTTATCACGGTGGAGGTACTCCGTCGTGAACGGTGTGCGCCAAATGAGTCAGCCGGCTCTCGATGCCATGCTGCACCTCTCCGCGGGTGGCCTCTTCGCTAGTGGGAGAAGGTTCCCCATTCTGACGCCGACAGAGGAAGAACAAGAAGAAAAGACGCAACTCCCAGCAGCAAGCACCACCTCAAGCGGCGAAAGCGGGTCCACATCTCCATCCGTCTCAAGAAGCGACGAAAGGAGCAGGAACTTCCGCCTTCTTTCTGTAGACGAGGAGCAGCGAGCGAGTCCGCTTGTGGAGCTGCACTTGTTATGTAGTTTGTCACTATTATCGGAGACAGTACCCGCATTTACGGAGGATCCCGGCTCGCTGCTGCCCTTTCTCTGGCACATGAGAAACATGCTCTGGGTCTTGCGGTTCGGTTTTCGTGCAGCAGTATTGACAGCCTACAGCAAACCCCAACAGAGGAATGATGCTGGTGCTACCACCCCCAGAGATGCGAGAGTGTTGCTGTTTGATCCGTATCTAACGACATTGGACCACTCCCGCACTTGGGTTACGGCGTCCGGAGGAGGGGGAATTCTTGCTGCGAAAGGAATTGATCACCGGGATATGATTGCCGATGCTTGGGATACCGTTTGGCAACCAGCAGTACTGGAGAAAGGCAAGCGTTACAACTCTTGAAAAGCATTATGCATCTTTGCGATTCCGGGTTTTGTATGTGTTCACTTCCGCAAGTTACAGGAACAGGGAGGCACCAGCAGGGCCTCACCTGAAGGCTTTTTTGCGGTTTGCGGAAAATATCTTGCCGGGCTGTTGGCCACCCCACCGCTTTTCCCGCAATTTGCCCGCTTTGTTTTTTGCGTCTCCTTCATTCTGGTGCTTTGGTGCGTCCTTTCCGGGCGGGCATCCATTTGCTGGGACAATGCGGGGGCGGGGCGGGTTTACGAACATAAGAAGCAGGCACTGGCACCCCATCTCTCCGCTGCTGCCTAACGGCCTGGCATTACGCCGGCAAACTGATTGGCGCTACGTCGCGCCGCGCCATCGTGGAACAGGCGCCGCAGCAACTCCGTAGCGATGGCATTGCGCGACTTCCGCGGCTCAGATATCTTGAGATGTTTTCTGTGTGTGCTGAGGGCTGTAGAAGATCAGGAAGGCGAACAAAATAAGCCGCTTCAGTTTTATCAAATGCATTAATAGAAATATGTCTGAGTCTGGAAGAGTCCAGTCCGAGTTTGTCATGCTAAATCTGATCGACGCAAAAATTTCAATTTGTATTGCGTGACCAGCAAACGTCATCGCTTTTGGTTACCAGATGGCGGCATTTCTAATGCGGATTCAGCATTGAGTAGCCTTCTCAAAACTTCTTGTGACGCTAGAGCCCACATTCCAGACCTTCTGGCTCTGCTTCTGGCTCATGCGAAAGCTGCATAACAAAGCTCGCATCCTTCCAGAACCAATAACAAGAACGCACTCGCAGTGAATAAGTTTTACTCTCGGGCGACTTCGCGAAATCTTTCCGATTTTGCTTCAATTTTGCGCCAGTTTTTGAGACAGGCCGGCGCTAGCAGCTGTCAGGCTCTGTGCCCTTTATTTGCAAAGTATTTGCAAAATTTTTGTAAAACTAAAGCAAGACCGGAAGCGACCGCGAAAGTGATTTTTTAAACAAAGCACGACGACGCGAAAATCCGGAAACCTCGGAAAGTCCTGGCTCTCTCGAATTCGTTTCAACGTCAAACACTTGATCACAGGGCCAGCAGCTATCTCTGTCGCAACGACCCAAAGCAAAAACTTCCTGCGCAGGCCAGAAAAGTTGCAGCCTCTGCGCATGGATGCCCATATCTGTCCGGGAGTCGTTCCCAGCACTTACGCTGGCCGTTTTGTTTCTACGCCGGTCTGGAACGCCCTGGGCTTTTGTAGTCCAACCTTGACCAACCCCGCCCACATCAGGCTGGCCGATTATTTCTTATTCTTCTGGCTGGAGATAAGGAAGGCTGCGACCTGGCCCATCGCCATCATCAGCACGATCATTTTTGTAAAATTAAAACTGAACGTCGTCGAAACCCGGAAGCAATTACTTGCGTGATGCTTTTCGCGAGTAGAGCAATTCCGAGCGACAGACTCGCGCATCTGGGCACCAACAAGACGACGGTGTGAAGGCTTCCACAACTCCGAGCATCGCTTCTCCCTGGATGTTTCACGACTCACTGCCAAAACTTGGCAAGAGCATGGTTGGCGCCCTAAAGGAAGAGGCATTTGCGCGCCCGACGCAGAGCGCAGCCGGCAAAAGTGGAACACTGCAGGAAGACCTACATGAAAGTAAAAAGCTGATGAAGGACCTTCATGACGAGTACAAAAAGGCCGGTCGGAATGAGCACACAATCCCGCCCTATGGCTCCGAACCCGACGAAGAGAAAGAGGATTGCGGGCCGACGCCGATAGATAAAGGGGACTGCGAAGACCTGAAGCCGCTGAAAATATGGGAACACAAGTACGTTCCACCAGGGATCGCCATCGCAGACCGGGCGTCGCTGTTCGCCATCTCAGACCTTGCCTCTCTCTCTGGGAACGGAGTGATATATGCCCGTAACTTCAGACAGCAGCGATTTAAAACTTGGAAGAAATTCGTAGACTGGGCAGGAGGGGACGAGACGGCGGTAAGAAACTTCGATAAAGATATTAATAAAAAAAGTGCAGTAGCCTTTGCTAAAAAGTTTGTTCCGAAGCCGTTCTATTGCGGATCGGCGGTTGCAGTATCGCGGCGAGCTTACTCGTTCACCACTGACATCGCCAGACTGGTTTTGGTTCAGATTGTGCTAAACGAGATCCAGTTTGGAACTGAAGGCAGTATCAGCCGCGAAGGAAAAATTTCGGCGCTAGGAAGCCAACTGCTCAGGGTCGGCGATGATACGAGGTTTAGTAGCTACGTTCTATCTGATCACAAGATCTACAACCTCGCTATTTATTTTCTGCGGCTGCTACGTATTCAAGACGACGTAAATGCGCGTGGGGAAGGGGACAAGAGAGATAAAAAGCTCGGAATTGTGCAGTTTCATGAGTGGACATTCAACGCGGACTTCACTCTTCGGACACATCTTTCGTTGGCCTCTGGTCTCGATCCTCTCTGGGCTTTAAAAAAAATCGGCAAGGCAGTGCGAAGCTTGAACTCGGATGATTGGTCTTCGAAGGGGTCCGACGCATCCTGCCCGGATTGGAAGACTGCGCTCAAGAATCCCTGCGACGGAAATATGGGTGGTTTGAGTATGAGTAGACAATGTTACCTGGACTTGGAGAGTTTCGAGATGTCGAATGCGTTGAATGACCGGAACGCTTGGCCATGGCGAGGCGATCGATGTATCTTCAGCGCTTGGGGTGGTAATGGTTGGGCCGCGTCGAACGCTGCTTTTTCCTGGGCTCTGAATTTGAACGGCAACGGTCTCCTGGCACAACGTGGTTTGTCAAGCCTTGACGCTACACAGTATGGCTATCGACAGGCGACGTTTAATATCATGCAGGCCTGGAGGGCGATGATCTGCAACAGGTTTGTTGTGGCAAGCCCGAGATACCTGGAAATGAACGAAAAGTATCCGCTCCCGGATATTCAGGCGTTCCGCTTTCTCAGCTACGACGGCAACACGTTCTGCCGCGAGCAGACTGTCGCAGAGAGTCGTAATTTTGGGGGTCTTATCCGCGGTGACCTTGAGCGCAGCCCACAAGGACATAACAATGCCAAGAATACGTGGCGGAGCGTCGCTATCAACCCTTCGGGCTTTTTTGCCAGTGGAGACGGAGGGCGAGAGGGCAAAAAGTTGCAAGAATTTTGTGTCGCTGATTTGATGTGGCCTTTCACATCAACGTTTGCGCCGTTCGAGCAAGCCAGTCCCCAAGATCAAGCAGAAGCGCTTCTGCAGTTGAAGTGGCGGATGGCCGAGTATGATGCAACACAAAAGACAAAGGATGATTATTGGAAACAGAGGAAAAGCGCACAAGAGCCATTCATGATGAATATGCGTAAAGATAAAAGCGAGAGTGCAAAGAATGACGACACTCTTGCTGGAAGGGTGAGCTTGGCTCGGTTGGTTCCCCAAGAAGACCTCACGGCTTTGCGTAAAATAGGCACAGACGACCACAGATTTAATAGCCGGATCCCCAATCAAAAAGACTTGCTGATCGAGTACGAGAATCAGGATCTTTTTTTCCATCTTTCCGGGACCCTGGAAATGCACGAGCAAAAGGATGCTCAGACGCCTGAACCTCATGCGCCGTGTGTGCCTGCCCGCCCCAGCCAGGATGGAAGAAAAGACCCTCGTCCGGAGTGGAGCAAGACCATACTCGAAGAGCAAGAACAGGCAGTACCCTAGTAGTCACCAGCACGCCCAGCAGCTACTCTTCTTCATGTGCTCGAGTGGGGGTAGTAGCAAGATCTGCACATAGGCGCACAGCCCTAGAAATTAAAAGAGTAGCGATGGAACAACTCCGGGAAGTTGTAGCCGCGTCTGCGTCTACTAGGACAATAGCCCTTGGCTGGGAGATCTCAGCCTGTTCGCGAGAAGTAATCTGGCGTCAGTTGGTAACTAGTCTAGCGCCGTTTGCTGGCGAGGTGGTAGCTGCTGAAAGTCTAGCAGCCTCTCCCCGGAGCGGCCCGCCCGGCGCGGAAGCGTTCTGTCCTCAGCGCGACAAGAAAAGGCCTAGTACGGTAGCCATCCTTGACGTTGCCGCGACGCTGGTAGTGGTAGCCTATGCAATGCCGGCATGCTAGGCAATTACTCTGTCGGAAGCAGAAGCGCAAGCATAGCCAGCCAGCCGCTACCTTTTTCATGAGTAGAAGCCTGCCGTTGGGCAGGCCAGCATCTATTGGTCGCCAGCGCCACGGGCCAGGCGCAGGTGGCGGGCCCCGAAATTATAATTACTGGCTGCATAATTGCAGAGCATCTGCATCATCGCGCACGAGCTAAAGACAGGCATGCTGGGCGTCCATTTCCATGAGAGAGATGCCAAATCTCCCCAGCAGCAAGAGGCCCCCGCAGATGGCAGAAGATGAACGCGTCTCGGCTAAAATTGGGTGGCTGTGGCCCTGCTCCTCACGGTCATGGTGATGTCGACGTCCGTGTTGTAATCTATTGGGTTTGGGTGCGCCAGCGGATACAATTGCAAGTAGTGACTATGACTAAAAGTAGTTGCCCTTCATTGATACTTTTCCTAATTTGTTTGCGATCTAGTGTCGTCGAGCTCCGGACGCCTTTCGGCACAAGTACCAGCCCAAAGCAGCAACCGGTAGCGTCGCGCGGGGCCGTTTTTTAGATCTTTGGTCTTTGAAAGTGATCCGAGCTGAGAACGAAGGCCAGCAGGTGCAGGGGCAGCCTTCAGCTGGATCGCAGTGGTCCAGACGTACGTCTTCAATACCGAAGCACCCAGGAGGTAGCGCACCGACGGGGGCTCCCGGGGCCCGCCCGGCAAGAACTTTAGCGCAAGCGTGTTGAGCCCGGGCACTCACAGTGCCCGCCATGCCTTTAGCTCAGAACCCGCCTCGCCGGTTGCGCCGAGGAGTGGGAACTAGTGTACAGGGGGGCGGGCGGGACGCCTTTGTTTCCAACTCTTTGTTTGCGTTCGCTCGCCGCCAGTGGAGGTCCGGTCGGCCGCGAGGCGTCTGGACATAAGAAGTGGCCCATCCTCCACATCAGCTTCTTTCCGCCAGCGGTCGCCCTGAGTTGTTCTTTGCGCGGTCGATGTCTCCCAGCCGGCGACTCCGTGCGCTTGCATGTTTTGACCGCGCCCCTAAATGAAGAGGTTGTGGCGCCTTCTGAAAAACAAGATGAAGAAGAGCATGAGTGAAACTCGAACCGCTCTCGAGACGTACATGGCACAAAGTCAAAGAAAAATGGAAAGGCGAGAGCTGCTGCGTCGTGGTCGTGTTGCCCTCCATAATGAAAATCCGAAAAACGGTGCAGCAATTTCCGAACTGCCTGGTGTGTCCCGGAACGGGTGGCGTTCGATATCCAAAAAACAAATAGTAATAGAGCGGGCCCGGCGCAGGAGTTACTTTGGACGTGGTGCGTACGTATAGCAACGCGCTTGAGGTAGATGCGCGAGTGCTAGTCAGTGGTCGCAGCTTGTCGATGGCGCCTGCCCTACTTTCATCGCGTGCTATGAGAGAGCCACGCTGATGCTGATGTCTGGATGTTGGCGTTGCCCTTCCAGAAGTTAAAGCTACCCGGGCGGGCGGAGGTGCTTAGAGTTTTCTGTTGATGTTTTGCACAGCGCTCCACCTTCTTGTCTGAAAAAGACATTTGCTTTATCTTGCAGTTGGTGAGCAACAACAAGGTAAAAGCTCGCTACAACAGCTTATGACTCATCTCATTGTCATTCTTGTACACTCCCCCTTCCGCAAACTGTCTTCATGGTTTTTAAGATGGCGCGTGGTCTCCGTTTCAGTCGGTCTGTCCCTAGTTGTAGGCCCCGTGCTCTTATCGCAGGCGATGTCAGTTTGAGTTTATGCGAAACCACCGCAGAACCAACCACGCCGGGCCGCGTCGATTCTTTACAGCAAGAGCAGCCTACTTCCCTGGCCTTGCCTGGCATGCCGCGCAGGGCAAAGGAAAGCGCTTGTGCCCGTATGCCCGTGCTCGACGCCCTTGCCGTGTAGTACCGTGCTTCGTGCTGTTGTTTCGAACGATGGCCCACTCAGCCTCGCGCGAAGCAACAAAAGGAGCCCCAGGCCCTCCGGTTGCAGCGCGAGCACAATTCGGGGCAACCGACGCAACGCAAAGCGCCCGCAACCAATGGCAGAGCGCAGAGACTGAAAGTAGAAACTCGCCGCCATGTCCTAGACAAAAAAACGAATCGCCCCGCCCCCTCCTCTGGGCCTTGCCCCCGGTCATGTTGCTGTAGCACGCGGGCGCCTGCCTTTCCCATTCCCACGCTTTTCTTTTACGGATGATGGAGTTAGTGGGGGGACGAGCGCTCTTGTCCGACCTCTTTCCTAGCTTGCGCGGCTGGTCAATTGGCCTGGGTCTTCTAAGGGGCGCACTCATTGCCACTGGCCACTCGGCCTGTAAGCTGGCTTGTCCCGCCGGTTGGCCAACTGGCCTGTAGGTTTTGCCACGCCTTGCCACTGGCAGTAAGGAATCTCTGTGCCTGACAATTCGATCTCTGAGCTAATTGGCTCAGATGGCACTCCCTCGCGGGATTCATCACACACTGCGCCCGCGCCATTGTGTTTGCGCGTGAGATGTTGACTACTTCCAGCTGTTCGCTTGAATGTGTATGGGCCGACTGCCTGATGTGGTTCACTTCGCGCACGCTGCCACACGCTGGCGCCGACCGATGTTGTGCTTGATGTCGTTTGCAGATTTATCCTGAGGGGCCGCGCCTGGGCCAATTTGGCCAAAAAGTAAGCTGTCGCGGAATTTGACACGCGCGCGCGCGCCAAGGCGTAAGCGTACGCACTGGCGTAGTCCCAGTCCCGCAAACATGCACCCCCGGGGCCACCTGGATCCGACGGAGCGCGCCGCGGGACTTCGCATGTGCTCTTGGCTTCAAGGTGCCTGCACATCATGCCAAGGCTCGCAATTTCGTGGCGGAGCCAAGTTGCCCACGCACTTTCGTGGTGGAGCCAAGCCCAAGTTGCTGAGGCGGCCGCTTGTGACAGGGTAAGTAGGGCGCGCGCTACCATTTTTCTTCCTTCCGTGCGCCGGTGACAAACGCAAACCCCGCAAGCCTTTTTTCTAGGGTTATTGGCAGCTCACGCCCGCGACCAAGAATTGCCGGGCTTCTCACGTACCAACAGCAGCAGCAAGACGTCTACTCGCGCGTAGCACATCGCGCAAATCTCCCTTGCGCGTGACAGCTGCTTGCCCAGCGCAGGCACAGTCGACGCGCAGGATAAACGACCTCGCACGTTCTTGCTGGAAGGACCAGCTGGCCCAGGCGGCCGCCACTTGCTGCATTTTTTTGCCGTGCGCGAACAAGCGCGACAAGGCCCGTCGGGTCGCACCCTGATCGCGCAGGTTGCCCCCCTCGCGGCAAGTGCGTGACCTAGATGCGCATGGGCATGCGCCGCGTTGTCGAAACAGTGCGGGGCGTGCGCTGGCCGAGACGCGCACGAGTCGGGCCAGGAATTCAAAATCGGACGGTCTTCAGGGGTATTGGCGCGCTTAGGTGTGCCCTAGTGTTGCAGTGGTGGCCGGTGCGTGAAGGTCGATGATTCATTTAGCATTGATAGATCTTGACGGGCTGCCTCCTCGTTGAGCCACACACCAGCAATCGGTCACCAAAACCTGACGTCGGGCCGTCGAAGCGCCGTCGCGCGCTTCGTTTCCATACCCAGCGAGCTCGAGAAAGACCGCGAGGTTAATGAGGCCAAAAGTAAGACGGATTCGGGCTCCAGGGAAATTCCTGCAGGAAAAGGCCACCAGGCGAAACAACCAATAGTGCCAGGCGTGGATGATTTCGGGGGGCACTCATGGTGGGCCGCGGAGCAGAAGTCTTTCAGTGCGATCTGGGATTATGGGTGGCGAGTAATGCAGCACTCGGACGACGTAGCCAAAAGCGAAGAAAACCTGGTAACAAAGGGAAAACCCTTCCGGTTCAGAGACGGCACGACGGACTCCCGAGGCGTGTTTGGGTTCCAAAGCTCCGGATCAGAAGGCAAATCCGGAGGCGATCAACTGGAAGAGGCAGCGCGCGCCCTAACGTACGAGAGTTTGCTTGATACAATCGAAGTAGAAGGGCCGACGGACAGCACAGCAGCTAAGTATAAAGCGAAGACGAAATACGGCATAATTAACTCCAAATTGCTATTGCCGGAAAACAAGGACGTCAAAGAACTTGTCTCCGAGGCAGGCGAAAAGTTACTAGAGAAACACGGAGTGAATCTGGATCCTATCCTGTGCAAACTAATGCCCGCGGCCGCGCACACAAAACAATAACAAGCTTGCCAGGGTTGCTCGTCACTGCACAAGGTCAAGGAAAGCAGTTGACGCCTCGCCCGGCAGCGGTAGCGCAGTAGTTCCGATTCGTGCTACTTTCCATGTGACTTGTTTCCGAAAATTTTGTCAAGATCGAGTACAGACAAAGCCTCATATACAGTGACCCAAAGAAAAAGTATAAATGTGCAAGAGATGATGATGAAGATCAAGTAGCGGCGACTAATTTTCCCTTCGATCGAGAATTATCTATGTTGGGGGCGCTGGTGAGTTCGCACAGGATAGGTCTTGAGGATGTTTTGTTGCACCCGGATGTTTCCAGCCAGGTGGAACCGGAAAAAATACTTATGAACTTTCTACAAAAGGAAAAGGAGAAAAAAGCAGGGGACACCGGCACCGCGGGTACCGAAGCTCCGGTCAACAAGGCTTTGGCGATGCAACTCCTTGGAAAAAAAAATGTAGGCGATTCCGACAAGGCCTTAACTACGGAGCTGTACACCGACGAAGACAGCGAGCAAGCGAAGCGATTCCGCAAGCTTTTTGCCTTTCTCAGGGAGCATCAGCTTGCGGACATCACATCTCACACTCCTCACGTGATACGCGCCAGCTGCCAGTTCTTTTATTATGCTGCCCCCCTTGCTACCAACTTTCTTCAAGTCAAGGAAATGTACATAGGGGAGAACGAACACGAGCAGCAGTTGGCTGAAACTTGGTGGCACGAGTTCTTGGAGAACTGCAGCAAGGAGAACAAGGAGAACGACTCGACGAAAAAGCCCGCTTACAATGTGGAAATTCTAAAAATGCGCTTTCTGGCAAATGGACAGCCGGAAGTTAAGAACTCGCTGCTGCCTGTGGGCAAGGTGCACGCTGTAAGAGCCGCACTGTTCGACCTGTGTCAGGTCGTTGCGTTGCTGACGGGCGGTAAGGCGGCGGAGCAACTTTCCAGAAGGAACGTCGCACGGCTTCACGGAATTTTTGCAGAAGTGTTCGCAGACTACGTCGTCAAGGAGCTCAATAAGCTGGAAGGCAAAACGCTGAGCGAAGCCGACATATGGACGTCCGCAGGTATGAAGGACCTGCAGGCCTTTGTTCTCCTCTCCGGCGGTGTTTGGCGACATGGCGCACGTCTCGGTGGACAGCCAGTCTCAATGGCACGCGTGTCCAGCCTTGTCATGGGATTGATTTTCAACGGAGAAAAGCTTCCAAGTGAGGCAGCAACAACGCATCAAGACCAGAAGAACGTGAAGCAGGTTGCCCTTGTTCCCCTGATCATTGATTTGTTACGGCTCATGCAGTTCCCGATAGACCGACCTGATCCGCTTCAGATTGATAGTCAAAGCATTACGGTTTATGACAAAGAGAGTAGTATTAATAAAAAAGAAAAGCCAAAGCAACAGCGCTTCCGCGGTGTTCGGCACCACCAAGCGGATGAGCTTGTGACAGCGTATTGCTCGTCGAACTCCCCGCCCGAGGACGGAGGATTGTGCACGGCGACGGAGTTTGCGCCCCGGTACCTTTCCGGATGGGATGACACGGGGAAACAAAGCGCCGTGCTAGCTGGCGCTGTCGGCTTTGGTGTGGAAGCGGCGGCAGTATTGCAGCGGAGGAGCGAGACACCTGACCGATATTACAACAACTACGATCCTGATAACATGCCGGAACAGCGCATAACGGCGCCCGAAGTTGACCTTGAGGACAAAAAAATCCAAATTTATGGAACAAATTTCCCGGCCCTATATTCCACGGTCTGGGGAACATTCAAGACGGATTGCAAAGGAGACCTGGCTTTTGCAAAGAACAAAGGCGCCTCCTCGACAGAGGATGGAGCAGCTGCAGACGCCTCCTCGACAGAAGCAAGTGGTCTACTCAGGAGTGCACTTGCACTAGGATCAGGACCAGGAGGAGCGGCTCGGGGGGTATGGTGGGGGCGAGAGGCATGTATGAGTTTTGCGATGTATTGGCGGAAATACATCGCAAAAAAAATACATCATACATGGAAGATTTGAGGAGAGCGCGACGGTTCCCGTGTACGATGTGCGTCAATGTATGAGGTGCAGTACATCAATGTGCAACCCAATCTCATACATGGCACATCGTACATTGTACATGGTCCAGTGTATGATGTGCGATGTCTGATACATTGTACATTGATGTGTCATACATTGATCAAAGTACGATGCGTGATACATCGTACATTGATGCATCGCACATCGTACATTGATGTGTCTTTCTTCCCCGCCCTTGCAGGGAAGGGGGGCTACCAGCTGGTAGTCAATTGTTCGACTGCGAACTAACCACTGTATAGAGATCAAAAATCGGTGAAAAGTGCACACCTCGGTCACAAACCCGGCTCGAGGTCGGGAAAACAGCATGAAGGGCTGGCGAAGTTGCAAACTTAGGTCGGTTTTGCTCCGGCGCAGGTGCGGCCTGAATTAAAATTTTAAAATTAACCCAAGTATTTGGGTTAATGTCTCACATTGTCGGTTGTGCCGCGCTCACGAGGGCCCGCGAACTCGGTCTCCAATGTGAGCAGGTAAATGTCGCTCAGTCAAGAGAGACATGGACTCCTACTGCAGGAGATGTCAACCGGTACGACGCTACTCCGTCCGTCCATGCCAGAAGTGCAACTCTCGTCCCACTCTGTCGCGCAACAAAAAGCTTCAGTGAGGCGGAGCGTCGGTTCTCCGTCGGCACATGCATGCTGCCGCCCGTGATCGGTCCCTCGGCTGTATGCGTGATCGTGACGAAATTCCCTTCCTCATTTGACAGGAAACGTCCGTCGCTCACACACTTAGCGAGCTACCAAGCATGCAGTAGCGAAGTAGGAAAGTTGTGAAACACCCTCAAACTGACTACACACACCTAAAGAGTGAGCAGCTCGCTTGCAGTATTCTAGAAGAATTCAAAGCACATTCAAAGTACCAGAAAAGTCGGGCACTTAGCTCCTTTCCGAAGAGGAACATAGGCAGAATCTCTTCTGGTAGAAGTAGCGCACCCTTTAAGTAAAGATCCAGAAATTTGAAGCGTGCCGTCCTGTCTAGATACGAACGTGAAGAATATTCCTGCTCGGAATAAGTTACTTTTTGAAAGTGGTCTGCTGCCATTGCTGCCCGTGCCGCTGCACTTGCTGTTGCAACTGCGCACACAACCACGCGCACAACCGCGGCTGTATGCGGGTGCAACCGTGCTCATCGTTGCTACAAAACATGAGCACCGGACACAACGGAAGCGGCGCCGGGAGCTTCTGGCCGCAAGTGATCAATTTCGGACTCGGCCAACAGCATTCACCTGCAGGAGGAAACTTCGTCTTCCTCAACGGGAATGGTGGCGCGATGAATGGACTGCAACCGATGCCGATCCCCCAAGGCATGCCCCTCCCCCCCCTCCCCGACTGCTTCTTCGCATCACGCAGTCGGCAAGACGCCGACAAAAGGGATCCGACGCCCACCGCCCCGACTACGGAGAAACCAAGCTCCAGTGCGGAGAAGCCCCCAGCACCGACAGAGCAGGATACAGCGGTAGCTCCTCCGCTGAAGAAAGCGAAAACGCAAGAAGATGCGGCAGCTGTTACAGCTGCAGAAGTTTCCGAGGACGACGGAACGCGCGAGCGGAAGACGCCGCATGTGACACACTACACCCGGAAACAAGTCCACTCCTTCATCGAGGGAATGTACCGCCGGGACAACCAAATCACGAGTAAGGAGGTCCAGAAAAAACTGTACGCAGATCATGGGCTGAAGACACGCGACGCCCGCAACATCGTCCGGGGCACGATAGGCGCTGTGCTCATGAAACTTCGCCCGGCGAATTACCGCCAGCGAATTGCCGAACAGGGCGGGGGCCGGCGCACAGGAGAAGCTGCGGCGACAGCTCGAGCGGCCGCAGCGCCGGGGCCCACTGCTGCGCCACCACAGCGGACAGATCGGCAAAACAATGCGAACCGACCCAGGCCCACGCGCAATGATACGCAGGCGGCGCCCAGCAGGTCCCCTCCAGACGAAGAGCCCCTGCGCTCGCAGGGGTCGCAAGAAGCAGCAGCAACTGGAGCGGGCAACTCCAAGGCGACGAAAGAACAGCTTCTGGAGGTCCTCACCTGGCACGGCGACTGGTGTGAGCCGGAAGACGTCACAAGCGAAATTTGGCAAACCTTCCGCATCCGCGGGCCGCAAGTCAAGGCGCTTTTAGGTCAGTCGATCCCGGACATGATCGCCGCCAAACAGCCGAAGCTTGACGAGGAGGCTAGGCGTGAGCTACGGCGCAAAATAAATGCGGTGCCGGTCAACAACCTCAGCCTCATGGAGTGGCTAACGGCTGTGGAAAAAGCGACAGGTGCGCGCCCGGCTCTTGTGGCTCATGTATCCGGATGTCGGTGCGACCAGGCGTACAAGAAGCAAAGGGGGAAGCTTGACATGGCGCCACAGACTGCCGAGGCTGGGGAAGACATCTTGCGCGGGGAGATTCTGCCGCAGAGCAAGAAAGGAAAAACGATCTTCCCCACCAAAGCCGCAGCCGAATTCGCCATGTACGATGCCCAGCAAAAGCGAGACATTCGCAACGGCACGATCCTCGCCTGCATCTCCCCTACCGCCCATCCGACAGTGACAGATGCTCTGTTTGAACTACATTGCAAAGAGGGGGGCCAGATGGGCAAAGATGTACTCAGGGGCAAAATCGACAACGAGACGCAGAAGCTTGGGAACCCGAAAGCAGCCGTAACACGGCAAACCGAGGGGCAAGGCGCAGCGAACGCTTTGGGGGTGGGGGTTGTCGTCTGGGAATGCAATATCAGCAGCACGAAAGACTCAGCGATGCTTCTGGAGGCCGCCCTGTGCAACTGCTCCGAGTTTACACCGACGGAGCGGGGAGTGGAGGGGACCAAATTCCACGTCGCAATCCTTCCGAGTGGTAACGCAAAGGCGTTGCACACGCCGCAAACACTCAGAAGACTGTAGCTGGTCATCGTACAAGATCCCGGCATGCCTAGCGCGACAGATAGCGCACTCCGCGTCGCGTCATGGAATGTCAACGGGATCAGAAGTAAGTCGGTGCCTATCATCAACAATTGCTTGCGCATGCGAGCCGATCTGGTTGCACTTCAAGAAACCCTCGCAGGGAAAGAAGTGCCTGAAAAGCAAGACCGCTCCTGGGAGAAGCGGAACTATAGGAGAGTGGCGGAATTCGTCCGCCCGACAGAAGGGAAGCAGGCCGGCTCTCTTGCAATATACGCCGGGCCGCGCGTAGTCGTCTGCCCAGCAAGCAAGTCCATCCCGGCCTGGAACGGGTCGAAGAGCATAGAAGTGGCCTGGGTCAGGATAGTGCTTCCGGGAAGAGGGGATGACAGTCGCACAGCTTTGATTTGCGTTCTGTATATCAAACCGGGCACAACGCCAACGGACTCGCAGCTACACTCCATCCTCCAACCTGCAAAGGAGGATGAAGACGTGCTAATAGTAGGCGACTTCAACCCGGGTGGGAAAACGAGGCGCACCTGGTTCACGCGCTGGCTAGACCAGGGATCAGGAGCAGACGCGGGCTGTCTGGATCTCACCCCGCCTGGAATGCTTGCCTATCCGTCCTGCGCCCCAGCAACGTGCCCAGATCGAGTCGTCTGGAAACCGGGCGCGGGGTGCCTCTTTCCGGTGCTTGCCCGAGCGGCACTAGAAGTTGACGACGAATGGGACGAACTAGGGGAGCAGGGGCGGGGAAACAATTCGCTTGATCTAGGAAGGCTGCCACCAGTGTGGGCGGATACCTCAAGTCCGCACACATGCGACCACCTCCCCGTCCTAGTCCGCCTCGATTGTCATGAGGCGCTGGAAGAGCCGCCACCACAAGAGAGGCACGCGCTGCCCCGAGATGACAGCACCGACCCAGAAGAGCAAGCGCAGTGCGAAGCACTCCGGGCCCGACTGCGTGAAGCCGTGGCTGCGTGCGAAGACGACCTGGACCTCACGGACCTGAGCAAAGCGATCAGCGTCGTTGTTGAGCGGGTCCAGGGGGCGGCGTCGCCGTGGCACAAGAGCACCCACCGGGGAATGAAAGCTGAAACCCAGGAGCAATTTCGCAAACGGCATGCCTGGCGTGAACAAATCGACGCCCTACGAGAGGCCTACCGCAATCGAGACGACGCGGAGGCCCTCCGGCTCGAGAAGATCATCAGGAGCGCAGCCTGGAAGAAATTCCTCCGGGGGTGCAAGCCGAATTCCAGCATGGCGCCGCTTTGGCGTTACTTGGCGAAAGCAGATGGGCGCATGCCGTGGCTTAAGAGAACGGCGAGAGCGGCCCTCCGTGATGGGCGAGGCAAGTGGTGTCTTACAGACAAACAAAAGGCGCAGGCCCTTGGCGGGCATCTGCGAGACAGACACCAAGGGCAAGCATCGCACGAGGCCGCCCTCCCAGCCAATGTCCGTTCACAGTTGGACCGCGCGGCCCGCCCCAGCCCCGTAACGGTCGAGGAAGTGCGCGCGGCCTGGAAAGGGCTGAGCCGCGGAAAAGCGCCAGGGGCAGACCGCCTGCCGCTCGAGGTCTGGACTGGCAGGAAGAAACCTGGCCGCTCCTCGCCAAGCTGTTCACGGCAGTACTGCAAAGCGGCGAGCTGCCCCTGCACCTAGGCGAGACAGTCGTGATCTGGTTGGATAAGCCTGGCAAAAACCCGACAGACTTGTCGGCGTGCAGACCGATAAGTCTTATAAACACGGTGGCAAAGCTGCTCGAAAAAGTAGTGCTGCAGCGGCTTCCCCCGACCCAGGACCACGCACAGCGCGCGTACCTGGAGGGAAAGTCTACCGAGATTCTTCTCCTTGAACTAGCAGGACACCCGGACGAGTTGGCGCGACAGAAGAAATGCGTCTGCATAGTCCAGACGGACATCAGCGGCGCGCTCGATTCTGTCCCACGCGCAATCCTCATCCAGAGGCTACTGCAACAGGGGACAGATGCAGGTCTCGTGCGTTGGCTATGGGCCTGGCTACGACAGAGGTCATTCCGCAGCAAAGTAGGGGAAGAGCTAGCCTCACCAATGCGGCCCCTTGCAGGGATTCCCCAGGGTGGGGCGCTTTCCCCCTGGGCATGGAGTGCGTTGCTGACAGGCACGGCTGCGGAAACGCTGAAAGCGCTCCCGCGCGGAGTCTGGTTGCGCTTCTTCGCAGATGGCGGCACGATCGTAGTAAGTGGCGACACGCCGGAGGAAGTGCAAAGCAGGATCCTAGCGCTCGAAAGAGTCCTGACAGCGGCTCTCGCACGCAGAGGCCTCCGCCTCGCCCCCGAAAAAATGGGGCGCATGTGGATGCAGCTGCCACGAGCCGGGGTCTGGAAGAGGAGCCGGGACCGGTACGGCCGCACCAGGAGGGAGCGAGACGCTCCCGCCGAAGGGGAGCCGACGGCACCGGTGCGCCTCCCGTACACCCTCCACAACAAAATCCGCATTCTCGGGGTGTGGTTTGACGCCGAATGCACGATGAGACACCACATCGAGCACGTCGAGCGCAAATGCGTCTTGCGGACGAACGTGCTACGCCAACTTGCAAATCGCTGGTGGGGCGCCGATGTTGCCACGCTCACGCAAACAGCAACACTTTTAGCGCAGCATATCTGCGGATATGCTGTCTCGGTGTGGGGGAGCATGGCCACCCAAGCGAGCCCTCAGAGGATCAGCACAAAGGTGCTGCATCCAGTGGCGAGGCTGGTGCTCGCGGCAAGTCGGTCACAAAGACTTGAAACCCTTTACACCCACAGCAACATCGACTCCGTGTTTAACCTTTACGGCCAGCGGCTTGCGAGCTTGCTCGACCGGTTGCTCCGCACGTCCGCCACACCGTTGCGCGAGCAAATCGCCACAAGCTTGCCCGGCCTGAAATACGTGGAGGCACCGGCGCTGCCGCCCCGGCGGGTTGAACACCTCGACCCGGGTGAGTTCGCAAACGTCCGCCCCTCATGCACCCTGGCGGCGGCTGTCCTATCTTGGGATCATTGGTGCGCAACCGCCCCCCCGGCCGGAGGCGCGGCCCCGTCGGCCCCCCCTCCTCGCAATGAGCCGGCACGCACCATCTACCACACCTACGCCCCGGAAATGGCGGAGGAGCCGCAAAAAGATAGAAAATTCGCTGCGGGAGACGGGCGGTGCCCTCCCTGGGCGATTGAAGCGGCGCTTGTGCTCGAAAGCTGCGGGTGGAGGCGCGACGAAGTAGAGTACCTGAAAGCAGTCCCAGTGCCACGGGGTCGCTTCCCCGGTCTCAAAATTGCAACGCAAGAGGCGGCAGAGCTCAGAGACAGACTGCGAGCACGCCGCACCTTTTTCGGCGCGTCCGACGGGGCCCACCAGCAAAGCACGGGACGGGGCTCCATGGCCGCCTACTTCCACGCAAAAACCGGCGCCCGCCTTGCAGCAGGGTGCTGGCGCGACAACAAATCAGCCTACCAAGCAGAGCGCGCCGGTCTTACAGAACTCCTGGGACAAGCGCGAGCTGCAGCACAGCAAGAACCAGAGGAGGCGGCGGCCGCACATCTGCTGCTGGTCGTGGACAGTCAGTCCTTGTTGGCACGCCTGTCGACCCTCGCCATCTGTGGCGGCCTCGCAACGCAGGCGGAGTGCACTCTCCTCGATCACCTCCAGGAACTCTGCGCCAAATTTCACCGCGTGGAATTGGCCCACGTTCACTCCCATACCGGAGTTGGGGCCAACGAATTGGTTGACCAGGCAGCCGAAGCCGCACTGCGCCAAGCGGATCCGGGTGCGCAATGGGGGGCGCCCCTGTCGGTCGAAGATATGAAATCACATGCCAAGGAACGGCTCGCGGCGCAAGAGGCAGGCCTCCTGCAGGACCTCAACGCGGCCGAGGTCTCGGCAAGCGGGGAAATCGCAGGGGCGTTCGTCTCCGGACGGGCGGGCGCCAAGGCGCTATATCGCGTTTTTGCGGACCAGGGTGAGTCCCGGCACGTCCAAACAACAGCAGCGGCCTTTCTGGGGGCAACCCGGTTCAAGAGAATCGCACCCACAGGGCTCGAGCGGGTCCGTTGCCCAAAATGCCGCCGGGTCGATGACAGTCCGGCGCATTTCCTAGAATGCTACGGGATTGGTAACCTCCACACGCTATCATGCCCGGAGCGTCTTGCTAAAGTCTTCGCATATGTGGCGCATGTGCCTCCAGACGACTCCACCACCGACGAAGAGCTGTGACCCCCAGGCGGGGGCTCCAGCCCCAGGCAATAAGTAAGTTTTGTATGGGCCGTACCTCGAAGGCACGCGTCGGCATCTGCTAGAGGGCGAGATGCGAGATGTGCGGCGCAGTCAGCTTGCGGCTGAGCGCCCACACATCTAAAGACCGTGGCATAATCGATCTACAAGTCGCTCGAAGCGAGAACCGCATTGATGCAGCCATCAGGAACAAGGAATAGAGATTGCCGGAGCGAAAGCAAACGCCCGCCCCCTGCGGGGAAGCATAGGCTCCTCCAGGGTCCGACGTTCACCTCTTGCGATGATCCACAGGTCTTGTCAGACCAGTAGAGTTCACAGAGGGTCGTCGTACACTCTTGCTCGTCCGAAGAAATCGCTTGAGTGGGTCGCTTTCCAGGTGTCGCGATCAAATACAGAGCGTCACGTACCCCAGACAGGGCGAATCATGTATGTATGTATGTATGTGTCTTTCTTTCTTTCTTTCTTTCTTTCTTTCTTTCTTTCTTTCTTTCCATGCCCGGGCATGGCTTCAATTTTTCAAGGCCCTAAGCGTTCCGTTGCAGTCCTCTTTTTTCCTCTCCAATGATCAGAGCTGTATCATACATCGTACATTGATGCATCATACATGGCACATTGTACGGCTGTACATTAATGTATACGCACATCGTACATCCCGCGCACTCGTGCATTGCGCGTTGGATTCCCTACATCGGTTGCCTTTGTGTTCTCGCGGGTTAGTTGTTGGCTAGTTGTTATCGGTCTGGTGTGGTGTTGGTGTTGGTGGTGCTGCTGCTTGGCTTGGGCTTCTGCTTGGCTTGGCTTGGCTTGGCTTGGCTTGGTTGTCAAAACGGCGCTTTGACAACCAGCAAGCAAACCAGCAAGCAAGCAGCAGCACCAAGCAGCACCACACAGCCAACCAAACCACACCACGCCACACCATGCCCCATGTATGATGTGCCATGTATGATGTGCCATGTATGATGTGCCATGTATGGTGTGCCATGTATGTCGTGCCATGTATGACGTGCCATGTATGATGTGCCATGTATGATGTGCCATGTGTGACGTATGACGTATGAGGTACCTACAGCGGAGAACTTGCGATGTGTGATGTATGAGGTACCTACAGCGGAGAACTTGCGGCGTGTGATGTGTGATGTATGGTGTACGAGGTACCTACAGCGGAGAATTTGCGACGTATGATGTACAATGTGTGATGTATATATAATGTACGAAAGTGAGGTCGTTCTGCTCAAATCTTCCATGTATGATGTATTTTTTGCGATGTATTTCCGCCAATACATCGCAAAACTCATACATGCCTCTCGCCCCCACCATATTGGGCCACGGAGGACTTGGCCACAGCCGCTAGCACGATGGCTAGAAATATATTCGATACTGGCACCGAAATATCACGTGCAAAAGTATCGCACTCGTATAAATCCGCTAAAATTTTTTCCATGCGTAAACTGATGGAGAAACTGGTGATGGTGAAAAGTCGGTCGCGAAGTTGGTCGCGAAGTTGGTGCGGAAGTCGGTGAGAAGTGGCGCGACGTGCTGGCGTCGTTCTCAACTCGTCTCGACGCGTCGCGTCACTCCACCGCTGCGATTTATATCGTGCTCGCTGCTTGGAGCGGGAAGGAACAACGTTGCAGATAAATGGAAAGAAGCCCGTAGTCTTGTTCTCTCTATTTCTCTGCAGAGCAGTTTCATCATTTAGCACGACGGCACCGCGCGCAATAAAGCCGTATACACGAGGCGGCAGACAGCGCGACCGTGATGTCTGCGCGCGCGCATCTGTCCTGCGTGCAGCCATCAAAGACGGAAGCGGAGGATAGCGGCCCTCGACGATGTGGAGCTGCGCGCCTCTTCGGCGTGAAAGCTTTGAACTCGGGCCACTTTCACGCGTCAGCTCATAATTAATGCAGTAGCTACTTATTCAATTTTAATGAGTTACTGTTTGCGTTTTGTTGGTTTTCACAAAAAAGCGAAACTTTGCGCACGTCCTACATTGTTTATTGCGTAGTTTAACAATTCACTTCTCAACAACTTCTGGACGCACTTCTCGACGAACATCCCAGCGCATTTCGCGACAAGCTTCAAGCTTTTGAAGGCGTCACGCAAGAAATCACATGACACCTCCAAAAGTTCGAAGCTTGCCGCGAAATGCGCCGGGGTGTTCGGCATCGGCGTGCGTCTTTTGTGCAGGACCTCGCAGATCTCCAGCTGCAAGAGATGCCCAGGGTGCCTTCCACACGCTTAGCAGCCGAAGCAGGATGATCGCGGGAGTTGATTCGTGACTGCGCACGCGGCCACGAATCGAGGCCCGGGATATTCCTTTGGAGACGTCCTAGCCAGAAGCTTGTGGGGAGCTTGGTGTGGATTGCAACTCCGCATCAAGCTTCCCAACAACCGCGGCAAAGGATCCACGCCAACTTCTCAACAGCTGGGAAGCTGGTGAAAAGGTTGGGCAGAAGTTGATGATAAGTTGGTGGGAGGTTTGTGAGAAGTTATTGGCATGCCAGTAGCGGATCTATACGAGTGCGATACTTTTGCACAGGATAGTACGCCAGTGTGGCGATCGAAGTGGTTCCCGTGACTCTGACGGAGGGTGAAATCACCATGGAGATGTGCAGAAATGCCAGGACTGCTATCCTCAATGCAGCGTTGAACCCTGAAACAGGAAGTGAGGACCACATCAAAGACGCAATCGTGGATGCTTTGCAAAAGGAGTTGGATCGTGGTACTATTGTTTTGCCTGCACTGCTTGAGGCAGTAGCTAGTACTTTGCTCTGATGGTGCTTGAGTAGTAGCGGTGATATGTTTTTTTCTTTTTGCAAAGCATGTTGCTGTGAAGATGAAGAACGACGGAGGCATTGAATTACAGTCGAGAACAAACCACCAGCAAAGAAAGGAATTACACCCCAACACCAAAACCAGCGACCTCGTCTGCGGCGCCCGCGGCCAACGCGACGAGCAATGCTCTATCCGAATGAAAAATCTCTATTTTTGATTTTCTGGGGAGTTGATAGAAGTACGTTTAAACAGTTACTCGCTCGCCTAAAGAAGCGAGCACCCGATTGATTTTCTGGGGAGGCTCCGAAGCTTTTTATTTTTTACCTTCGGCAGCCCCGGACCTCTCCTCTCGCCTTCGGAAGCGATGGCGGGCCTCTCCCCTGCGGAAGGTCCGCAGCTTCCTTCCCTTTCGGGGGAGTCGGAGTTCTTTATTTCCTGGCTGGCGTGGAGCTTTCGCGATCGCTTCCCGATTGTCTGGCCGGAGGGAGCTTACGCACACCTCCTGCGCGACGCTGGTTCTTCAGAATTTTTCTGTGCGTGCCCGGGACCGCCGAGGCGCTTTGGATTCGGTTTCAAAGCGCGCAACTCTGCCGCTGCCCGGGGCTGCGCATGTGTACAACTTTTGCGCCGGGGGGCCGCGGCGTTTTTGCGTCCTGGACCCTCGTCACACCCACGCCCGGGGGGCCCGGAACATGGCCCGTCGTAAGGTGAGCCAGCCTTCGGTGAAGGCGGGGCGCCCGGAGCATGGAGTTTTCCCGTCCGGGAGGCCCGGGGGTTTTCCTTCCCTCTGGTCTGCGGTACTCCTGGCCGTGGGTTTGATGGACAACCTTCGGCCAGGTTGCACAACCTCCGACGAGGTCGGACAACCTCCGGCGAGGTCGTACAACGTCCGGTGAGCTCGTGCAACCTCGTCCGGCGAGGTCGTACAACCTCCGGCGAGGGCGTACAACCTCCGGCGAGGTCGTACGACCTCCGGTGAGGTCGTACGACGACGGATCTCGCGCCCCGGGCCGGGACGTTGGATGGGGGTGAAGGCTGGCCAGCAAGCAGGTCAGGGAGGATCCAGCGCCCCGGGCCGGGGCGTTGGATGGGAATCAAGATTGGCCAGCAGGTCGCCAAGGATCCAGCACCCCGGGCCGGGGCACTGGATGGCGTGCGACTAGGGCTGTCCACCTGCCATCGACGGATCCCCCGCCCCGGGCCGGGGCGTTGCGTGGGGCGGCGAGGGTGGGTCGAGGCTGGCCAGCAACCCCGGGAGGATCCTGCGCCCCGGGCCGGGGCGTTGGATGGGGATCAAGATTATCTTCAGCAGGTTGTGGGGGATCCGGCGCTCCGGGTCGGGGCATTGGATGGCAGGCCACTAGGACTGTCCGCCTGCCGTCGATGGATCCAGCGTCCCGGGCGGGCGTGGGATGAGGGTTGCGGTTGGCCAGCAGGCCGGGGAGGACCGAGCGCCCCGGGCCGGGGCGTCGGATGGGGCACGAGGTTGGCGATCGGGTCCAGCGTCTCGGGCCGGGGCATTGGATGGCGAGCGACAGGGGTTGCCAGCCTGCCATCGACGGGTCCGTCCAAAGCCTCGGGCCGGCGCGTCGCTCGGGAGGGGGTCGAGGTTGGCTAGCCGGTCGGGGAGGATCCAACCAGCGCCCCGGGCCGGGGCATTGGATGGCGACTGGGGTTGTCCCCCGCCCGGGGCGTTGGATGGGCCGGAGTCGAGGTTGGCCAGCAGGTTGGGAAGGGAGGATCCAGCGCCCCGGGCCGGGGCGTCGGATGGGGATCAAGATTCGCCAGCCGGTCGCGGAGGATCGGGATCCAACGCCCCGGGCCGGGGCGTTGGATCCCGAGCGGTGTGGTCAGAAATCCGTGGACGTTACGGGCCGAAGTGTTGATGTGCGCAAAACCCCACTCCCCTCCTCCTCCTGTTGCGTAGTTCGTCGTCATGTTCGTCCGTCCCTGCAAACAGAACGTAAACAAAACCGACTTTATTGGGAGGAGCATTCACAGGCACAGTCCCAGCAGATGCAGGAGCAGGAGGCGCTGGAGCTGAAGCAAAATAAAGAATAAAAAAAAAATAATAAAAATAAAAACATGAACCAGATATTATGCACCCAGCGGCGCCTCCGCATTACGCAAGCCCACTAATATATGGAGAAATCGAGGGCGCAAGTGCGGGGCGGAAGCCACCTGCGATGCCGACTAGGAGAGGGGAGCTCTTTTTGGGATGCCCAGAGAACAACAAGGTCAATGGAAACGCTCCTCAGCTACGTTACCGGGCACCCAGAAATGCGGCTGCAGTATGCCTTGGAGTGGTGTCGTTAAAAAATCGGGATCATAAGGATATTGTGCGGATACGGCCCCAGATCCGAACTCTGCGCAAGCGCATGCCAGAGGCAGCATAAATGCTTCTTGCCCTTGCGCTTGCTTTGAAAAAGGCAACATCGCAAGACATCATCATGGCAGCAGAACTTATTTCGCTGTCTCGTCTCTTTATTGGAGCTCTCTTATTTGTCCCCGTAATTAAAGGACCCGGTACAGCCAGGCCTGTAGCTGCCCCATTTGCCGTGCAGAGGATGGCAGCAAACTCAAGGACCTCAAGAAACCTGGGCACGCACCGGAGGTCGGTTCGCGAAGCCTGCGGCTGCCATGTTTATTTATTTGTTTTCTAGCTTTAAAAGTTCAAGTTGTTGAGTCCGGCGCGGGACTCGGCGCGGGCGGATGCCAAACCTAGGCGCTGTTGCCAAATCTAGAGGTCATAGCACTGCGATTGAGTCGCCAGTTTCTGACCCGCTCTAGGTCTTGCAAAAGGAGCAAGAAAGTGCCAGCACTTTTGATGGTTGTATGGCTGATTCGCGGACATAGCCGCGCCTGCGGATTTCTGAGTCGGAGCGCGCGGATATCGAGACAACCTCTGTGAAGACGGATACTTACGTCGCGGAGCGGAAAAGTTGAGCCATACTAGCTTAGCATCGGCCGCGGATTTCTTTTTGGTTCCAGAAAAGCATATCCGCACAATACCCGCGGGTCCCCGACTCAGAAACCCGCGGCCACTCCCGCGAACCGGCCACACCTTCGCAAATCGCATCTATACTCTTTTCTTTTTCCGAATCCGACGTGGGCTGCGTTACAAGCTCGAGGACCATTGGCCACAACTCCGCAGCGCCCATGAATATTCCTCAAAAGGGGCAACTTTCAGCGGGCGCGGGTTTTTTATAGACAAATCCATGGGCGCGCCCCTCCCCGCGTGACTGTGACCCCGGGGGCTGGGGCCCAATCGGGTGGCTACTACACCTCGCTCTGGCGGGACCCTCCGGCTTGGCAGCAGCGCCAGTATGTTGTAAGTAATTAGACAATGAGACGACAGCCACAGCACACAGCAAGAAAACGCCCATTGCCATGGCGTCAGAAATGCCGCAGAAGCGCCGCACTTTGAGTTTGTTTGTGCTTGGAAGCTGCGCGCCTTGATTTACTCTGAACAACCCAAGCGGCCGGGGCGGCTTGGTTATCTCTTGGCCCTCGCGCTTTTTTTGGCCGGCGCCCGGCTTTTTTTGGCTACAAGTCCGCAGAAGATCCGCGGCCCCTATTTGTAACGAGTCCGAGTGCTCCTGCTCTATATCATCGTGATCGTGGTGAAGCGGAAACAGAAGTCGCAGAGGAAACAGAAGAAGTCGCAGAGGAAGAAGAAGAAACAAAAGTCGCCGCGCCGCTTTTGCAGTCCTCCTGGGACACGGGCGGGAGCTATGGAATTGGTGCTCAGGAAAAAGCTACACCTGTTGGACTTCAACCACTGCACGCCGACTATTTTTCTGCTAAGCTGGTGGAGAGGCCGCCGCGGACCAATATCATCGTGGGAAAGATCCAGGGCGGAGAAAGTAGCAGGGAAGATGTTGCTGCAAGTCGAGGGCGCTCACTTCCGCGAGACTGGGCACATTGGCTGCCGCGCCCGGCCGGAAATTGGCGAGAGAACGTCGCAGTTGTTTTTGACGTCATTGAAAGACAGAATGGGGATGGCACCCCAAAAAAAAAAAGCATCCTGACGCGGTGCGAAATGCCGCAACGGACTACACCAGGCCGACAAATTGAGAAACTTTCCCGGCAGCTGTCGAAGTATGGGATCGCTTCCGAGCTGCGACAATGGTCGAAAGATGCTCGTAAGTGTAGAGAAAAAATCCGCGAAATTTGTCGCCTCGCCGTACAGTTTGGACGACACTTAGAAATCATCGCGGTGGTTTTCCGGTGAATTTATGGGGCAAAATGCCGCAGCTTCTTGGCGTGCCGGCGAGGAGGGGCGAAGCCGGCAAAATCCTCACTCACCCGGCGCATTGGTGTGCCCGAGTTTCTGGCCCCATGGTTGCCTTACTGAATGCGCGCGAGATGTAGCATCCTCCCGCGCCAACAACACGGCGCGCGACGTGGAAGGCAACTCCAACTGCTCCGCCCCGTCCCTCCTGAGTTCGAGTTGTCCTCCTTTGCCGAGCGCCTTGCCCTTGCGAAAGACGAGTCCAGTTGTGCCATCTCTTGCAGCGCATGGACTCCGGAGTCGTTCTGATTGCAGATTTGGCTTCACCTCCTCGCTTAGAAGATTTACAAAAAGCGTGAACTTTGGGACTCGAGCTGCTTGTCTTTTTGCAACTTTCGTTCGGGCAGGGGCTTGTAAGATCGTGCGCTATAGTTTGCAAACTCTCAGCGCAGCTCACCAGCTCCAGCGCCCCTTCTGTGAGTTCGCCCATAAATTTTTCACCAAATCGACGCGGGTACTATTCCGATTTGGCATGTACGTGTTGATGCTATTTTGAGGCGTGACTCGTTGAGAGGCTCCACCTGGGGGTCAAATTTATACGCATAACTGCACTTGAAAGCGCGCGCGCGTGACATGTCGAGAAAGTGGCTCTGATTGTGCCTCGCGGCTTTGAAAGTAAAAGCTTTGCACATGGCGCACAAAGCTCCTGCCGCTTGTGGTTGATCCCGCGGCAGGTTCCACGCCGGCGCCTGCTTTGTCGAAGTCCGACGGTCGCTCTCGGTGTGGAGGGACGGGAAAGAGAAAGAACGTAGCCGCACTCGCGTCAATTTTTTTTTGCAGGGCATGGGACCGGGAACGCACAGGGCAGGCGATTGGCCGCCCAGCGGTGGTTGTTGGGCTTGCGCCAAAATTGATTCGAAAACCATTCGCATTCTTTCCAATGGGTGTCCAAGTTCTAAAGATTCCTTCCGCGAGTGAAGCCGATGGCAAAAGGTCTGTGGATTTATGCGAGAAAAACAATGAGGGTATGAATGGACAAATTGATGTTCGCGACATATTGGCGAGCTGAATAAATCCGGGTTAGGTGCTGAATATATTCAGCGAAGGTGATGAATAAATTACGGCCGCCACCGCAATCTGTTCATCAACCAACGCGTTTACTCAGCACCTAACCCGGATTTATTTGCTCGAAGATCAACCGATGATCAACACGAACCGAAAAAAACTGTGATCTCGAGTCACGGTGTAAGCATTAAAATAGTTGCTGTTTATAGTAGAACCACAACTATTTAAATGCTGCTTGGCTCCGCCGTGATGTGTGTCTTCTGGTAACGCCGAACCCACGTGGTCCGCTGACGAGCTCCATCGAACGCGAATGCGGAAGCGGTGGAACGGGACGCCCACAGGTGCTGCATCGTCATGATGATTGTGATCAACCAAGAAGAACAGCTGAAATCTTTTGGCTTTATTTACATCTGTGCTGTAAATAGAATGCTCAAGCGCAAGGGGAAACGAGATCCAACGCTAAGGATAGATTTAGTATGCGTCTAGTACTATTGAGAATCAGAACGAGCATGAATCTGCGACGTGAGAAGATGCGCGACTAAGCCTACGGGTCTGCCATCATCTAAACGAAAGGAGCAGAGGGAATGAGTAGCGCGAGTCTGTTGGGAACTGCACAAAAGCAAAAGGATAAAAGTAAAAAAATGCAAAGGGAGAGCAAGGAGGATCCAAACAGTGAGTCTATTTTTGTCTTTTGAGCGTTTGCGTCTTTCCTCGGATCCGAAGTATTTGTTTACTCTCGCACCGAAAAAAAGCTTGCGACTCCGATGACGAGTCTCAAAATAGTAGCAAGTGTCGCGCGCTTGTTGTTTTCGGTCAATTACGGTTTTGGGATTTAGATCTAGGCCGTTGCTGACAGTGTGTGGCCACAATGTCCAAGGAGCAAAAGGAGTTTTCCAGTGATGGACTGGATATGATGCGTCGTAAATACATGCCAGCTTTTTACTCTTACAAGGAATCGCCGAAAGCAGACGAGAAACATCAACCGGCGGGACTGATTGGCGAGAACTTGGCGACGTCGTTTCAGCACCTCGATACTTCCTTCAAGTCCTTCGCCATGCAGTTTTTCACTTCTCCTCAAGTTTTCAAACGCCCCAATCTGTCGGAAGTTGTCCTTCCGACCTACGACGAGTTGCTGTACTGTGATCCGTATTACACTGATCACGCGGGGCACACGCTGATCATGCAGCAGTTTCTGAGCAACGACTGGGACTGGAAAGATTTCAATCGGCATCCGTACGACGCCCACGCCAAATTTGAGCGGCTGTTCAAAAAAAAGCACGTCGACAACTGGGACAACGTGGAGTGCTTCATCGCGGACTTGAAGAACCAGCAGACGAAATTTGAAAAGTATCGGGATGATGGAAAACGCGAGCCCGGGCACGCGCAGCGCTTGTTCGAATTATGGGAGCTCCGCCGCTCCCGCATCATGGCCGAGATGTGGATGCTCAACAGCCCGCCACTCAGCCACGTCATGTTTGAGGCGAAGGCGTTAGCTATTGGGTTTTAGTTTTAGCTTTTTTGGTTTTGATAATACGAGCACGACGCGCAAAGTTTAGCTTTTTTTTCTACATGTAGGTGTAGCTTTAGGCTCATTCTCTTCTTCATCATTATGATCGTGCTTTATGTTTGCCTTCATCTTCGTGCTTTCCTCTAACCCTTTCGCTTTCGCATTGAAAATATATTTTTTCAATAAAATCAGGCTCCGATAGATGACGAGTTCAAGCGCCACCAGCAGCGCGTCATCGCGTACGAAGGCCGCGTGAAGTACTGGGACAAGCAGGGGCCGACTGCGGCGGCCACGCACACAGGAACAGAGCGGGTTTAAGAACGGTTACTACTGGAAGACTTCGAAGTACGAAAGAGACCCGCTGTTGGAGTTGATCAAATGGACGGCGTCGCAGACGAAGGCGCGCCCCGATTCGAAGAAGAAGTGATCTCGCCTTTGGTGCTGTCCACTTACAAGCAGTAGTAGCTGTATGCTGTCTAAACCTAAAACAAAGCTCAGACCTTGAATGCGAAAGCATGAGCATCGCCTTAGCTGAAGTCTAGTCTTCGACTGTTGTTCTTGTTTGTTTTTTGATATTTCTTTGTATGCGTATTTGAAAAAACAAAACCGAAGTTGACTTTTTTTATTTAGACAAAATTTACGCATACGCTCTACTTGCGCCGATTTTGATTATTGTTGTTTTTAGTGGAAAGAGCTCGCCTTTGGTCTTGAACTTCTTGGGTATCTTCGTTGTGTTTGCATCTCAAAGTGGTTGCTCGTCTTATCGGTTGTTGGTAGACACGATGAAGATGCAGCTACAAAAACAAACGTCGCACAGCTGCAGCTACTGCTACAGCTGCACCTAGAATGCGTATTGTTTTTTTATGCCAGAAAGTGAAAGCGCGACACACACACACAGGAACGCGTCGCGTCGTGTGATCGTCTCAGGCTCAAAGTCAGAACGTCGGTCAAGGGTCGTGCTCGTCGGCTTTGTGAGACTTTACAAAGCGCCACATGATCGGCGGGGGAGAGAAAAGCACATCTGTACAGCAAGAACAAGAACTGCAGAGGACGAACATGAATCGGGCAGGGTCGTAGTCGTACAGAGAGATACAGACGATGCGCCACCTGAGTGCGCCAGTGCCTGTGCGTTGCACGCTGTGCAACGAACACGAAAACTATGAGCAGGAACATCAGGAGCGTAGTTCTATAATAAAAGTTTTTCCTTGCGTGTACGTGATACATGGCAACGCTATTTCAGGCGATTGCGGAATAGATAGCAGCATCATTTACATCGTCGAAGATGAGCTCAGCCGTCGCAAACAACTTCCACGCTGCCGAGCAGGTAGCTCCGCCGCCGGCAACCGGCAACGCATGCAATTGATCCCGATTTTCAGCCGCCTGCATCGCCCATCCGCAGACGGCTCGATCAACTGCAATCCTTTGACGACATCGCCGCGATCATCTCGGACAATCTGCATTCGGAGAGCCAAACATTTGCAGTGAACAACGGAAAGACTTTGCTCACTTACAAGTCGGCCATCAACAAGCGGCCCCTGCAGAAAGCTTTTGCCAGGTGGTTGCAAGCAGAGCGCACGGATGGACTGGCTCGGCCAAGATCGCAAAAGCCTGCCCGGACCTGATGCAACTCCGCCACTTCGCCAAAGCAGAAATTGTAAAGCGGCTGAGCATTAAGCTGCCTGCCGTTGCCGCGGAGGAGATGGAACAGCACCGGAAAGAGGTGCTCCTACTTTTGCTTCTCGTATAGAAAAAGCGTCTCAGCTCTCGCTCGCGTTCTCATGCATGTTCATAATCGTTTTCGTTTCCATGCAGTTTAATTCTAATTGTAATGCAAAAGCAAAAGCAAGCGCAAAGCTATAGGCTTTGTTTTTGAAAATGAAGCTCTATGCTCTGACTCTTCTTGAGCTTGGGCTTGATTCTGATACTCGTTTTCATATTGATTATGATTGTCGCGCGATACAACCGCAGTGCTTTCTCGTTGAAGTTCGCAAACAAAAATCAAAATCAGCTGCAGGCTGAGCAGGACCCGGAGCGGCAACAACTAAAAAAACGGATTGCGGAATTAGTCAGCATCAACATGATGGGAGAGCTTGAATCTGATCAAAAGAGAACGCAGCGCTTGCAGTTTGTGGCTGCTACCACTCCTGGGACGAGTGCTAGGAAGGTATATGCGCTACGGTTCACACCTGGGCAGCATCTGCGTGAGCTATTACGGTAGCGAAATCTGTCAACAAGGCCTTCTTTTCAACAAAACGAAAAAAAAATTCTGGGTCTCGCGCCTCTCCCGATAATAAGGCGAAGGGAGTTGGCGCGGTCGCCTCTTGTTGCTGGGGCTCGCAGGGCCTGGCACTGTTGATGACACCCAAGGGGCATACTACGCCTCTAGTTGCGCGCGACAAGCGTCGAACCGCTTCCACCTCAAGCACTTTGTGCGCTTCGTGTACCACGCCGGCCGTGCAAGTCATGAAGCCTCATAGCGGCGCAGGTCCCATCTCCCACCTTCGGGGCCTTGGGCTGGGGCATGCTCATCGCAGCTACCTTTGGGCGCACTGCTGTGCTTTGGCTTCCTTTGCCCCGCTTGCGCTTTTTTTGCAGCTCGTTGCGGTTGCGACGCGGGCCACGTTGGGAATCCTCCCAAGGCAAAAACCCTTCCCCCTGCCCCCGTGCCCCCTTCCGAAACCTGGCGCGGTCGGCGAATGCGGGCCGCCCACCTGCGCCCACTACGCTTCCGCTTTCGCATCGAGGGGCGGCACAGCCGCGCCGGGCAGCCAGCTGCGTGCCCGATGCCACCCCACACCCACGCAACCCAAGAAGCCAGGCAACCGCGATCCGGCTCGGGATGCCTTCTCCGAGAGGCCTCGGCGACATGGCCGGGCCTTTCCGAGCACTCACGTCAACAACCGGGGTCGACGCGCGGCCATTTTCCCTGTCTTGTTGATCAAAAACGTCAAGGGGCTATCTCGGTCGATTTAGCGGCCATTTTTGGGTCATTTTTGGGCTTCAAAACCCCGGGAAAATCACGTCGAGCTCCGGGGTCAAGGGCCGGGGTCAAGGGACGGCCCGGCCGGCCGGCCGCCCGGCCCTTCGCCCGCCGGCCGGATGGCAACTATCTGTCGGGCTCCCGCGCAGCGAATCTTTGCTGCGGGTTGGCCCGCGGGCCGCTACATGACCGGGCCCGCCGCATGCGCCGCCAAAGCCTCGCCCGATATGGGCGGCGCTGGCGCGTGCCGTTTCGTTTTTTGGGAGGGCCCAACCGCAGGTGGCAGGGTGGCCTCTTCCGAGCCTTCCGCGCCTGGCGGGTTCGTATGGAAGCCCCCAGCGAAGCACAGGGCGCGAGCCTTCGGCGAGGCGAAGCAGCGCTGCAAAACGGGAGGCCAGACGGCTAAAACGCCGGCGCCCCTGGGTTCTGGTGGTCGTTCATGAGGGCATCCGCCAATCGCAGCTGATGGCTTGCGAACGCCGGTTGGGTATGTCTCTGACCCGGGGCGGCAATGGTGAAGCCACACGCACGGCCACAAGCAATCTAGCTGCCCCGCGCCACCAGCTAGCGCGCGCGCACTTTTTCATAAGTCAGCGAGGCCGGAAAAAGCTAGCGCGCGTCGTAGCGGTGGCGAATGCTAGAAACTTTTTCGGGCCGGGCTGCCCCGTTCGCCTGATACAAAAAAAAATTTTCGTTTTGTTGAAAGTCGGGTCTTGTTGACAGATTTCGCTGGCGTAGCTTTCACCACCAAAATCATGACTGTCGCGCTCGCGCTTTATGATGTGACTCTCTTAAACTTCTAGCTCTACTTCGTCTGCGTATCCAGCTTTGTGATATTTGTTCCGAGTGATTTCGTTTTTGTGTTTTATTTTTGGCGCATGGCAAACTCATCAACTCATACTTCACACAGTTCGACTTGCTGTGGAAGTATTGGGGAGCGTGTTCGCGGCATTCGAATCGCAAGTCCGTCGGGCGACGCGCGCTTCTGACTCGAAAACCAATGCCAACAAAGGCAGGCGATCGCGTCTTTTCTCCGGGGAAAGATACGAGCGGGCGCGTTGTGACGAGGGAAGATATTCAAGAACAAATTGACCTGTCGAATCTGGATGCCCAAGCTTCCACTCCTCCCAGTAAAACAAATCTGCGACGAGCAATACCGACCCGCGGAACAGCAAACAACTTCCGCGACGCATTGAAGCAGATAGATGCGATGATCGCGAGCTGCAACAAAGAGCGGGACTGTTTTCGGAAATTTTGTGAACGGTCGGAAGACAAGTGCGGAGTTCTTTTAGATCTGAGCAGCCAGCTTGACATAAGAACGCTGCTGGATTTGGATGCAACAACGGAGGGGAAGTTGATGGAGTACATCTTCCGGGAAAGTGAATCACTGTCCACGATCCTGATCAAAGCGGATGGAAAGATAGGAAAACTTGAACAAAAACACCAAGCAGCTGACGGGAAAATAGAGCAGCGCGGGCGGCCGTTTTTGGCAGTGAGAATCGCGCCGGATAAGACGAATTTCAGAAAAGGCCAGATGGTTGCAACCGACATCATCTGCGTCCGCGTCGTCGGCGATCAGATCTTCGTAAAAACGATGGCGCCGAAGGGCAAGAGGGGAGCCGGCGGGTTTAGAAGTTTCGTCAGTGATATTTACGACACAGCTGGCAACCTGATTCCGGTGCCTGGCGCGACTCGGGGAAGGTGGGCATCAGATCCCATAGTGTGCTTCTGCTGCGCCACCGACGGCGGGTCGGATTGTCTTAAAGGTGTTCGAAGACTCCGTGATATCTGTTCCGCCCTGCGACGAGAACGAAGGGAAGAGATCCGCCGCGGAGAGAAAGCATCTTCTTACTACGTCGATTTCTACGCCCGGAATGTGTTGCGTAACCGTCGCCAACTATCGCTGATGGAATCGGAGTTGGTAACAATTTGCAAACTGGCACAACGACGAGAGCTTCGCCATCGCGCTGAAGAAGGTAGCTAACGCCGCCACGATGCATGTGGGGTCCGGACGAAGGACCGGATAAAATTCGAATCCGCGAATACGCTAGCCACCGGTGGCAAGCCATGCGGTCGCGTTGCGAGGATTTGCGGGCGGCAAAGGATAAGGCTTTGGATTTGATGAAGAAACTGGAACCAAAGAAAGCAAAAGAGGAAAACAGAAAAACAGCAGCTGCGGCGAGGGAGGCGGTGGAGAGGGAAGATTTTTGGGCTCTCGTCGATGCGGTTGCTTCCTCCTTCTCCTGCGCCGACCGGTCGCACAGCGAGACCAAGCTAGATCAAAGAGCATTGCTTTCGGATATGGACCTTGGCGAGACCGCAAGCCATGCATCGGGTTTTTTCGATGGATGAAGATGAGTTCGCGGAGGAGTTCGCGCAACACGCGACTACGCGGCCGGAGGACTGCGTGGGGTTTCTTTTGCTCTGCAGCGTGCGGATCCGACTACCACGGCGGCAGACACAATTCTGGACCACGCCCCTCCTGTTTAGCTACCTACTCCGCGAAGATAGTGGTCGGCTTGCCGCGGAGGCGTTGATGCTGTTCGAAGAAGATCAGCTTGGAGACTTTTTGTCTATGCTGCTTGGGGAGTTCGAGGAGGACGTGGAGAAAATGGCAAGGGGGGAGCCCATGTCGGTGGAGTTGCAGCAGTATCTGGCGCCGTTGTTCCTCACCTGCCATCCAGGGACGCAGTTGACAGAATCACTTCGCAGCGCAGTGGAGCTGATAAAAAAAATGGCTCCTGCAATAAAGATGTATCGGGCAGGCCTCCGGTACATACTAGTACTCGTTGTTTATTTGATTTGCAGTAGGGGCAGTTGATACAAGAGCCAGCAGCTAAGCGCAGCCGTCGCTATGATAGCACTAGTCGGAGTTGTCGCGATCATGAAAACTAAAAACGACAGCCACCATCTTCAGGGAGCAAATCGCCCGCGAGGAGTCGCTGCAGTGGGAGGACTGGGAGGACTTGGACCACCGGCCATCGATGTTGTACGACAAGAGGCGAACGCATAATGTTTGCGAGAAGCAGGGGCACGATACTACTACCGAAAACGTTTTGCGGAAGGTCGCATCACCTACGAAAAAGCACGAGCCGAAAGTGCTGCCGAAGTCGCGTGTCGCGTTCCAGTGGTGTGGCGACAAGTTCGACATGCAGGAGATGGAGGACTTTCCTGCTGCTGGAGATGCTGGCGTCAGGAGTGCTCGGGTGGAAACAGCTACGGCAACAGAAGATCAAACGACGCAGCTGACGCGCTATCTTGTCGATCCGCTTGCAATGCGCCCGCTGCTCGAGACGGCGCTGGCCGTGTATTACAAACAGGAAGACTTGCTGGGGGAAGACAAGTGCCAGGATGTGGAAAGCGGTAAAATCGGAGGCAACATCGAGCAGGACGGGTCCCAATTCGTAGCGCCAGTAGTAAAGCGACTCCCGAAGGGAATTGTCTACGATCAGACGTGGAGGCCGGGCAAGGCTACTTCGCTGGCGCGGTCGCATATTAAGTGCGGTAGTCTGGTGCGGCGGATTTTGTCAGCGGAGGATAAGCGACAAGGACAAGAAGAACAGACGCGCTTGCGCTTCCGGATTCTGCAGAAACGCGGACACTTGGTGGAAGTAAAGAAGAAGGGAGCGCGGGACAACAAGGAGCGCTACGAAATTTTGTGGAACAACGTAAAAACCTTGCCCGGCTGGGCTACGAAGGATCAAGATACGTCTGGCGTGAACCTGCGGCATCAGGTTAACAGTGCAAGCACGGGCGGGGACGCGTTCGCAGTGGCTTTTGATGGGCGCGAAGTGTGTGCTATGTTGTGAAAGCCAAGACGTCAATCTGCTGCATTTTCCACAAGGTTTTCTACTTTTGCGCGAGGTGTGTATACAGGGTGAGCATCCAATACATGCGCACGCGCAACCCCAATTGCAATACGGGTCTGCGTATTGTTGTCACAAAAATGAATAGAAGGCTGATTATGCAAAAAGAAAAAGAAATAGAAAACTGATTCAGCAGTGACATCGATTTCGCGAAGCATAGTGGTAACGGTCCGGCCAGGTGACTGGGTTACGCAGCAGGTGAAACGAGACGACTTGACCGTGGACGGAAAGGTCGGAGTCCGGGGCGAGATCAAACGACGGAAGGTGGAGGAAGCATCACACACCGGGAAAGCGGCAACGAAGGCAGATCGAGTGGAAGTCGGTGGACAAACAGGCTGTCTGCATCGAGAAACAGTTTCGCGAGAAGCTGCAGAGCCTGCACATGCAGCACAGGCCAGAAGACAGCGAGTGGAGGACTTTTATTCCTGCTCGTGTCACGAGTCCTGATCTGAAGAAACGGCTAGGAGCCATACCGGTGGACGAAGATGCGGAGCCGCAGGGGGAAGGTGGGCGGTGCTGCAAACGCGTAAAAGATGCAGCCCTTGATCGAGCCTCGATCGGCAAAACCCGACGCGAACTGATCTCCGAAGTCTGCACCCTCCTGCAGATTGACTACGCAACCCTCCGAAAGCCGACTGCGCAAGAAGAAGATGCGTCGCGTGAAGAGCTTCGACCGTTCATCGCAGCAGCCGAAAACTGGAAAGCTGCAGGCTACCGCGACAACGAAAGTGATAACGATATGTAGTACAGAGCAACAGTATTTGTATAGTCGTTTTGTTCGTGAAGAGAAGTCTGCTCGTACAGCTGTAAGCATAGAATCTGTATGGTATAGGTGACATTCGCATCGTCTTGCTTGTAAAAGTTAAGCGCTGCTTGCGCATGTTGGACCACAAGCGATGAAGTTCAGTGTGCTTCTCTTGTTTGATAATTTCTGTACAATACTAACGAATGCACGTAGAGTAGAGCTGTATTTGTAGAATGCAAGAGCTGTGCTTGTATGATAGGAAGTAGCGAAAGAAAGGCACAATAGTGGAAAAAGTAGCAGGATCTTAGTTGTAAGAGTGTGCGCATAGCTTCTGAAAAGGTCTGACCAGAAGGAAAACGCGGTCGACTTCCAGGTGTGTTCGTCGTAGTTGAAGCGATGCTATGTGCTTGATTTGTGCCCAGTTGTGTCGGTGTCTGTGGCTCGAAGACAATGCATTCCTGTGGAAAAATATTCAATTCTTCTGCTGATCTTCCCCCGAAAAGATCACTTTCCATCAATAAGCCTAGCACTTTTGTCATCTGCTAGCTGAAGCTTTCAGCTGAGAGCCGCAAAAAAGCTTGTAAAAGTCAGACTATTCAGCTACTTTGATCAAAGTAGCTGAATAGTCAAGCACTTTCATGAAAGAAACAAGGTCTGAGCTGAAAGCTTCAGCTGGCAGATGTATAGAATCAGCATACTTTTCTGCATTTTCCCTCATTTTCACTCATTTCAGCAACCAGCTCTCAATAAAAAACCGTAGCTGAGTGAGCGAAAACACGAAGAATACTAAAAAACAATCTTGCAACTTTTGACATTTTCCGGAGGCTTCGCCCCACTGTGTACACAAAAAATCAAGGCGCTTTCCTTCTCCCTTGACGTTCATTCCAAGGCTGAGGCGCCGCGGTGACGCAGGTCGTCGCTGGTGGTGACGCGGTGATGGCCGCTGGTGACATCAACGCCCGTCGGGTCGGCGAGCTCTTGCCCGCCTACGCGCAAACGGGTCTTCCGACGCCGGCCCATACGCAAGCGCTTTTAGACCTTGTAGCGAAAGGGTCGATCAAGTCGCGCACCGTCAACCTGTCCTGGATAGAGTCTCGATTTGCCGCGATCGAATTCCCGAACGACATCCCCTGCACGGGCCAGCTGCTCCGGCAAACAGCGGAGGCCTCTGGGAACATGCTGAGGCGTTACGAGAACGCCGTGGGGATCAAGGTGTCCATGGGACAAGGGACCTACAGACCCCGAGAATGTGCACTCTGTGTGATTTTTGTTTCATTGACTACAGAGAAAAACTCAACTCGTGTTCTTATTTTTCTTGTTTCGCATGCTCTCTCAGCTGTCAACATATACAACCTGCGTACTTCAATCTACATTCAATCTCGAAAAACAAAACTACATCTACAGCGTGGGTCTTCGCGCGTCATAAAGGTGCTTTGAGGTGCTACTCGGGTAACCACCAGAGGACGGCCGTGATCATGTACAGGGACCAGGGCGGAAGCGACTACCTGAGCTTCGGCGTGATGTGCTGCAATTATCTAGCTACATTCTTGATTGAATAGATGTTGTCTGTGGATTTTCCTGTCTGTATGATATAGATATCCCAAACCATGTATGACACGACGTGTGCGATTGCAGCAAGTTGCTTTTCATAGAAGATCTGACTGCATGGAAACAGCGCAGCTATCACGCTCGCACTCGCTCCATGTTTTTGCAGAAAATGTTTGCGATGTGACTTATTTTCTTTGCACCCAAGCCACTTGCTGCATTCTCTCACTCTCTCACGCTACCTACTCACGCTTTCGCTTGTGATCATGTACTATTACACCCTCATCATCACATCCTCATCAAACAACAGCTATCAGGTTCAAGATCCTGGACTCTGCCTTCTCCGAAAGCGGACAGCTCGCGAGTTTATATACTCGTCTTAAGAACGAGGGGAGCGAAGCCCTTGGGGCTATTTTTGTAGACAAAGTCAGAAGCATCTACAAACGCGCACAGTTTTTCTTTTTGATGATGATGGTGATTTCATATACTGGCGCGTGGTTGTGTATTAAAGTTTTGAATTTTTGTGCTTCTGTGTGTTTGCATTTCAGTTGCCAACATTATTTCCACAGCAGCGCGCGCTCGTAGATACAGAAGCACAATCACCATTCACAACTGGAACAGACTACGTCTTCAATTTTCACTGAGAGCCGCCCCCGGCGCCAGGCTTTTTATTTTCCCGCTATTTTTCCTACAGTCGGCGCTCTTGCGGGGGCGTGTGTTTCCTGTTTAAGTTTTTGTCTAAGTTCGTGTCTAATTTCCTGTCTAAGTTTTTGTCTAACTTTTTGTCTATTTTCCTGTCTATTTTCCTGTCTATTTTTCTGTCTATTTTCCTGTTTATTTTTCTTTTTATTTTCCTGTCTAATTTCTGTCCAAAAAGCGGCCTTGGCAGCTTCGGCTGCTGTCTATTTTTTGTCTAATTTGCCCAGCTTTGCAATTTGCGTGCGATTTTGCCTATGTCGGCCGTTGCTCTGAAATTTAGGCGCAAACTTAGAAAATTTCGGGACGTGGTCAAGAACGGTTGAAAGGGCCGGCGGCGCAATTGCTTCGTCACTGCGCCTTTCAGGCGGGTCGCCGGCGATGGGCTCAAGCGTCTGCGTTCTGCAAGTCGCCCGCGCCCCGCCTGTGTCCCCAGCAAAGGCGGCCCGCCTCGGCCTATTGCCCGGGGCGGGCTTGCTCGCCCAGGCTAGGGCTTGGGCGGTTCAAAAAATAGCGGGAACTTAGGCAGTCGCCCGCCGGGGCTGGCTCTCCGCGACAATTTTGTTACGGCTTCGACCGCAAAAGACATGTCTCCATTGATGTACCTCATGAGGGTGTCGCAGCTGCTATGCCCCGTAAGCTTGCGAATTGTACTTAGAGCGGTGCCTTGCCTGTAGAGTTCGGTAGCAAAACTTCTGCGCGGAGTATGCGAAGTTATTCTCTCTGGCTCGCAGGACAACTTCCCGCGACACTTGAAGTCGGCGCGGGCTTCTCTGATTTTTTTGGCCATGGCTTCGGAGGAGAAGTCGAACAGAGGGTCGCTGTCTTCTAGGCCCTCTTCGTCAAACTCTTTCTGCATAGCAGCCAAAAAATCCCGCATTGCGGGAACCGTCTTGGTCGGGACTTGCGTCAAAGTTCCGCGACCGCCTTTCCTTTTGGCAAGCTTCGAACTGCCACATCGAATTTTGTCGAGCATAAAGTCTTTGCGTTGTAGTGCTCGAACGTCCATGCCTCGCCTGCCGGTGAGGCACTGGAGAAGCCAGCACAATTGGCACCTTCTTCCCTGCTTCTTCTTCTGACCACAAGAATGTAGCAACTGGCCCGCGAACCGCCTGCAATCAGGCACGTTCATACTCCCGGACCGCATCTCCTCCCCATCATCCACCTCCAAACTCTTTTCTTGCTTCTTCGGCGATGCACCTGGTTGGCTTTTTGGTGTGTTCTTATTTGTCTGTGCCGCCTTCTGCACTGCTTTCTTCGGCGGAGTCGTTACCATCGTCGGAGTTGTGCACTTAGTTTTGCGCGTGCGCTTTTTCATCGCTACTGCCGTAGTGGAAGTGCCCACGCTAGTCGAAGAGGCATTCTTCGTTGATTTAGGTTTTGCGGTTTTGCCTTTTGACTTCATCTTGGTCCGAGATAAAGTTTAGGGCTAAGGAGTCAGCTACTTTTTGAAATGAAAATCAAAAAGTCTAGGCTGCAACATTTGCCTAAGGGGTTCCGTGATAATCTTATACTTTACAGCTGAAATGTGTACACTCAGCACAAATTCAAATTTAGCACTGATCGAAGTGAGCGCACAACTGCACGTCGTGGGTGATAATCTTCAAACAAAGTCACAGCGACAACATTTATAAACAGCTCGACAAACAGTGCCAGCAGTACTTGGCCAACCACACAACGGGCGTGAAGAAAACGAGACTGGAGCTCTTCCAGGTATATTGTGTTTTTTTCTGAGAGAAAGAAAACGAAGCGAGGCGTCATGTTTTTTCTTCTATATTAGGGCTTCAACTTCCACAGCAATGCCAAGCTTCTTGCCAGCTTTTTACGTTCATGCTTGTCACAACTGTCATCGTTTTCACTTGCGCCTTGTTACCATTTTCACCTGCATCGTCGAACACCTAACACAAATATCAGGCCGCCTGCCAGTCCTGCCATACCGACCTCGAGATCTCCGCGGGCCTCTACCTGTGTTACTCGTTCACCGAGAGCAGCGCGGTCTTCTTGGGGTATTTTCGTCGCTTCGGCGGCCGTGCCGACGAAAAGACTTACGCGGCTTTTGTGAAGTATATATTTAGCCGCTGCTGTTTTGATTCACTTAAACCGTTGTGCATTTTACCACTGTAGTGATGTGCTGTAGATGTTAAGCATTCTGCTTCGTCGTGAATAGTGTTACTCTGCGTGCTACACTGGGCGAGAAAAAAGCTGCACGCCATACCACGGCGAGTGATGTTATCCTCGACCCATACACAAACGGCTATACATTTGTGTTTCGGTTTCGCCATATGTGTTTACTTATTTACGAACCAGACGTCTTATCAGGTTAAAGCTGCGCCCGCAGAACATCCGCGGCATGCCAGAGGTCCTCCGCGTCGCGGGTATGTGCGTGCTCGGTCAAATCGTCACGAACTCCAAGGGCGCGGAGCAGGCGCAGGCTTTGAACGACGAGGGGTTGGTCGTGCAGGGCATGCGGCTCAGGGGCGTGTCGCTCGAGGTCCGCGAAGTAAAGAGTGTCTCTACTTGCTTAAGATACAATATCCGGAAGACCGAAAATGCGGACTCGCCGTACAATAAAAAGACTACTCATCTTACGGCGGAGATGAGTCGAAACTCCATAGGAGGGAGGACATTCGAGGAGGGGGAAGCCGGCGTTACGCTATACGTATTAGAGTTAGTGACTTTGATTTTACAAATTGCGTCTGATTTCGTGCGTGATTGTTGCTGGGCATCTACTTCTACATCTACCACTAGCACTGCCATAAGCTCACGCGATGATCTTCGTGGCGCGCGTTCCTCTGCTTCTCCAACTTTGATATGGTTTTGTATTGATTCGCATTGCAGACGGTATTCTGAAGCCAACATGTGGCGCACCTCTGCGCGATTGCTATTCCCGCGCAGAAAAGCATTACGCTGCGTGGTATCATGCATTCATGCTACAATTGTCATGCGGCACATCGTGGATAATCTATCTTATACCGCATGGCGCGAACAATTTTTGTATTTTGATTTTGAAGCTGGAGTTGTAGATGAGCGCGCGCCGTCGTGTTATCCTTATCGAGTAGCATCTTCATGATCAGCATCAACTCCATTTTTTGTGCAGACGATCGAGGACCCCACGCGCGACATCGTGACCGCCACCACGCCGCAGGAGGCCGGGTTGCAGTTCCCGGGAGAATGGCGGGCCGCATAATCGCGCCGCCAACGCGGAGGCGCAGCGCCTGACGAACAAGCTTTCCGTCGTCAAGAACACCCTCGCCGCCAGCCAGGTGCTCCGCCTGAACGTGATCCAGGGCCAGATCAGCGCGATAAAAGCTGGCGCTACGTTGGCGGCGAGCATTGCGATGCAAAAGGGCGTCCGCGTGGCGCTCGACTTCGACCCCAGCGGACCGCTGAAGTCTTTAGATGACAAGAAGGCCGTCACTATGGAGCGTGGTAGTAACCCGCTGCAGAAGGAGGTCCGCACGCTGAAGAGCGCCGAAGAAAAAAGACACAAGAAGGAGAAGCTGGACACCACGAAGTTGCACAACAAGCGCACCCAGGCCGCCATGAAAGAACAGCATCCCCACGAAGAAGCGGAACGACGAAGACCCCCCGCATGTGACGGAATTGCGGAAGGAGTTGATCAAGTTGCTGGAGAAGCAGTCCAAGGACCACACTGACACGATTGCCGCCCTCACGGAGCGCGCCGCTTTTGGCGGGGGCGACACTTACTGGAGAGCGAATGTCGAGCCGCAGAATATGCAAGCGAATGCATATCATGCCTCTACATATATTATTGCTTTGCTTGTATTATGTTTCTTCATGCGCATCGACGTCATGAGCTGCAGTCGCGTCGTCTTGGTCCTATGCCAAAACATGACTGCGTCTACGTCTATATTTGCATTTGTGTACTTTTCTCATCCCTAGCACGAGCTACGTCTACCATTTCAAAAATGTAAATTTGCAATGCGTTTGCTTAGCTACCAACTCTGAGTCGCCACCTACTCAGGTGAATGCGGAGAGCTTGCGTGTCGACATGCCGTGCTACCAGTTGACCGACCCGACGAAGATCAATGAGGAATGGAAGCTGACGGAGGAGGAGACGCGGATCCAGAAAGTCTACCCGCTGCGGATCCCCATTAATGTGCAGCGCCCCAACAATCACCCGAACCACGGCGCGTGCCAGAAATTGCACATGACCTGGCGCAACAGCAGCCTCGACGTCGACAAAGAGCCCTTGACCTTCGTCCCGTGCAATGTGGTATTGCTAAGATATGACAATCGTCGCAAGGGCAAGCGCCGCGAGGTGTTTAAGTTTTTTTTTTCTTTGCGCCGTAGCATACAATCACGCTGCATTTACAAAAGCAAGTCGAAATAAAAAGCGAAAGACATCATCGACACAAGCGACGGCTACGTATCAGCTTCGTACTTCTTTTGCACATCGGCGGGAGTTGATGACGCAGAGAAAGCAACCGCCTCCGTTGCAAGTCGATTTTTTCATCATGCACGTGGACAGTCGGACTCATAGTCTTACCCATAGTTAGTTCGCATTCTTGTTTTACATCACAGCAGCACACAGACTCGATCTCACCACGACCGCGACTACGTCGACAGAGGACGCAATTTAAATTTTGAATTTCAATCAGGCCTTCGGTTCCGGCCCCGAAAGATTCAGCATCCAGCTCAAGCTGCCCTTCGGCCCGAAGAAGACCGCGCTGTCCCCCAAGCTGACGCTGTCTGGTGATAAGAACGCGGAAAAAGCTAAAGCGAAAGGCATTAAGCCGCCGGAGAAGAAGAAGTCGACTGCCAAGGAAAAGAAGGATCTCGAAGAGCGTGACGCTCTTGCTCTGCTCAACACGCTCGGCCAGGCGAAGACCCCGGAAGAGAAAGACCGTCTTTTGAAGACGCCGGATGCGAAGCTCGTGGCGTTTTTGGAGAAGAACAAGGATGAGGGCGTGTCCGTCAACTTGCTGAAAGCCTTCAGTACCGGCGTCAACCAGGACGACGGAACCGACGGCCATGGCGGTGGCAGTTCCAGTTCCGCGTCTTCCGCGACCGCCGCCGACGCGAAGTTAGATGCCCGCACTGATGCGCGCCGGGCCGCAAGCTGGCCAAGGGTAACGCCTCGTGGGACTTCCTGAAGCTCGGCTCCGACGACACCCAGGGCCGCTACTTCACCAAGGAGAGCGCCGTTTGCTTTCCGGCTCCGAAGACACCCGAGAACGAGAAGCAGAAGCTGTCTCCGCCGGAGAAGAAGCAGAAGAAGTCCAACTCCGCTGAGAAGCGCAGCAAGAGCAGCAAGGCCTAGTCAAAATTGTAAGACTATTTAAGAAAATGAAAATGAAAAAAGTCGAAAATTATAAAAATACATGATAAATAAGAAAAGGGAGACTTGCCTTCTACAATTTTTCTGCTTGATTAAGATTGAGTAGTCGTATGCCTTGCGGAATTGCATTTCGCCCTAGATGTAAGATGATAAAAAATAGCAAGAGTGGGGTAACAATGAAATCCTTATCCGCCCCCCCGGCGGATAAGCCGGGGGGGGGCCCCCCCCCGGCTTATCCGCCGGCGGGCCGTACCGGTATAGCCGCGACAAAGTGGCCGGGCGCTGCCATCGCCTGAAGGACGCGGAAATGCCGACAGCATCCGGCATGTTGTTGGAAGATTTTGAAACACCACAAAGGCCGACGGCATGACGCCGCCGGCCTTTGTGGTGTTTCTTTGAAAGTAGCAGGCGCAGCATTTGAAGGCCCCACACCCACTGCCGGGACTGCTTTAAAAAAAACCGCCAGCAGATACATACTTGCCACGCAAAAGGTGCAAAAACTTGGGGAATTCGCCACGCAAGAAGTGGCCCAGCAAATAGCAGCGGGCCCACAAGGCCAGGGCCAGAATGAACTTGCCCCACAGCAGTAAACTCCCAGCGTGAGGGCCACCGGGCTTCCTCCCTTATATCCTTCGGGCCATGTGCTTACTTGCCAGGCCATGCCGCCCTGCTCTTGGGCACGCATGTCTGCAGGCAGCGGCCTAGGGTCCGAAGCGAGTAGAATGAAACGCAACGGGCTGAGGGTTTCATCTTGCGCGCGCCCGCCTTTTAGGGGCGTGCGCCTGTGCAAACCGAAACCCAAGCCCACTGCCCGCCATGGGCCCCCCTGCTTTTTCAATGGGCCCAGCCTGCCACGCACCGAAACAGGCCGCGACAACGCCCAAGGCTGCGCGCCGAGGGCTCGCCCCTTATAAATGTGGGGCTCCGTCCGTGGTAAAATTCCCCCCGGTGGTGTGCTCGACTTATATTCTACCGAGACAGGAGCGGGCTCTAGGCTGGGCAGCCATTTCCTGGGCCGCGGGCCGGGCCGTGCTGGTGGCGTGTTTGCTTGCCGCAGCGCGGTTCAATAGCTTCCGCCACGGCCATAGGCATCCAAGCAAACAATTGAGCCGCGCGGGCGACAGCCTCGCGCGCTCTACTTTTGTTCACCGACTTTTTTTTTCATACCGCCGCCGGCCAATGTTTGTGCCCTAGGTTTCCGGCGCGGCGCAAATGCCCGCCCGAAATCAGTGATGCGAAGCAGGCCCCTGTGTCCAGTGAGGTTTTCTCGGTTCCCATTACAGGTTTTCCCGCCTCCCATCTCGGGCCTCGGTGGGGTTTTCCCGCCGCAAAGGCCCCGGGGCCCAGTGCGGCGGGCTGTGGCCCTGGGCAAGCCGCAGCCCGCTACCAGCTACCACCCCCGAGCTGGCTCACCCGCGACACCCCGGCCGCCTCGCAGCGCGGCACGCATGGCGCCAGGTCGCCGGGGCAGCAGCTCCGGGGACTTGCATGGGGCTGCGGGCTGAGTGGTGATGTCTTGCGTGGCCTGTTTTCAGCGCGAAGGAATTGGTAGCCGTCGGGGCTTGTGAGTAGCTTGCAATCAAGGCCAGCGAGGTGCTTGCACCTGCGAACAGCCCCAAGGCTGTTCGCAGGTGTGTGAAGCCTGGCGCCCTTGTTTGCGAGGCACGCTGCCGGACTCGGTCTGTGTGTGTGTCTCTTCTGTCTGGAACATGACGAGGCCCGGGCTTCTATTGACAAACCCGCTAAACAGGCCCCGGCGTGTGAAGCTATCTAGTTTCTGTGTGTGAATTCCCAACGCCACGTCTTTCCGCCTCGTTTTGTTTGCATGGCAAACATTGACGCGCTGCGTCCCTTCATTTTCTTGCTCTATCAATCCCGGTGGTGCGACGTTTGGCAATTTCCTGCGCATTACTTAAAAAAGCCATAAGCTTAAGCACCAGCGGCGTGCCGTGTGTCGGCCGGGGCTCCCTCGGGCTCATCCAAACGGCGCCGGGGCCGGGCCAGTTCATGGGGCCTATTTCGGGACAGCCCGCCGGCGGATAAGCCGGGGGGGGGCCCCCCCCCGGCTTATCCGCCGGGGGGGCGGATAAGGATTTCATTGTTACCCCACTCCAAAGAGAAATAAGAATAATAAGAAAGAAAAGTGAAACGCTATAACTTGAAAAGGGGGCGGCCGCCGTCTACAGTTGCGACTGGTAGTTGTGTGTAGCTGTCCCGAGAGTCGAAAAATAGCTCAAGAGTTAAGAAGTTGACTCGTAAATCATCGCGATAAAAAAGTCCCGCAGCTTCGCGCTCCTGTTGTGTCGTCGCTGCAGGCACAGTGAAGACATCGCCTCCCTTCGCCACGCATTATCAGTCTGCCTGGTCCTCAGTCTTACTGACTCTGCGCGCGTGACATAGTATTCGTTTCGATCTCGTGGGTTACATTGACTCTTGCGCTTTCTTTCTGCTACACACCGACGAGCTATATTTGGCGCAGTTTGCTTTTGCTTACAACTACCTTTGCCCCACGAGATCAACCATCACTGTTTCGCACTAAAAAACGAAAGCTAATACTTCGTCCATCTTTGTTTGCCCCCGTCTATCGGGGGTCTGTTGATGACGCGGCACATTTGGAAGACTGTTGGTTGTGCTCGCGCGACCGACAGTTTTGAGCTATACACTTAATGCACAGTTGATGGACAGTAGCGGTGACGTAGTATTACAATAACAAGAGCGACAATATGAGCGAGCCCGTCTATCATATTTTCGCGGTGCTTAGAAGTTGGCGACACTGTCGCACACGCTGCTGATTGATAGCCATATCTACAATTTCATCGCAAGACTTGCGAATAATTCAATTTGTTCGAAAGTTCAAATTGAATAATTCAACTTCGTGAAGAGTTCAAATTGAATAATTCAACTTCGTGAAAAATTTAAACTGAATAACTCAACTTCGTGAAAAATTCAACTTCGTCAGTCTTAAATCGAGTCTGATTCTTAGATCGAGTCTCGGCCTTAGTCTGAATCTTAAGGCGCATTCTCAAATCGTCTCGATCTGAATCTTCAGTCGCAATCTCAAATCGTCTCGAATCTCAATAAAAGTTTTAATCTTAAATCGTCCGACACTATCAAAATCTTAATCATAATATCGATCGCAGGCCATAATCTCGATCACAAAAAATACTTTCGATCTCAAGCCATAATCTACAAATCACACAGATTGGGGCGCAGCGTCATCATATTGAAAGGGCGGGGGGGGCGCGGGGGGGGGGCGAGGGCCCCCCGCATGTAAGTCGTCATCTCAAAAGTCATCGGCTTCGATCTTAAAGGTACAATCTGCGGTCTTAAAATCATTCACACAGATTGGGGCGCAGTGTCATCATATCGAAAGGGCGGGGGGGGGTCGCCCGCGCCGGAATGAGTAGGGGGCCACTCGGATCGGGGGGGGCGCGGGGGGGGGGCGAGGGCCCCCCGCGTGTGAATCTTCATCGCAAAAGTCATGCGCTTAAGATCTTAAAGTTATAATCTTAGATCTTAAAATCATTCACACAGATTGGGGCGCAATGTCATCACATCGAAAGGGCGGGGGGGAGTCGCCCGCGCCGGAATGAGTAGGGGGCCACTCGGATCCGCGCGATCGCGTGGCACTTTCTTACTGAAATCCCTAAGGAAAAACAAAGCTCACCCGGTCGCGCGTCCGAGGAGAGCAACGCGATCAGGCAGCCGGAGAGTGAAGGCGACGATCGCATCCCTGCAAGCTGTACATGGATTGCCACCTATCCTCCTGAGAAATCAGGCAGCCGGCCCGAGGCATTTTCCGCTAGTAAAATTTTTTTAAAATGTCACTAATTCCGGGAATCGCGGGCCGGCTGGTTGGGTGCGGCACCCTTTGGGCACGCGCCGCATTCGGGGAGGGGGGCGCGGCATAGTGTGGCGCCCCCGCTTTTTGTTTTCCCGGGTGTCGTAAGCTTCCGGGCCGTCTCCCCTGGTTGTGTGTTCTCCCCCGTCCTCTTGGGGATGGGGGCCGCTTATCATTGGGCCTTTTCGCGCGCGCGGCGCCTTGGCTTTTGGTGGTGGCCTGCCCTCGGGCGCTCTTTTCCCTTACCTCAGGGAATGTCTCGGGTCGGGCCCTTGCCCGGGCCTTCGGTTTTTCTTTGTCCGGTATCTTTGCAAGGGAGGGGGGTCCTGTGGTGTGGTTTGGCACACAGGGGCTGCCCCTCGTGGCCATGGCTCAAATCCACCGGGGCCCGGCGCCTTTGCATTTATGGGGGGCAGCGCGCAGTGGGCCCGGCTCTGGAAATCAGGCAGGCGTGAGGCCGGGGCTTTTTGGTCTTTCACGCACCACCCCGATCCCGGGCGGCTAATGAAGAGGGTAATCCCGGCGGTAATTTCCGGGGTTAATCTGACCACAACGAAATCGGGAAGGTTTCGTTGGTTTTGGAATTAGAACAAAAATTAGACTACAGATTATACTATAAATTAGACCACAAATTACCCCAAAAACCCAAGGAATTAACCTGCCCCCGGGGGGCAGTCACTCCGCCAGAGCATTGGGCTTTCAGTTGGCGCCATTTGCCACCACGTGTCCTGCTTTTTCTCGGCAGTCCGCCCGCCCGCAGCTCCCGCCCGCCCGTGGCCTTTGCGTCTTTGAATGGATTCCCCCCGACCGGTGCCTTTCCCAATTTGCCCCGAAGATTGAAGGGGTGTCGCTCTGGAAACCCACAAACAACAGGCCCGCCGGGGTCGCGTTCCGGCCTCCTTTGTGATTTGGCGGAGGCCCCCCGCGCGCAGGCTTCGCAGGCTCCTAGGCCTTTCTTCGGTGCCGGGGCACCCTTTGGCGCCTTTCCCGGCGCGCGCCCGCCTCCCCTGCAGGGGGGCGCGGGGGGGGGTGCCCGGAGGGCGGCGCCCGCGATGGCTTTGCGCCCCCGGAAGTATGGCGGCACCCCCGGCGCGCTTTCTAGTCGGGTCCCTCTTGCGCCTGCCCTCCTTCGCTTTGGGGATTAGCCAAACTTCAGCCAGGAATTAACGAAATAGCTTGCCACGGGCCGGCTGCCTGAGAGAAATCTTTCCCCTGGGTAGCCAGAATTGCTGTGCTAAACACAGCAACTCGGGGAAAACAAACAAAATTCTCCATCCCATTACCCGCACCTTCCCACTATGCCACTATTCCTCCATTACCCTGATACCCTCCCAGCGCCCTATTGGGAGATCTTTTCCCTAGGTCGCCAGAATTGCTGCGCTAAACACAGCAGCGCGGGCAAACAGACGAACTTTTCCCATCCGTTCCCAATATCCTCCAACTATCCTGGAGATACCCTCCCAGTATCCTACCAGGAAATCTTTTCCCCAGGTAGCCAGAATTGCTGTGCTAAACGCAGCAACTCGGGAAAAAAAAAACTCCCATCCGCTTCCAATATCCTCCTCCTAGCCTGCAGATTCTCTTTCAATATCCTACCGGAAACCTTCCCTCTGGGTAGCCAGAATACCTATGCTAAACACAGCTAACAGCTCGGGAGAAAAGCCAAGCACCCTTCCGGTGCTGCTCCCAAACTGGGGCGCGCTGCGGATGCGTTTTCAATGTGCTTCCGGCTGGGTTTCCTTGCAGCTGGAAACGCACTGCGGCACGACAGCAGAAGCAGTGTTCTTCTCAGTTGCTACCGAAAACGACGGACCGCGCGCCCTGGCGGCAGGTGAACTCTGTGAAAAATGCGCCTTCTAGCGCAAGTCTGCGATGTCACACCGAGCGGGCGAAGCTATTCGAATCTCGTACACTACTACCACGCCGACAATGACAACAGTGCGAGCAGTTGTCTCGATGCAGACGAAGACGTAGTGGCACAATAGAAAGTGGACTCTGGTCATACAAAATAAAACAAGCACGAAGCCAGACAGATGAACACTACATGGGAACTGACATCGATGTCGTCGCCAGCGAATCTCTACGCATGCGAACAATGAATGCGCAATGATGGAAGCTCTCACAGCCTGTTGGTATCAGTAAGACTTCAATCAGCTGCCCTTTTATAGCTCGCGTGGTCCGCGTGCGCCGACAAGTCGCGAAGGTCTCGGCTTTAGCTTTAGCCTGTCACTGTAGTCATAGTCGCAAGCTTGGTGCCGTTTTGAAAAAGTCTCTAGGTGTGTCTACATCTGTTGCAATGTGGTGACGACCTTCGCCATCCAGGCCTCCCATCCGCGTTGCTGCCCTGCCATCGGTGTCGATCGGTTTCGCTTATCTCCCTTTCCTACGATCACATGCGCACTTATCTCGGTACTCGGTGTTGATGTCCAGCTACAAAAAATACAACACAAACATAATACTCGATCTTTGATGTTGTGCCTGCCATCACCTGAGTCCAGTTGTCGGCAGCTCTAGCAGTTATTGCGTCGATGCAATTCAGAAAAGTCATGCGCCGCATCACAGTGAGAGAGATGTCTTCATGTCCAAGCAGAATAATTTAATTTCTTCGCGACGACTTCTAGGTCGGTCGTGATGATAGATGGATCTCGCAGGGTCGTTATGTCTTGTTCGGTTTGCTATTGCTTGACGCGAAGACGCCCCGACACCGCCTAGTTGCACAAAGAATCGGTTGAAAAAAAAAATAGTTGTGGTTCTACTATAAACAGCAACTATTTTAATGCTTGCGCCGTGATTCGAGATCACAGTTTTTTTCGGTTCGTGTTGATCATCGGTTGATCTTCGAGCAAATAAATCCGGGTTAGGTGCTGAGTAAACGCGTTGGGTGATGAACAGATTGCGGTGGCGGCCGTAATTTATTCATCACCTTCGCTGAATATATTCAGCACCTAACCCGGATTTATTCCTCTCGCCAATATGTCGCGAACATCAACTTGTCCATTCATAGATGAGGGCAAGGGCTGGCTCCACCCGGATGCGCAAGAACAAAAAGTCGACGACAGCCACCGATTGATTCTCGGCGGAACTTTGTTGAGTGGCACAGGCTTCTATACCGCTTGGCAGAGCCAGCTTCCAGATGCAGTGGAAACTCAGAGCGGCGACCGTTGGGTCGAGCAAAGTGGTTCTCTGTCGCAGGTAGTTACAGATCGACGCAGGATGGGTGGTGGTGGTCAGGACCAGGAGGATGATAAAAGGCAACAAACCGGGTACCGTATGATAGATGGCTACACATATGTCTTCAAGGAGCGCAAAGGGCCACAGGAACTGGAACTGCCCGATTATGAAATTTTGACACCGGAAAATTTTTGTATGCCCCAAAAAAATTTGGATGTCCTGTGAGTTTTGCGTGCGTGCTAGTGCGTGCGTGCAACTTTGCGCGATTTGCGCTTGCGCGCGAACGCGCACGCGCAGACGTTTGCGCGATCGCAAAGTCGTAGGCCCGCGCGCACGCGGCGATCGCAAGCCAAGCCTTGCGCGCGCGCTTGCGATCTTGCAGTCGCAATCAAGGTCGCGAGATCGCAGGATCGAGCGTGCGACCGCAGACCAAGCCTTGCGCGCGCGCGCGGTCCGAACAGAGCTCCCGTGCGCGCTTGCGATCGCAAACGTGCAAGATCGCAGGATCGTGCGCCCGATCGCAGACTAAGTGTTGCACGCGTGGCGTGCGCTCCGGACAGACTCTTCGCGCGAGCGCGCACTTTCCAAAACAGGAAGCATGCATGCGCTCTCCTCGCAAAAATCTCGGCGCGCGCGCAAGCGCCAATCTCACAAAGTCGCTTCGCACGCACGTACGTGCGCAAAACTGACATCCGCACATGTCCCAACGCCGAACTCAAGCAGTATTGCAGCCACGTCGTCCGTAATTTCGCGAGCAGAGAGGCACACGGCATCACACCGCTCGGCGATAGTGGCGACAGCCACGTACCATTTCCAGCGGACCGCAGTTACGTATCAACGAAAAATAAAGTAGTGCAAGCGCTTCATGCCTATCTCGTAATACCTAGCACGGTCTGCCGTGCGAGCTAGCACGATATAGGTGCGAAACATTTCCCAGCTTTCCCCCCATAGGCCTACGACGAAAACCGTCTGTACCCCCGCGTCAAGGCAATAGAGCCCGACAATGTCGAAACGCAGAACAAACTATCTGGCAACTACAATGACGGCGACAGCCGCACCAAAGTGGCAAAGACGAAGCACTACGACATCAACTCGGACGTACGCCAATGAACTCGCCCCCCACCCCCCCCAAAACGCCCGTGTTATGTCCCACCCAAGCACATGCCCTTTTTAAAATGCATACGCAGCAAGGAAAGAGTAAACGAGCCTGTGAGCGTCGCTCGAGCCTTGGCGCGGGAGCTATTTAGTTAGCTGGATCCAATACATGCATGAATCGGGCAGCGGGCGCGCGATGGAAGGTCAAAGCTTTTTGATTTTCCTGCTTTTTTCGCAGCTATTGAGCAGCTTTGCTCGCTTGGCAGTTTTGCCTACTCATGTCACGCTTGTGACGCCACGCTTGTGACACCGGCAGCTTTGGCCCGCCAGCTCCTTTGGCTCCTGCAACATCTTTGTTGCTAGTTTTTGTCACGCTTGTGACGTCACGCTTGTGACGTCACGCTTGTGACACTAGCCAGCTTTGGCTACTGCAGCATTTTGTTGCTATTCGCGTCACGCTTGTGACGTTGCCTTGCGGCTTCCGCAACGCCTTCTATAATTGCGATTTAACATCTTACTTCCGCGCTGTCGCCTCTTTGGCGCTCGTCGGCTGGCCCTCCTGTTCCGAGGTTCATCCGCTCTCTGTGCTGGGTTCTCCTCGGCTGCGGCTCCGCCTTGGTGGGCCGGGGCCTGCGTCCTGTGGACTTGCCGGGAGGACCGCCGACATACGCCAAATGGGCTCGCTTCGTTCTTGGATTGGATAACTAAACAACCAAAAAGAAAACGCGCGCCTTTTGGTAAGCAAGTGACGCGCCTTATTTTGATCAGAAAATACACAATTGCTTCGCTATCTGCTCACCAAGTACAAGTAGCGCACTGCTTGGCTGCAGAGGCTGCTTCAACATTTCGACAAAGTCGCGGCATTTGGTCGCGGAGATGCCCGACAGCGAGAGGACGTGGGGCGCCGCAGAAACGCATGCTGTGCCTGGCAAAGCAATAGGAGATAAGTAGGGGTGGTAAATCTTTATGAGAGAACACGATCCAACCACGTCGCCAAATACATCGCCCCGAACCATCGGGCCCGCGCCACGTTTGCCATGCTGTCAGCCGTGAGCGGAGGCTTCTTCAAATTTAGAAAGCTCGCGAAGATCTTTGGCGCGTTATCTATTACACCTCCTCCGCGGAAAGTGCATCATAATGCGGCGCGTGGCGTTCTATGCCACGGCATAAAGTAGCAGGAGTTTTGGTCATCTTTAGCTGCATTCATGCAGCAAACTATATGCCCCGGCTGTTTTTGTTTTGCATGTGCATGGGCCGCAAATCGGATAGTACATGGATTTGCAGCCGCCAAAAAAGCCGTTATTTTACCGGCAAGAAAAGCCTATCCGTAATTAATATGCAAAGCCGATGACTTCGGCGAGCGCCTTTTGATCGCTAATCCGCATGGTGTGTTCGATGTGGAACGCGCCAAAAATCTGCGCCGGGCCGCCGGCGAGTGTAATCCGGGTTGCCGAACGCGAAGCGCCGACATTATATCTGCTTGTGCAGCATGATGGCTACAAAAGACGAAAAAAGTTGCGTCGCTGACTGCAGTATACCAAGGTGTATGAAGTTTCGCGCGAGATGTCTTCTCCTGCGCTGGAGTAGATCAGCAAAATTCATTCCAATAATTAAGTGTGGCGCTGGCGCCAGCTGTTTTGTTCCAACTACTCCACCAAAAAGCTGAGGCGTGCCTTGGTGTATAAAGTTACGCGCACGGAAACTTCATGCCCGTCTACCTCTTTGTGAACCACCGGCCGGCGCGCGCTTCCTCCCCAGCCGGGTGCCTAGTACTACTCCAAGAACCTTACCAAGACGACCCCGGTCCTGTTCTCGCTGCCGAAATCCTCTGCGACCAAGCAGATACCGACAGCACTTTGTCGCCGAAATACCAAGGGTTTTGAGGTCAAGCGCTGCGCTATTTTAGAAGCCAATGCCCTCAGGTCCAGGAGAGCGTGAGGCACGTAAACAAAAAAACGCGTTACTTGGTCACCAAAAAAGGAACTATTTGAACCCCCGACGTGTGCTTTTTGGATCACCCAAATAACAATAGTGTTTTGGGGGTGGGGGGCGAGTTCATCGGAGTAGGACGCGCACAGAGATCAGATACGGTGGGCGGCACAGCGTCAAATTGGTTTGCATTTTGCGAAAAAGCTGTCGCCAAATATCGGGGGAGCCGATTCGCCCAAAAGCAGAAACACGATGGACCAGGAACACATGATGTGGGATGCGCATGTCCGAGAACCTCTTCACCAGATACCGCTGAAGGAAGTTGACGAGAACCGCCGCGCCAACCGGTTCCCGACACACGCAAACGACGAGATTGAAGTGTTGGCGGAGCTGAACAAGCTGCTTGGCGCGGGGGAGCGAATCGGTAACTTTCGTGACCGTGAGGCCGAAGAGGAAGGCCGCGTGTACACGCCGGAACAGATTGGCTCTCCAAATTTGCGCTGGCCGACCGCACAAATTCAAATTGGCTCTCCAAATTTGCGCTGGCCAAAGCCAAGCAGAAGAGCAATAGAAGCGGAAATAAACGAGCAGATGGTCGAGGACGCCCAAAGTCAAAGACGGGGCATCGAGACCGACCTCGACCTCCACCAGGCAACTGAGAAAAGAAACCCGGCCTCTTTGCATCGCCCCTTGGCTGCAAAAGAGGCGAAAAGTAGGCGAAACAAAATTGCAGCCGGGTACTTCTTGGCAAAAGCTGCCCCGATTTCTCGTTTTCCTGGGGAACTGTTTGACTTTCGCCAAATAGCGATTTCTCCTCCGATTGTGAACGCAGCGTACGCCGGGCTACGGCTCTCGCCGGATTTCGATTCGTACTTCACGGATGACATACCGCTTTCAGGAACTGGAATGGAAGTAAGTAGATACCTCGACCAAGACTCGACGTATTCTGCGAGGTGGGACGACATCCCCACTCGTCGCGACCACTTCGGCGCCGACAAAATCAATATCATTAGGTAGACCAGATCCCGCGCTCGTTGATGATCATAGCCATAGGCAAGGGACAGCCGTACAGGTGTTGCAGTTCAACATAGTGCAAGGNCTCGGGAGATGCTGGAGAGCACAGGACGACGGCAGCATTTGGCGGACAAGCAGCGTGCGAGACACGCGGCCAAGAAAAGGAAGTGTGAACCCGTTCACCCGAAAGGGTGACCCTGCTCTGCCAGGGAAGGTGTTCGGCGACCTGTTCCGAGCGTCCTCCTTTAGGTGGGCGCAAACTGCGTTGGCCCGGAGTTTCGAGGAGCACAAGAGGTGAACGCAAACTCTGCCAGGCGCGCGGGGCTTCGCTCCGTGCAAATTGAGAATGTGCGCCGGTTTGCCGGCAGCCGCCGGAGGAGAGGGAAGCCGACCGGGCGTGAGCCTTCTGCCTGTGAGGGGAGTGTGTACGCAGCCCATCCCCAGTGAGGTCTGGGTCTGCGGCATCTACACCCCGGTAGGAGGTTCGCCGGCGCTTCACCTTCGGCTCCGCAAAATGTGCGCCGGTTTGCCGGTGTACATCTTTGGTCCAACATGATAACGCTTGATACTTTGAAATGAACACAAGAAGCTCACGGGCACAACGCTCGCGGCCAAAAGTCTAGGACAGGTCGCCGAGCACAGAAATAAAGAGATACAAGCAAGAAGGGAACTCCCACAGTAGGATTGTCGTGTCTGTGTGTTTCTCAGGATGTGTTCGACCTAATGACGATCTTTATCAACGGGCTGGCTTGGTTTGGCGTGATAATGGATATCATTAGGTAGACCAGATCCCGCGCTCGTTGATGATCATAGCCATAGGCAAGGGACAGCCGTACAGGTGTTGCAGTTCAACATAGTGCAAGGGCCCAAGAATTTTTTTTTCAAGCTGTGCAAAGCCAGAACTACGGAAAGAAAAATGGACGCGGATTACCTTGCGATGATCGGAGCCGGGGCCGACGTCCTCTTCGGCTGCGATGTCGACGTGCGCGAACCTCAGGAATGCCAGGGCGCCGGCCCTCAGGAATCTAGCGACCCGCCGCTGGGCAGCGATAAGGGTCACCCGCATGAGCCCGCCAAGAAGCGGAGGTTCGTCCGGGAGGAGAAGAAGGCAGTAGCCGGAGATAGTCACCAGAAAATGTGCGCCGGTTTGCCGGGGAAGATCCGCCGGTTTGCCGGGGAAGATCGGCGACGTTCTCGCCGGACTAAGTGCGAACCCGGCAGCAGTTGAGGAACTGGCCCAGGAGTTCGAGGGCCAGAAACTCTCCGCGGCGACGAAGAAGCAGCAGCAGAAGGCGTTCGAGACGTATTGTCAACCCATCTGCTCCCACTTCAAGTGGGACCCAGCGGAGCCCTGGAGCTCCGAAAGGATCAAGGCCACGGCCGCGGCCTTGGCGCGGTGTGACAACATCCCAAAGTCGCGGCACATCATGCTCGCACATGTCAAGGCCCGCATGTCTTGCGTCAGGCCACTGACCGACGCAGAGCAGAAGGACTACAGCCGCTGCTTCACGCAGCTGCAAAAGGGGGTCATACAGGTGCAGCAGCATCCCGCCCTGCTGTCATTTTGGAAGAAAGTGGACGCCATCAAGTCAGGCGCGGCCCCTTTCGCCGTTACCAAGGGCAAGACCTACGACCTCGGCGTCTTTCTGGACTTCTGCGTCTCCGCCTGGTTTTTGTTTCAGCGGCCCGATGAGTTCAGGAACACCTCCCGGGAGGTCTACAAGGCGGGCGGGGAGTGGCGCGTCCACTCATTTGTCAGTAAATCCAAAGTAGACCAGTATGAGCGAGGCTGGCACGCCCGAATGCGTTGCTGCTGCAGTGCCGTTCAGCCCTTGGGCCTTGGGCGGGTGCTCTGTCCGGTTCATGCGATAGAGGATAACGCGTGGGCCGGCTACGCCGCAGCACCGGGCGCGCATTTGCGAAAATGCATGGAAGAGGTAGTCCGCCGGTGCGACATGGAGGAGAAGCAGGACGGGCGGAAGCTGTGGAACCTCTACTCCTTCAGGGTCGGAGGAGCGTCTGCCGCTGCGCAGGGAGGCCTGCCACGGGAGGAGATCGCGCAGGTCGGAAGGTGGAAGAACATTGATACAGAGTTACGCTACGAGGGCAATCGTGCAGTGAATGTGACAGAGCAATTTGCTTTGCCCTGGCCACTCGTGCAAGCGTCTCTGCTACAATGATGATCATCTCGCGAGCAAATGCACCTCCAACGATTGAGATCAGACTGCGCCCTGATGGAAATGATTGATAAAAATTTGAGACAGTTCAACGAATACACACTCTTCGCGATCAATGCTCCCCCGCGCACCGCGCGCCGCGGCTTGGCCGGGTAGTTCGTTACATTGTTCCGCACCAAAAATTCGCAACAGTGACAGGACTCACGACGACAGCGCGTCGCAACAGTTTCAGCGTTTAGTCTTAGGAGCGAGAATTCGCATCCCTCATCGCATTCTACCCGTAGTTCACTACTTTTATCACAGCAGAACAAAACAGGATGGCCGCTAGTCAGGCGCTCGCGCAGGGCCTTGCCGGGTTGTTCGCGGACGCGGGCATCGCGGTTCCGGCTACCCCGGCCCAGATCCAGGCCTTCAACAACTCCGTGGCGGACGTCCCCGAGGAGTACAAGCCCAACTTCCAGCAGGTCACGAAGGTGCGCCGCCACTATGAGGCGGAAACCTTAGCCAAGTGCATCACAGTTGTGAAGAAGGAGCCCGACTTCACGCCCTTCATCTTCGTGTCCTGCCTGCTCTCGATCGGGGCCATACTGATGGACCACATGACTGCTGCGCACACGTTCATCACGACGCAGGCGATGGGCAAGGGACATGAGTCCGGCGACGGTAAGGCCGCCGTGTTCAAGATCTGGTGGGATTCCGCTGAGAGTGCCTTTCGCGTGATGGCGCCCGCCCCCGCCGGGGTGGCGGCCGGGCAGCAGTACCAGTGGCGCATCCGGATGGCTTTGACCGTCGGACTCAAGACCGAGGTGAAGAGCTCGCTGTTGTTGAAGAAGGCCGACGACGCGACGGATGCCAAGCTGTCCAAGTTGGAGGCGCGGTTCGAGCAGAAGTTGAAAGCCCTGGGGAACAAGCGTCCCGGGGGTGGCGACGCGGGCGCCCCGGCGAACAAGAAGCAGGCGAGGGACATGATCTGCGAGCTGTACTTGAAGGGCTCCTGCTCCTATGGCGGCAGCTGCCTGCAAGCTTAAGCATGGCGGGAGCTTGAGTCTCATGCAGTACATCAACAAGAGCAAGGGCTTCGGATTGTCGGAGGGCCATTTGAAGGAGAAAGCGACCGAGCCTTAGGTCCGCCGTCTGTAACTCAGGAAAACTGTCGTCTCCATGACTTCGGTAGATATCATATCACTCAGGAACTCATCGTGTCAGGAATGTGCGCTGGTTTGCCGGGCATGCCCCGCAAGCCTGGTGCATGCTGTCCCGGAGGTGCGCCTCCGCCAGTCCCTCGACGAGTCCTTCCAAAATGTGCGCAGGTTTGCCGGACCTCGTCCACAAGAATCACACGCCAGCACGGTGGTCGAAAATGTGCGCCGGTTTGCCGCATCGACTCGATTCGGGGAGATGTTTTGCAGACGGGAGAGACCACTCACTCAAGAACACACGATGATGAATGTTGAAACGACTGAGCTTGCCAGCTGTTTGGCCACTCAGTGCTCGCGCTCGATGTAATTTTGTGCGGAACCGGTAGCGTTTTACTGTCCAATCAAGATGAATGCCGTTGCTGTGTACATCAAGGATGAAGGCCAAGGGTGGAGGCCCTTTCAGTTGCTATCCGCAGCGGGCGGCTCCCTCTTGTGCTTGTTCGGTTCAAAGGCCTCGGGCCGTGTTCAGTCTCGGCGCAGTTGGGTAAGGAAGATGGGCGTCGCAGAAGCCGGGACGAGGTGAGGTTGATTTGGTAGGTCCGGGATGTGGGTTGATTTGCTTTTCGAATGATATGACACACAGCGACCTCTGAGCATATTGATTCCCTTGCTTTGTGTTTTTGATTGTGTTTTGATTTTGTTTACATTGATTTCTGCCCGGCCTACCAACCTTAACAAGCGAAGCGCTCTTTCTCCTTTTGCGCGTAGTCTATCTAGAAGTCTATCTATCGCGAATGGGCGCCGAGGACCATAGTAGGCCGGGAAACCCGCTGGGGGCGGTGGTGCAGCGCGATACTGCGCGGACATACGGGCGCCGGGATGTCCTTCCGGATTTCTTTTTGCCAGTCATCGACGAGGTGAAGAGCTCTTCCGCCGATGAGATAAACGTCGCGACCCAGCGGCTAGCAGGGTGGCTACTGCAAGTCCATTCGGATTCAGCTCAGGAAAATGGGGCTCTGCTCGCGCAGATGTCTGCAGATGTTCGGTTCGTGTACAAAGATAAGCAGTGGGCCTTCTTCCTTCGGTTATTGGCCCGGGCTTGCGACGTCGCGAGCCTCTCGCCCGAGCGCAGGCGGAAGGTTCTCGGGCTGCGAGAGAAGATCGTCGCCGGTTTCAAAACCGACGAGGACATAGACCCCTCGGGCCTTTGGGTATCGGTTGCGGATGACATTGGCCTCCCCCATCGTGACGAGGCCCAGGAACAAAAGAGAGCGGAGATATTCAGCGCTGAAGAGGCGCGCAAGATACCCGCGGACACATGGGCCGAGCCTGGGGACATCAAGGAGATGCAACGCCAGGCGGCCAAGATGTTGGCTACGGGCAAGTGGGTCAAGGTCGAGCAGGCAAAGTCCCGGCCTGCTGTCTGCTTCCCGGTGAAGCAGAAGAACAGAGCGCGCCTCTGCATTGACCTGCGCAGGCACAATGCCTGCGTCAAAGTTCGAGAGAGGATGAGGCTCTTGGGGGGTCGCGCATCGTGCGAGATCGTGACGCGGCTGGCGAGTAGCAACGTTCGGCCCGTCACCTTGTTCCAGTGCAAAAGAGACGTCACGCAGGACATTTTCGACGAGCGCACTTTCTTGAAGGAGGTGCGCGACGCGGGCGTCGCAGGTCGGCCGTGCTACGAGCCCGCCCCGCCCTCTGTGTTTGAAGACGATCCCGATCTTGAGATGCTTGAGAGGGACGTGGCGTCCAGTTTCATCCCAGCAAGCGAGACGAAGGACGTGGAGTCCTATTATTACAACTTCGCAGTAGCGGACAGGACGAAAAGCGTGTTCGTCGTCCCCAGGCTCACGGCGGAGGAGGAGGAAGCCTTCGCAAGCGGGTTGGTCCCCCAGAAGCGAAAGACCGCGGCGCGGCGTTGGGACGTCATCGAGAGCCTGGTGACAGTTTTCGGTAGCATAGTGTCCGTGTATGAGGATGTCGCCTGCTCAGGGGCTATCATGCTGGTGCTGGTTTGTATTCTACGCAAACTGGCACCAGTGTACATAGATGATATCCATCTCATGGATAGGGTGAAAAGTATGCCACATAGCTCGGCTCTTGTCGATCTGTTTTTATCGTTGTGTGGCTTTCCGCAGCAGGCGGCCAAGCAAGACCGTAACTACCTGCCGTCCGGGGGCGAAAGGGACATCCAGCAGCGGAGCCTGGTGGCGCTCGGGCTGGCTTATACACGTTCAAGGTGCGAGCAGTATCTGTCGGTCGCCCCCGCGGCTGAGAAGGTCGCGCACCTCCAGGAGCTTCTGTCCGGCTTACTGGGTGCAATACGGCGTCGCGGTGCCACTAGGGAGGCTGTCGAGACCGTGCGAGGGCTCTTCCAACACTGCGCGCAGCTCGATGCAGGTGCTGTTGGTGTTGTGCGGGGTCTTGATGTTTGGCGCAGCGACAAGCTCAGTAGGCGCATCAAGGACCCAAGAGAACGCAGACAGCTGCTTGAGACGGTCCTCCTTTTGCAGCTGCAGGCAGGTAGCCTTCGGCCAAAGATAATCCGCAAGGGGTTTCCATCCCGGGTTATCCATGTGTATGGCGACGCGTCTTTGGACGACTTCACAAAAGCGAAGCCGTCGAGGCCGGGGCGGTATTGCACGCGAGCGCGCGGCATCTACATTGGCGCGCTGATGCTGAACGCAGACCACTCGCGCGGGCATGGTTTCACGTTCCACGTGCAGGAGTTGCCGTCCTGGGTGGCGCACCTGAAGCCGGACATCGCGTTCTTCGAGACCCTTTGCGCGCATGTGGCGCATCTGTTCTTCGCCGCGGACCTCGCCCCCGGCGACGCGTTAGTGGTGCATCACGTCGACAACGCGGCCGAGTGCTATAGCATCGTGAAGGGTTCATGCGGCAACTTCGCGTCGCAGATCCTTCTCCATCAACTGCACAAGGACACAGCTGGTCGAGACATTTGCTGGGCGTGGATTGCCAGCGCTCGCAACCTAAGCGATCCACTGACACGCTTAGAGAAGATAGCTGCGCTGCAGCAAGCGCTCCCGACCTCGGTGCAGGAGCTGGAGCCAGGGCGGATCCCTTGGCTAGTGTACAAGGGCGCTCGGGAGATGCTGGAGAGCACAGGACGACGGCAGCATTTGGCGGACAAGCAGCGTGCGAGACACGCGGCCAAGAAAAGGAAGTGTGAACCCGTTCACCCGAAAGGGTGACCCTGCTCTGCCAGGGAAGGTGTTCGGCGACCTGTTCCGAGCGTCCTCCTTTAGGTGGGCGCAAACTGCGTTGGCCCGGAGTTTCGAGGAGCACAAGCGGTGAACGCAAACTCTGCCAGGCGCGCGGGGCTTCGCTCCGTGCAAATTGAGAATGTGCGCCGGTTTGCCGGCAGCCGCCGGAGGAGAGGGAAGCCGACCGGGCGTGAGCCTTCTGCCTGTGAGGGGAGTGTGTACGCAGCCCATCCCCAGTGAGGTCTGGGTCTGCGGCATCTACACCCCGGTAGGAGGTTCGCCGGCGCTTCACCTTCGGCTCCGCAAAATGTGCGCCGGTTTGCCGGTGTACATCTTTGGTCCAACATGATAACGCTTGATACTTTGAAATGAACACAAGAAGCTCACGGGCACAACGCTCGCGGCCAAAAGTCTAGGACAGGTCGTCGAGCACAGAAATAAAGAGATACAAGCAAGAAGGGAACTCCCACAGTAGGATTGTCGTGTCTGTGTGTTTCTCAGGATGTGTTCGACCTAATGATGATCTTTATCAACGGGCTGGCTTGGTTTGGCGTGATAAAGACAGTGGTTGGTGAACAAATTGCAGAAAACTCTGCTGTTTTAGACGATGGCCTCGAAATAACCACGTCCGCTGGTGACAGCACGCCTGGGGAGTCGATGTGGGTCGTGACGCGGAACACGGATACCCGCTTTACAAAGAAAGTCGCGGCGTCGCTCTTCAGCTCGCCCAAACTCGTAGGACAGCAGCTACCGCGCGGCACACTGGACGCAATACATCAGGATGGGTTTGTATGGGTTCCACCACCGCGCGACGGGGAACAGAGAGACTTCATAGAAAAATTTAACAAAGTGGTGCACCCGCCGCAAGCAAGAGCATCACCTGCTACAGCCTGGACAGACGTTAGGTATTAGCGTGGTGATTTTTCTGCAATATTGAAAAAGCTCGGTTGTTTTTGTTCGTTTATTTGCCCGCCTTGGGGGTGTGCGACTGTTTCCATTGCATGGGCAGCTTGGCGCGCGCTTGCCTCTGCAGCATCATGCTCAGCAACTTTCGTGAGGCGCGCTTTATATTTATTTCTTTTTGTTTTTGTACTTTCAACCTTGCCATTGTTGGGACGCACTGCGCAAGAGGCAGCGCGTACGGTGACGCAATGGGCGCCAGCGAAGTAGCCGGATGCGATTGCTTCTTTGGCGCTTCGATTGCGCTTCTAGTTTTGTTTCTCATTTTTTTTGTGCGTGACGGCTACAAAATATGACAGGCAAGAAAGTTCGCACTGCCACCGCCGTCTCTATTCGTGCGAACTCGCATGTTGCGGCTTTCGCGTAAAACGTAGCACAGCAAGAAATTGCGAACGATTTTGCAGCCGATAAAATGTTCCTTTTATGGCGTCAAATTTGATCGCCAAAATATTGGTCATAGCATTCGGACTAGAACGTCTAAACCTGGAAGGTAGCCCTAGCCGTAAAATCGCCACAAAATCACAGTCAAAGCCAACGACTTCCGCGTGATAAATGTCCGAAAGCAGGGGTGGCCGACTTGGCCGCACCAAGTACGGTTGGGAAAAAAGGAGCACTTGCTGCAAGATTACCAGTGAAAAATTTTGCAGCCCCTCGCGACTGGAGCCTGCGTCTTTTCAATAAAGGAAAAACTGCGTCAAGAATGCCAAAGGTATGGTGGCTTCTTTGGAGCCTCCTCTTCCGTTGATGTCTGATTTTTCTTTCTCGTCTTCATTTGTGCCCGGGATTTGTCTCCTGGGGGCGAGCGCGCCAGCGTTTTCACGGGTGCTGCTTGACGCAAGTCCCCTAATATTGCCGCAAAGTCACCCACTAAGATTCCAACGGATGTCTAAGCTCTAAAGCATGGCCGGCTGGGGACGGTGACGAAGAGGCAACTTTCACCGGCGGAACAGTTGCACCGGCATCGGGCGACGATAGCGAGGCCCCGTTTTGGGTTACCATGTACCCCAAAAGCGAAGACGCTAACGCAAAGAAGGTGGGCGGGCGCCAAATTCTTACCGACCCGACACTGCAGGCGATTTTTACGCGTGGGGCTCAGCGCCCCTCCGCACTGCCGGAGCCTCGGCTAAGGAGATTTATTAACCCAATGCAGGCAGAGCGTTGGATTGCTCGGAAGGCGGGGGACGACACGGATGAAGCCTACGACGACAGAGAGGACCACGAGTATCACCTTCTGGATGGACGGGCAGCATTGAACTGGCTTGATGTGCTTGTTGCCGCAGTTTTCCGCTCGGGCTCGAACAGTCCTGCTACGTCTATCCGGGAAGAGTTCCCATATGTGGTGGAGGAGGGCAACCCCATTAAGCCAAAGTCCGATGACAATTCTATGGAAGGCACTGACGAAGACGAGGGGCCAGTGCTTACTTGGCAAAAAGACGACGAAGATGAAGAGGGACCAGGAGACACCGGGTCGGTCATGGACCGCCGTGACGGTTTCCCCCGGACCATCTGGAAGCGGTTCTGTCTTCAGAACCTCGGCGCCAGCCTTTTTCTGCAGAAAAAAACGCAAGGCTCTGGCGTTGAAGATAGCTCTCTGCTAACGCCTTATCCATGGATGTCCACGGAGCCGCGGCTTCGAGAGGCTAACTTCGATGGTTTGAGGACTCGGAGTCGCAATAAGGCGTATAGTTTTGCTGCTCCCGACCTTCAATACGATCCAGTTACCGGTGACGAACGGGCTGAGGTTGGAGGCCCATCTGAAGGGCAATTCTTGTGGAACCATCTAAAGGCAGAGTTTGCGGATTTGCCCTTTCATCACCGTCCTGGCGTGCAGCCTCTTCATTACGTGGACGACGACGGACAAAAGGGCCCGGTGTCAAAGGTGCAAGCAAGAACAAACAAGAACGGGAAAGCACGCGAGGAGAAGATAGGAGAGCTTTGCTGGGGTGGCTTTTTCAGCACCCTTGCAAGGTCGTCAGGTAGCACGGCACCTCAGACCCTGACGTCCATTTCGAAGAAGATGGAAGGTGAGCGATTGAGCTTAGAAGACTTTGGCCAGCATGCAGCATGGAGCTTCACCGTCGCCAGCAGGATGGGTAAATCTTCCATTTTGGTTCCGTAGCACGGTGATCACTTGCTTCCCCGACCGCCCCAAGATTGGTGGGAACAGAACAAGTCCATAGCTTTATCGTCTTACTTTTGAGGTGGAGCACGCGTTGCCGTCCACCGGTCGTGATTAGCAAGACAAACAAGCCATAGCCGTGATCGATTCCGCAAAGCCCAAATATGCCGTAGATGAGCACTAGCGTCGCAACTTGGTCAACGGATCACCCTGAAGATCAAAGCACCAGCAAGATCAAAGGCCCCGGAAATCTTTTCGCCATACAGAATAGCTCTGATCTAGCTCGTAGAATAGCCGTAGACTCCTCTGCCGCTCGCCAAATGTTGGGCGCGATCACGAAAAGGGAAGAGGAGAAGCTGCCGCGTCGCGAAATGGTCGGAATATGCATTGCAAATTCATGCTTGACCGACCAATCTGCACATCAAGATCAACGCCACAGATGCATTAGCTTCTTCACGGGAAACTATTACGGCTTGCATGCTTTAGCAAAGCAAAACCTGGAACATAACCTCTAAGCACCCTGCTACAGGCACCGCTGTGCTAGTTTAAATTGGAAAGGAAAGAAAACCTAAACTACAAACGAGACGCACCGGAGTGCGTTACCAACCGGATACTGCGCTGGCTGATTACTAGTGGCGTTCAGATTTTTCGTCCTTGCTTTTCTTTTGCGTCGCTTATCTTTGGGGGTCGTTGGGATGCCTACGCCTGAAAGAAACCAATCGCCAAAATCAGGTGGAACCACGAGGAGCAGCAAAAAGGAAGACCCTGGAAACGGCATCAAGTACGCACCTTATGAGGCAAGGCACGGGCTTCATTTCCATCGTCGACCAGACAAGGGCAAAGGAAGAGGAGCAGATGCGCCAGCAAGTCTTGTGAAATACATGGAACCACGCGGCCCCTACGAAGCCGAAGCTTGGGCGGAATATTTACCGGAAGACATCCCCAACAATAGTGACGACCATATCCCTTTCACTTTTGGAGCAGCGCTGTGTGTGGTGGCTCGCGAACAGTATCTTCGACTAGGAGAGCAAGTTGTGGAATGGGCGCGTATGTACCTCGGTGTGCTTGAGACTCACGCGCTTCAACAGCAAGGGCCTGCCGCCATTGGCGTGCGCGACAACAGCTTCCACGACGAGAACTTTTTATGGAAGAAAGTAGAAGGCTGGCTGACGGTTGACGAGGCACGCAATCGGCTCGAATTGCACCAGGTGTTGCAAGTCACGATAAGGTGGATCCTGACGGAAGTTTTGCCACCTCGTGTATTCGCGAAGCTCTTCGATCCCACTGCTGGTCGTTCTTCAACGTCCGTAGCGGGCGGGGCCGGCGGGTCAATTACAAGTGGCAGCCTGGAAGCGCACCAGGGCCAGCGAGCTGCTGGAAGGGCATTTTTAGATGCCGTTGACGACGTGTTCCGAGATATTGCCGCACAGTTCCAAAGCGAAGTTCTCCAAGCTCGCGAGGACCTTCGCGCGCTCGAGGTATTACTTCCTGCGAATGAGCACCCTCTGCTTCTCTCCGCTCTCCGCGTAGAACTCGCTCGCGCGTTGTCGTTTATTGATCCGAGAAATCCTGAAGTAATGCATGTCCGGCCGGAAGATATGCCTTGGTCGTGGCAGGACGCGCCGCAACTCCAGGCGGCAGTCGAGTGGATTTTGGCGTCTGGTTTGCTGCGCTATAGTGATGTGACCATGCTTCTTGGACCGCGTGAAATGCTGGAGACACGGACGCGCGAGAGTGGAAATGCTCTCAGTGCCCTCGAAGCCTCCACGAAAGCGAAGGCCTCCTCGGAAATGCAAAATGCAAATTTGCTTTGGCATCTTAGAAAAGCACGGAGGCACGCTCTGTGGAAGCAACTGCTTCCGGTACGAGTTTTATTTGAAGACGATAGCGAGAAGAAGAAGATATCAATATCATCAAGTACAAGTAGCCAGAGACCCAGGGACGACGGGCGTGGCAGTTCCGTAGAACAAGTTGCTGCTAGTGCTAGAGCAATGTGGCATATTGTCAGGGCCTCGCGAATCACACTGGAGTGGAGTTTTCAACAAGGTCGAGGAACAGACAAGGCGGTCATATGTCGCGAGCAGGCGTCGAAGACTCTGGGATCAAAGTGGACTTCAGAGTGCAAAGACGACTCTGGGATCAAAGTGGACTGGAGTAATTATTTTTTCACCGTTTTCGAAGGTGGAAAACGAAAATCCAAACAAGGTGAAGGTGAAAGTGACAGCGACTTGAATTATGGTAGAAGGGTGTACTCTGACGCGTTCGCCCTCCGGAGCCTAGTAGACGGCAGCAGCGCGGCGGATGGTGCTCAGAGTCAGAGCAAGCATGACGAGAAGAATTTTAACAACCCGTGGTCAACTCCAGTTCTAGTGGACAAGCTACCTCTGAGTCCATGCGAGGTGCCGTTCAACCCATCTCGCCAGGAGGAGGAGGCCTCGAGCCACGCACCGAAAAAACACCAAGAAGCCCTGCACGCTCAAGTTAAGCGTTACCAATTTGATTTGGTCCCACAGATCATTAGGGCGGAAAAATCGGCAAATCGCATCATTTTTGCCAGCGCACTTATTGGGGGGGTAAAAAAAGTTTTTTTGTTGGGGGCGCAACATCTTGGAAGCCGACACGCCTCGCATGTCACTTGATCTTTTCCACAGGAAACATGGTAGCTGAGCTTTGGAAATGTCGCAACACCAAGACCAGAAGCAGGCCACAACGCCTTCGCTCTGTGCGTTGTCGTCCAGATGGCCGGGCGCTGTGTCGTGGGCCCGCTCTTCGAACAGTGGCCGGGCCGCCTCCGTGACCGGGGCTCGACGAGGCCCGTCGCCCGGAAAAGAAGGCCCGGCAAGGGGGGTGGTCAGGGGGGGGGCATTTTTGCCCCCTTCGGACACCCCTTCCGGGTACCCCCTCCGGGTACCCTTTCGGTAGCCTATGCCGACCCCCAAATCCCCATTGGAAACTGCTGACTTGGCAGGTCCCAAAATGGTAGCCCAACGGTAGCCCAAGCGGACCCCCTTACCCCCCCCCCTTCGGCACCCCCCCCGGAAGCACTTGATTGTTGGCGCGTCCGCATTTTCAACGTCCGGCCGCAGAGGGGAGACGAGAAGATGTCTGGGCGCGTACGGAATTGGATGCGGGAGAGGGGGCGCGGCTTCCCGCGCCGGAGAGCCGCAGGCCTGTGCAACTTCAACAAAGTACTGCGCTTCTATTGGAAAAAGGGGAGGGTCGGATGGCGGACCGTGACAACGAAGAGTGGCGCCAGCGGCTACATGGCCAACAGGAAAAAAAGCAGTGTTGATACCCCCAACAGCCACAATTTTTTTGCCCCCCCAAAAAGTGCGCTGTCAAAAATGATGCGATTTGCCGACTTTTCCGCCCTAAGATCAACGTGCACCGATATGCCCGCTTGTGCAATGCGTGGATTGCGCACCATATTGCATTGCATTGCACCGGGCGGGTAGACGGGCGGCCTGGCGGGAGAGCAGCCGCCCAAACAAGCGATCCTGGAGCAGCGCTAGTTTTCGATCGGTTCGATACACCTGATGATCCAGCTCTCTCCATTTCACCAGACCCTCTTCGGGAAGATCGCAGGGCTGATTTTCTTCGACCGCAAACACGAAGCGGACACAAGACAACCGCATTGCGTGACTACCGAAGCAAGAACAAATGGCGGCGACCTTTTACTCAAGGAAAGGCCAAGCGGGTTGCTATTCCACCTGATCCAACGCCTGAAGTCCTTGGCTGCAAATGGAGGTCCTACAAAGATCCTCCGCTGTGGACAGCTACAAAGGCGAGGTTACACAGCCGCGCAGCAATACACGTCCCGGTCAAGAACACACTACAACCACACGCTGAGTTGGGCGAGCCGCGATTGCGGGATGAGCTATTGATCAGAGATCCGCCCGCAGACGATCCAAGGCGTGAACGGCGAGGAACCGCGCTCGAGACGCACACAGTGCTGAAGATCCTGAACAAGGAGCAGGAGAAGGAGATCATAGAGACACGGGATGCGGATAAACAACTCTACTGTCATGGCACATTGAAAGAAGCGAAGAACTGGCTCGATTCAATAACACCACGAGACTTGAACACGAAGCGATTTTTCCGCGGTCTCGGTTCGTGTTCCGAGGCAGTCGCACTTCCAAAATTTACAGTGTTTCCCCTTGGAGGAGAACCTGCTAATAGTAATAAAGAGGAGCGTAACGAGCAAGAAAAAAAAGTAGAAGCAGAGCTGTTGGATCGTCCTCGAAAATTCGTGGGCGATGCCTGGGAACCTGGCGACTGCAACCCTTCCGGCCGTGCTCCTACTGCTCCTGGTGGCCCAACATATGCTGCTGGTGCTGATGCCGCTCATGATGCTACACCAACACCCCATGAAAAAGCTGAAGCATGCGAGCAAGCGCTGCGCGACATGAACTTAGAGCCCAAAGACGACGAGGACGAGGAGAAGGCGAAGGAAAACAGGAAAGAAATTGTTAAACAGATAGAGGAGGACCTGCGCTTCATCCCTTACGACGACTTGTTCAAGTTGCCCGAAGAACGACGAGAACAAAGACTTGGCACAGATAGCTCTAGCAGTTCCGTTGACACAAGCAAAGATGGGGAATCTAGGTTGGGCTTGGGCTTCTCCTTCTTGTGGAATAAATTAAGTCATCTTGCTCCTAGCGCAGAGAAGGAAAAGAAAATGATCAACATCGGAGGCGAAACTACGAAGCAGCCAGATCTTACCGAAATCAGAGACGAAATCAGAAGGAAAAGTGAGGAGCCAGAGCGCTTTTCGCAAATAGGCCGTATTCAGGGAAAATTTGTCACCGTCACCGTTTTGGCGTATTGGTATTCATTTTGAGCAAAAAAATTGGCTTTTGATGGGTTTCCTATGAGTATGCATTTCTGCCGAATTGCCAAAAGCCAAATGTTCATGTTGCGAATGCGGCAAGCTACCTGCAATATTTCAAGCATGCTAATCCAGCATGTTGAACTTGAAGTTGGTCCAGAAATGTCCCAGAACGGCACTGCTGCTACACAGACCAAAACCACGGCCCCAGAAGGTCCTTGCGTGGGAGGCTGTCCTCTACCACTTCAGCGACCCGGTTTCCGGCCACGGACGATCGGGATAGTGCGGCTCGTCATGTCGGGTTGCTCCTGAGAATGTCTGGCACCTATCACTCCCTTTCAAAGGCCTCCAGCAAAGGACGTCCACAACCCAAAAAAAAAAAGCAAAGCTTTGAGCAAGTTTGACGATGGCCCGGTGGCAAATCTTAAAAATCGCGCATTTTGCTCGGTATGGTGGACTTTGAGAGCCCAAAGCAGGAACCGGCGACAAGAAATCCCACGAGTTTTGCATTTTGCGCTGTGTGGTGGACGATTGCGCACGGACCAAAAATTTATGATGCGCTACAAGATTTTTTGGCCAACGCGCAATCGTCCACCATACCGTGCAAAATGCAAGGGTTTGCAGATTTGTCACCTGTCACAAATATGCCTCGCAAGAAACCTCGCCCGCCATGCCGTGCAATGTGCAAAACTTCCGGGATTTTTCACCGGGTCGTCGTCAAATTTGCTCGAAGTTTTGCTGTTTTTTTTTCTGGGTTCTGAAGGTCCTTTGCTGGAGGCCCTTGGTCAAGGAGTGACAAGAGCCCCAGACTCTCAGGAGCAACCAAACATCTCAAGCCGCGCCATGTCATATAGTCAACTACTACCGATACCGAAGCCGGGTTATTCGGAATTTGTAGGGTCGGCCCTCAAAAAAAGCTGCTCAGGATGCGGAACCGACCCTGCCGGAAGCCTGAACTCAGGACGCGGGCCCGACCCTGCCGGAGGCCTGGGTGGATAGCTGAAGCAAAAACGTTTGTAATTACATGCAAAAAAAAATGGTTGGAAGCGGAATCACGTTTTCAAGTTGGAATCACGTTTAGAGCGGAATCAAGTTGATGGAATCAGCTTAGCTGCGTTCGGGCTTGGGTTTAGGGTGTAGGGTTTGGGGTTTCTGGTCGGCTGCCCTGGCCGACGACTCTCTCCTCTCGTTCTTGGGAGGTGGTGGCCCCGCACCCTGCCGGCCTGCGCGGTTTTTCTGCCGCTTGCCTGGGGTTCTCCTGGCTCCCGTTGGCCAGCGCCTTGGCCGGCGGGGCGCGTCATTGGTCCCGGCGGACCGCTGGGTCCGCCCGGCGTTCGTTTAGGTGCGTTGTGGGCATTTCGGCGTCTGAGTTGTTTCACTCTCTCAACTCGATTAGACAAACGCGATTCCGTCGCAAACGTGATTCCGTTAACGTGATTCCATGAGTGAACGCGATTCCAAAAATGTCAAAACGTGACGCCGCCACCTTCCAAAAAAAATTGTACGTAGCTACATGCAAAAAAAAACTCGACGCGGGCCGTTCTCTTTCCCGTCGCAAAATTTTAACTTCCGCAGCTCAGCAAAAGGAGTAAACTGCTGCAGCTCAGCTATGGGATGGAGCTATATAACGCCAGCGCGCAGCTTCTACCTTCATCAACAGAAAGCTACTCTATCAGCTTCGTTTGGTAGCTAGTTGCCATCACTGCACTCGCTCGCGTTTTCGTTTTGCGTCAATTTCTCCATAGGCATTTTTTATTGGCCCCCGTCGGTCGCTGATATGTAGTGAGGCCGCGAGCGTTTTATCCTAGCGGCTTTTTTGGCACCTACCGTGAAGAACGGCCGGCAGTTTTCAAGCGGCCGGGCGCGTTTTTTGACATAGAAAACTAGCAAAGCCAGCTTCGCCCGGAAGTAGGCATCAGAAGAAATGCAAACGCCAGCTAGCATCATCTAGATAGCAAACCAAAAAGAAAAAAGCGCCGGCCCCAAAACAAAGCCGCGGCGCGCCCAATGTGGCCTGGTCGTCGCGGCCCCGGCGCGCCCAGATTGGTCGCTCCATTTCCGGCGCGCCAAGTCTGGTCGTCCCGGCTCCGGCGCGCCCAGTCTGATCGCCCCGGCTGCAGCGTTCCCGATCTGGTTGCCTCGGCTTCGGCGCGCCCAATCTGATCAACCCGGCCCCGAACGATCGGGACGATTTTTGGCATTGGCTGGCCCGACGGCCTTCGGACGACTTTGGGCTGTCCGACGGCCGTCGGATGACTTTCGGTTGTCCGACCGCCGTCGGACGACTTTTGGGTATCCGACGGCCGTCGGACGACTCTCGGCTGTCCGACGGCCGTCGGGCAACTTCGGAGCCGTCGGACGACTTTTGGGCGCCCGACGGCCTTCGGGCGACTTTTGGGCCGTCGGACAGCTTTTGGCTGCCCGAGGGCCGCCGGACGAATTTTGGCCGTCCGACGGCCGTCGGACGACTTTTGGTTGTCCGACGGTCGTCGGACAACTTCTGGCCGGCGGACGACTTCTGGCTGTCGGACAATTTCGGGCCGTCCGACGGCCGTCGGACGACTTTTGGCTGTCCGACGGCCGCCGGGCGACTTTTGGGCCGTTCGTTGGGCAACTTCTGGCCGTCCGACGGCCGTCGTGCGATTTTTGGCTGTCCGACGACCATCGGGCGACTTTTGGCCGTTCGACGGCCGTCAGACAACTTTTGGCCGTCCGACGGCCGTCGGCTCGGACGACTTTCGTTTGTCCGCCGGCCGTCTTGAAGTCGCTCGCTCGAAAGCGAAACTCAAACTCCAAGCGGATTCTGAAACTCGAAGTCGAGACTGAGACTGACACTCAGGCTGAATGTTGAGACTCAGACTCAAGCTGAACGCTGAGACCCAAACTCAAGCGCAATGCTGAGACTACAGCTCAACTCTGAGACTCAAACTCAAGCTCAATGCTGAGACTCAGACCCAAGCTCAATGCTGAAACTCAGACCCAAGCTCCATCTTGAAACTCAGACACAAGCCCAACGCTGAGACTCAAACCCAAGCCCAACGCCGAAACTCAAACTCACACTGACGCTTGCGCTCTTTTGTGCCAAGGTAGTTAGTATCTATACCAGGATAGGACTTGCAGTGATCAAGCGGCCGGGGCTTTGGTGGCAAACTAGCCCAGCCCAATTCTATCGATTCGCGCTTGATAAAATGACGCAGGGGAGCTGGCAAAAGGGGCGCCTTTCTGAGGCGCCTTGCGCGCACCTGTTTCCGCCGATTTTGGGCGCCCAAGCAAAAAGGGGCGCCCAAAGATTGGCGGGGGGAAAAAGAAAGCGAGCCCGCACACGATGGGCCTCGTTTTGGTCTCCATTTGGAGGCCGCCAAGCCAGCCAGAATGAAAAGTCGGGCACTTATAAACGGGGGAGCAGGGCAAAGAGCGCGCCTATGTTTTCCACAAAAAAAATCAAAAAACGCAAAGGCCGCCAAAAGCAAAAAGCGAGGGAGCCAGCCTCCATGCTGTGGGCCCGATTTGGGGCTCCCAAGGGGCCGACCCTGGTGGGGGCCGGCCCTGGCGGGGCCATAGCATGCGGGCGGGAAGGCTTCCCGATTCGAAGCCAAAGGGATGCCAGCTGTGGAGCGAATTGGTTATCGACCGCCGCCGCGGGCGCCGTCGTGCATAACAGTACTCCCGGAGGCATGGTGGGCAGAGAAGTCGCGTCCTTTTTTTTGGCACGAAGACAGAAAAAGCGCAAGGACGGACCTCACTACCCCCCGCTGGGGCAGCTACTATCGGCAATCTTCTACTTTAGGCCGATGCTCATCTTTATCGAGCTGCAGCAGGCGCCAGCTTTGTCAGCAGTGACCAAAATAAACGGAAACGCTTCAAAGCAAGTGGCCGACTGAGATCTACAACCGCAGGCGATCGGGGTGCGGAAGCAGCTTGGGACTAATAGAAAGGTCAGCGGCTGGCGGTGGAAATGAAAAGAAAGCAGCTGCAGCTCGAAAAAGCTGCAAGAATTGTTTGAAGCTAATCCGCCTGGGGCTATCGCTGTGGCCCCAGGTGGGGCCAGAGGCAGAGCGAGAGTGCCAGGGGGATTAGCTTCCGCCTTTGCAGTTTTTCCAAGCTGCTCTGATTTCGTATCAAGCTGCTTGCTTTTCAAGCTGCTTTTAAACCCAAAGCCCTCGCCCTCCGCCTGCTGTAGACCTACGCACTTATGACGTTTTGTTGTTTTTGGCGAAAGAGCGTTTTGGTTGTTGACAAAACTGGAACTGCTTTGTCCTGCAGCTGGGCTCGAAGAGGATGATCCAACACAGAGAAGCAATGGCCAAGCACCTGAAAGATTACTACGAAGAAGCTGGCGCAAAATAGAAACGCGACGAACGAGCGCAGTTGTGGCAGCAGCTAGCTAAAACGCTGAAGCGTGGCGCAGTGGCTTGATGATAAAGGTTGCGCGCTAGTGTTTGTCATATTCAAAACGTTTTTGCTTTAGCTATCCACTCAGGCTTCCGGCAGGGTCGGGCCCGCCTCCCGAGAAGCCATTTCTTTGCACCCTTAAAATTCCGAATAACCCGGCGTCGGTAGTAGTTGATTATATGACACGCCACGCAGAACCCCCCCGGCGAAGATCGTGTCCCGGACAGCCAAAAGAAAGCCGCCCCGCGCCGGACGTTCTGGAGCCGCGCTGTCGGTCTGTACAACGGCAAAGCCTTTCCGCAGGGCTTCTGGACTGCGTTCAACAACTCCCCGGGCCACCATGCTCGAAGTCTGGTGCTCCCGTGCCACATTTGCAACAGCTGATAGACATGGGCACGCGTTGGATACAACGAAAAGTCAAATTCTTTGGGTCGCAAAATGAACTTGAACATGCTAAAACATTGACGGTGACACATTTTGTTTGAATAGGCCATCTTGCCTCGTTATTTTCGAGCTTTGGCAGCCGTGCAGGCTTTTCCGGCTTCTTCTACAGAAACATAAGGAACGTGGAGAAACTCAAAGCGGAGAAACTCAAAGCGGAGACACTCAAAGGCAAAGCGGAGGCCGCCTCCAACTCGGGCCAAGAGGAAGACGCAACCAAGACTCTCCAAGACCGTTATGCGGCTGCAACAAAATATCGTAGCCACGAACTTATCGAAAAAAAAAAAATTATTTATTTTGGACGCGATAAAGGACAAACGCAAACGCTTTTGAAATTGATAGACTCTGACGAGCCGGGCATCGCACTCAAACAGCAGGTTGACGACCCGGAAAACCTCTTTCGCAAGAACGACGACCAAGACGAGCTATTCGACCCCTTCGCTATGTGGCCACTGATGACTATTTCGAAAACGCAAATTACAGGCGACAACAACAAGAGGAGCGACAGCAAGAAGAACTACAAGTTGTCAGTCGTCTGGGGGTGCAATTTTAATGACGTCAGCCCGTCGGTGGTGCATGAGGGCAGGCTCGGCGAGCTTATCGAGAAGACACCGTACTTCAGGAACACGGGGGACGACAATTCCGCCGCTCTGAAGAGCTCTATGTGGTTCCAGTCGCAGCCCGCTGCTGGTCTTCCCGACTGCGTCGCATCCGAACCAAAAAACTGCGAGCGCCAGTACTACTATGGCCTCATTGGCTGCGCCTTGGCTCACAACGTGGAAGGCGGCGCGACGAACAGTCCGGCTGCGCAGCATTGCGTGACCCGCGAGCACCTGACGCCGCGGTCCTGGATGTGGCTTCCACCGGCGCCGGGCGAAGACAACAAGATTGGAGCCGAGGTGGTTCTCGAGTTTCGCCAAAACATGATGCTTATCAAATGCAAAACTGTCTGGGTCTGGAAGATTCTGAGACTTGTCATGCACGTTGTGCATGAGGTGCAGCATGAGCCATGAGCATGACGTCTGTGATGCATGCCATAGCATCACAGATTTTTCGCGGGGTTCTTGATGCCTATTTTGCATGACAAATGCCCTATCCGCGGAGCAAAAACTACATTCCCTTTTCTGCTCATGCAATACAAATCCAGATGCAACATCACAAGTTGCATTCTTCCAGACCCAGATGATACTTTTGCATTTGATAATGCTGCGGCTACGGGATCTCCTGCTAATTTGTTGCGACGATCAGTCGGAGGAAGCAAAGGATGTTGCAAAAGAGCTGGGGCAAAAGTCGTCCAGGCTGGATAGTATGTCAGATGATGACTCGAAGCCGGAATTCCATGACACTTTGCTAGCGTTTCGAGTGGAGTACCATCTCCGTGTCTGTTTCATGCAAAAAGTCGACTCTCGGTGCGCGACGAATGCGGACGGGTTGCTTGCGTGGCGCCCCGTGGGACTTACGCGCGGACAACGCTAGCTGACTAGAGCGACGTGGGACGACAACGAAAATGTATCACAATATGCGCCACTGTTGTTCATAGAGAGACGATGTCACCACACGACTGATGCGGCAACATATACATACTGAGTGCTATCTTTGTATAATAATACGTAAGTAAATTATCCCCACGGCACCACATTTCGTCCAATTAGACTCACGCACTTTTAGATTGATTGAGATTTTATTTACCAGATCGAAATCCAAAGCGGCGACGCAAAAGTAGAGTGCCAAGGAGCAGACAAGACGTCCCTTGTTCGCGTTATTTTTTATTTATAATAGAGGATTTTATAGGCAAGGGAGTGAAACTTCGAAGGGAGCCAAGGGAGCGAAGGGAGGAAGATGAAACTTGTGCAAATTGCTTTCCCTTAAATCATCGCCAAAATGCATGCTATGGGCGCGCTTACCGGTCGCCGGTTTGGGCCCTGCTGCCCCCCCCGCTGCGGCCCCAGGTTTGGCCCGCTGCCGAAGGCCCTGGCCTCTTGAAGAAGGTGAGGGCCTCTAGAGTCGCCCCCGTCAACAAGAGTTGCCGGGGCGGCCTGGTGGCCTCTGCCTGGCAACATAGAGCGTGGAGCCGAAGGAACGCGTAAACTGTTGCCGTGGCCACGTCGCGTTTCCGTTGTCCGGGGGAAGTTGAGGCAGCCACTTCAGCAATTTGCTTGGCGAGATCTTTCGTGTGGGGTTCTGCGTGACCAGATTCAACGCCATGCAGAACAGAGAATACGAAATGGAAATGTTGAAGCGGCCACTTCGACTCTCTCCAAACAATCGGGGAAGAGTTGCAGTGGCCGTTGGAACGCGCAGCAAGTTTAAAGCCCACACGCGTAGCCTATGCTGCCTGCTTCGCGCTGATGCTTCGCAACATTCCCACGCGTGGGCGCATGTCCTACATGTTGCACGTGCCTCGCTGCGCGCGCGCAGCGCGCGGCCCCAAAAATTTTTGTTGTGTGCACACAGATGTCGATCCGCGCGCGCGCAGCGCGCGCCGCAAAAAATTTTTGCTATATGCCGATCACATTGGCGCGCGCGACTGCTTTTTTATCTTACTCCCTTGGCTCCCTTGAAAAGTTGCGCTGTACTCCCTTGGCTGGCGCCAGACACTAATAAACCTATTATAAGTATATGCAAAAGTAGAGTGTTTTTTTTTATGTTCCCGCAATCATTTTCGACATCCTTGCCTGCTATGAGATCTACTAGGCGATAACTTCTGCCCGCCGTCGCCACGTACGTACATTAGGATTAGTGTGCGCGCTGCTAGTGACTAAAATAGAATTTTGGTAATGATATTTCGAGAGATCAAACCAAGGAAGCTGCCTCGGTAGAGCAAAATAAGTAGGATATATGATATATCAAATTATGAGAAGCAAAGGACGGCGTTTATCTTTTTTTATCAACTAAGCACAACGACAGCGCCAGTTGGCTTCTGTGTGTGCGACTGCCTTTTGTCGTACTACGGGAAGCTCCCGTTGAAGAATATTTCTCGTAGCTCGATTGGACCTGTGATCGTGATTGTGTTGATCCCAGACTGAGGAAGAAACGAAGCGACGCAGGGTTTGTCTTTTTTTTTCGTCGTCACGCTCTTCCGTCCCTGCAACTAAGAAATAATCACTACAAACTCCAACTTTATTTCGTGACGAGGGTTACGCCAAAAGGCTGGACTTTGCTTTTTTGTTAGTATGATAAAGACAAGAAAATATGGCTATGCCCCTTAGATTTTTTTCAAGTTCGGCCGCCTTCGAGCTCTTTTTCATCCACTAAGCTCCGAGCCTTTTTTCATCCACTAAGCAGCAGCAGTTACTTACAAGATCAATAACAACAAGAGAAGTGGGCTGGCGGCGCCCTCAGAAAGTGAAGCAAGACAGCCCATCATGGATATTACAATTACATATTGATAATGATTTTTGAATTAGTATCAGGAGGAAAAGGAATTTGGGCAAGGCGAAAAGACGCATTCCTGCTCGTAGCAAAGGGGTCCGCAAGGGATCCTGCCGGGATACGCTCCCCGGGGGGGGGGGGGGGGGGGGGGCGCAGCCGACCGGGCCTCGGAAGGTAACTCCGTGCTGCAAAATCCGCAGAAGGAGGCAGCATCTTGCGAATCGAGGCGGCCTGGGCCTCAGATTTGCATAACAACATGATCGGGAAGCTGGGGACGTTTTATTTGGTGCACGGCATATCATCCACGTCTTGAAGCATTGGGCCTGATCCGCGAGTCTTCGGAACTGATCGCCAGTGTTTGAGGAGAGTGCTGAAATAACTTGGCTGATCATCATGAAAACAAGCGAAGTGCTGGCGCGAGGATTCGAAGTAGGTTTTCACCAGATCATGTATGTCTTGATGTATATAATAAATAAGCAAACACTTCGACGCTGCAGCCTCCCGGATTATGGGCGCAAGATGAGCGGCAAATTGGTTTATAAAATCATTTCCCTTCGGCAGATAAATGAAACCGCACCGGAAAAATTTCGCACGGAAGTAAATATTGCAATTGAGACACTACTTCTTCTGGCACGCACTGACTTCGTCCGGACAGATTTGGTGCCCGCCTTGAACGGATTGCGAGTTCTGCCTCTTTGCTAACGCGGAGCCCCGAGCCCCCCCTATAAAAGGGGCCAGGCTTTGACTGCTCGCGCGCAGTGCGTTCGACATGTCTAAAAATTAGAACAGTGTTTCCCTGATGAATGTCCTGGAAGTACTGCAGCGAACACAGGGTGGCGCATTTCCAGTTGCTCGCCCGCTGGCGGTTCAGGCCGGACAGGCGGGGGTGGCGATGGTCACGGTTCCGCTTAACAGAATATGAATATGTATATAGTATTAGCATTCGGATTCTAGTACGATGTATTGACCGAAGTAGTGGATGACATAAGTGACGAGCGTTATCGTGCTGCAACTGGGAAGAGTCGGGACTTCCTTGCTCCTGCGCTGCGGCGCATTGCAGTCGTTGACGTACTGCTGGTCTCGAAGTCCTATTGCTCCGCGGTAACGAAGTGAACGGGCCGAACTAGGTGGTGACATTTCTGGGGTGCCTTTTCTGAGTTGTGGTGAGGGAGGACGATAGATGAGCGCAGCGAGTCTGAGTTTCTGTTCTGTGCTTGAAGATGAACAAGAATATTGATGCTAAGTACTTTAAATAAATGACGCTGCGCAACTAATGGATACTTCCAGAGATCTAGCATCGATCACTACTACATAATACACCAGAGTGCGCTGGCTGAAGTCAAATTATAGATTATCGTAAGTGTGAAATCAATTTGATCGTGTTCGTTGATTCAGTACATGATCGCAGACATCAAGGAGCCCTATATTATTTCTTTGCCTCGATATAACATTTTGATTTTATCACCACAGCGACGCATTTTATTTCTAACGACAGCACTTCTAGCAGGTTTCTTTTATGTAGTGCCTTTCAACCAACAGAGCAGTTGTTCGATGTTGTTGCTACCGCGCACCAGTCGTGGATCATTGTTTCACGCAGCTGCAGACTCATTGAAAGTACGAATAGGATCGAGAAGAAATTGCCACTGACTTCTTTGATTTATTTTTCTGTAACTGTATGTTCTTGCGTTTTAATTTTATACAGATGATGGAATAAGAACAGTTAGACGAAAACGCCGAGAGAGAAGCCATTATTGAGGGCAGTTTTATGCTTACGGAGCGACACGAAGACGAAGCTTGTCTCGCACTACAATGCGAGCGGTGGCGGTGACTGAGTAGATAGAAGCTAACATCAAGCTATTGTTTTCTATTTTAAGAAAAGCGCGATGAAGTTGTAGCTTGCGAGGTTATAGATGATGAGGGTGCTCCTGCGGGCTGTCAAAAGTGAAAAGTCGGCGGACCTGCCAGCACAGTCGCGAGCACTAAAGCAGGCACAGAAGCTGATGAGGCCGAACCCGTCGAAGTCGTGACAATATTATACGAATACTGCGTAGTAACGCCAGAATAATACCAAGCGAAAGTAGTAGGAACATCAACGCCAGAACAAATTTGAAATTATAAGCTCCGTGTTGGCTGGATCCTATCCGCCGATCCGTGGCTGATATCCAGCGATTGCGAAAAGAAAACAGCTGCTATTTTTGGCTCAGGAACAAGGGCTACGGTACCACTCAAGTACTCTACTGTCTGGCCCTGACCCAGAATAACCCGTGCTGCAAGGTAGACGCGCACACATCTTCAGCAACGGAAGGAAGTGCGAGTCCACGACGTTTGAAGAAGGAGCAATGGAGGTCCCGGGTCGCCGTCGGAGGAATGTTCCTGTAATCGCGCGCACGGCCGCGGGTCCAGCACGAACGCCGGATGATGAGACAGCGCCCCCCCAAATGGCGGAGGGCGTGGGCGAGCAAGCGGGTTCTACTTCGACATCGCTGAGGAAGTTGCCCCTAGTACCGCTGCCGCCAAAGCGTGTTGCCGTCGCGCCGTCAGCAGAAGATGAAGTGCCAGCATATATTCCTACAGCTGCTACTGGCGGAAAGCGCAGTCGATCCCCGTCTCCAAGTCTTGACGAGGCACACAAGGAAGAAAGTGGTAGCGCAGGAGCGAACAAGAAGACCGGCGTCGGAAGCAGTGCAAGCGCAGCGCAAGACCGGGAAGACGACGACAAAAAGGCTCGAAAAGAGGCAAAACGGAAGAAGAAGGACGAGGAAAAGAAACAGAAGAAAGAAGAAAAGCAAGCCAAAAAGGAGCAAGAGAAGAAGGAAAAGAAAGCCAAGAAGAAAGAGCGAAAAGAACAGCAGCAGGAGCGCAGCAAGGAAGACCTCGGCGCAGTGCAAGGTCTGAACCCCTACGGAGGCCCGGCGAATGCAGCAGCCGCCGGCACCGCGCCCCCAGGGGTTACTGCAGCCCTGCCAGGAGGAGGCACGGGGGGAAGCTTGCCGGGCAACGCAGGTGGAGCAACAGTATCTGCCGACCCGGCTGTCGTAGGAGCATCGAATGCGGTCGCGCCGGTCGGCCAGCACCAGCACCACCCGCGCCCGCACGTGAATACGGGGGGAGCGCCGGCAGCTGGGCCACCCCCTCCGGCACCGGGTGCCGGACTTGCCGGCCCTCCTGCCGCCGGCGTAGCCGCCCCGGGCCCCCCGCCCCAGCAGACTATGAGCTTTTACGGACCGCCACAAGGTAGCTACCACCACCAGTACAACCCAGGAACAAATATCGCCGTTCCCCTGGGTCAGCCACCCGGCGGAGTTCTTCCGCCCGGCCACGTCGCACTGGATCCCGGGCTGGTGCAGCACGGAAAGACTAACGCCAAGGGAAAGCTGGTCGCACCGCCACCCGTTGCTACGAAAGGCGCTCCGCCCGCGGCCTGGGGAGCAGCCGGACCACCGCCGGCTGGCCCGCCGCCGGGCGGCAAGTACAATGCCGCGTACCGGGGAGGAGGACCAGGACCAGCGGCCGCAGGAGGACCAGCTGCCGGAGCTCCACCCCCTGGCATGGCACTCTACCACCAACGAGGACCCGGCGCGTTCGGCAAAGTCGGGCCGGGCCCGCCGCCCGGAGCAGGGGCACCTCCGCCTCCCTACCACCATCCCGGTGCACCACCTCCACCGCCACACCAGTATGACCCAACATCGAGCACCGGAGGACCTGCTCCCCCGCCGCCGTTGTATTCGTACTTTCCCCCGGGAGGACCTCAGGCGCCCCCTCCTGGCGGAGTTCCTCCGCACCCACAACATGTCGCACCCCCGCAGCAGCACGCATTGTCCTCCCCGAACACGTCGGCAGCACAGGCACCACCAAGCGGGCACCCGATGAGCTTCGCTGGCTATGGCCCGCCGAATGTGTTGCCCCCTGGCGGAACGCAACCTGGTCCGGCAAAAAAGCGTAAGCGGTCCGAGGAGTCCTCCAGCTCTTCCTCCTCCTCATCCGGGGACGGTGAGGATCGGTCTCCATCTAGAAACAATGGGCCAACCTATCAAGATGACAAGTGCCCGGCCGCCCTGCGTCATGATGTCAGAAGTTGTCACTGCGAACTCCTACTAGCATTGTTGCATGTTCTTGTTAGCGAGCCGTTTTCTTCTTGCATGATTATAATAAATATGCATGACATTTTTAGGGTGTGGGCAGCTTTTCAGCTTGATACACGGTCCACAACGACTCACATATCGGCAGGGCAGCAACAACAAACAAACGCCGACTTTTCTCAAAAAAGACCGCAGAAAGGCAAAGGCAGCAAGGCGGCGGGAAGCAAGCAAAGGAACCACCCCGGCGGTGCTGCAACAAATGCGACCGCGCCCACGGGAAGCAAGAGGCCCAGGGTCGGATACGAACACGTGGGCGGGCCGGGGCAGGGAAAACTATTGCCGCCACCCGTCCCACAGCATTCCCGGACGGGGCACGCAGGAGAACAGCCTCCAACCGAAGCGCAGGCTATAATAGTGCACAACTCCTTGCTCTACCTGTGCACCCGCTCACTTGTCACGCAAAATGAAAATGATACGAATTGAATACAATAAATATGTATGCCAAATCGTAAGTAACTCGTCGAACTTCCAGACGCATCCTATCTGCTTGTGTTTCCATACACAACTACCAAGTGCTGGAGGAAGCCCCACAGCACTCAAGCACCACACTCTGGGCGTGAACTGGCCTTGCAAAAGCTCCAGGCAGCTCCAGTTCTATGTGTATGTATAATATAACAGCTATTTGCGTCGCGTCTATAGATGCGTATCTAGCTTTTCTTTTGAGGGAAACACGAGGGAGCAGTTCTTGTCCACTTTCATACGGTCTACTGCGGCGGAAGAACTAGGAATGCCTATGGATATGGAGTCCGGCTCCGAGTTTTCGGAGAGCAAAAAAGCTGCTGCGGCCAAAGGCAACGCTAGCAAAAGTAAGAACTCGTCCTCGACGCAGCCCCGTGCCGGCGCAGCTGCAGTGGTGGTGCCCCCCATTCTGTTTGGTCGCGTGACGGAACAGGGGAAGGTGGAAACCCTGAACAAGAACAACGCGACCTCGTTATCCAGCGGCGCCGTCCCCGCCGCCGCCGCCGCGCCGGGCTCTTCCAGCGCGGGAGGCAAAAAGACTCCCAAAGCTGGCGCGGACGTGCTCCCGCCGCCACGGTCGGCACGAAGCACCGGCTCTACCGGAGGAAACAAAGCCGCGCAACAGGTCTTCGACCACCTATCAAAGTAGATCACGACTCCCCCGCCGCTCAGTTTTCATCCAAAATCCAAAGTCCTATGTATGTATGACCGCTGGTGTCCGAGTCTTCCTCGTCCTTCCTTCCAGTTCTTGCATGTGACAAGGGCCTAAAGCTTAAGCGCCTGCTCGGAGGGCTCGGGTGCTGCCATATGCCCAGACGCGATCTGCGCGACTCGTGAGGTGAGGTTAACGAACTTTACTTCTCAAGCATGAAGATGCTACGACTGCAGGAGGAGCTATGTACGTTTTTTTTTGTTCTACGTAAGTGCGTTGACGTAGACATTAACGCTCTTGTCGGTCGCGCTGCAGATGCTCCTCAAGTGATGGTGATGCGGAGGGGGACAATATGTCCATTTTCATACGAGCACGACAAAAGCTACCGAGGCTCCTCATCAGTCCACGCCGCAAACACGCACAGTATCACACAGAATCAGAAAATTATGAAGTGAGTGTCTCGATGATCGTGTAAGATGAAAGTGATTTGCAATGCAGATATAGACACACGTGGTCGCTGTCGATACATAGACGAGGCCACAGCGTCTTCCTCAGGCATGCCGCGTTTTTTGTGATGTAGTTTCTCTTAACTTTATGGAATATTCAAACGTTACATGAATTCGTCGCGCAGGATTTCTATCTCTGCATCCACGCGATCAGGCTGCTTCGCGTGACAAATGCTCGAAGGGTTGAATACGTAGCATGGACGTCCTCCGTGCCGAGTTTGTACTATAGGCGAGAGCTGCAAGCCCCCCCTTCCCCTCGTGCTATTCTTACATCGCGCACTCATGTAACAGCTGATAGCGTAAAAACGCTTTAGAACTCCATAGACTTTCTCTCACAGATGTACAAGCTCGAAGGTTCTTGCTCTGTATGCCGAATTTTTTCTCACTACTGCAGTTGTTGTTCTATTTCTCTACTTCTAGGATTACACACCTGCACGCGGGAGGATTTTTCCCGGTCATCTTAAGAAGCGCGCGCTCGATTCTGTTTCTGTATGATACCTGGAGACGTGAACTTTAACGCAATGCCGGACCCCGTCGCCCCATCCGTGTTGGGAAGTCCCGATGACGTGCTTGGCCACTTGGATGCCGTATCCTTTGAAAATCGTCACCACCTGGCTGCAACTCGGCATTGATTTATCGATTTCTACATGATGCTGCCTAAAAACTATCTGCAGTGCAACCAGAAGACAAAGAGAAAGACTCCTTTTTGTATATATTACCACAGTTGTCCACTATGAATAAATAAATGATAGCGAGGATCTGCATCTTCATCATTGGCAACATGGGCACGCTGCACACGCATCATGGATGAAAAAATGTTGATCAACAGGCACAGGGGTGAAAGTGATTTTCTGTTGCAGAACCCGAACTTGTTCGTCAGATGCAAAATGAGATTTTAGTAAAGCATGGAAGAGTTCTTCTCGGACGGGGGTTGGACCCGTTTCGTGCCACCGAGCTCGCGCACCAGCACCTCGGACACAAGCCTCTCAAAGGAGTTGTGAAAAAATGTTTTCCGGGCCAAGTATTCAAAAAGAAAACACGACTGCAATCACTTTTAGGTTGTGCCACTTGTAGTTCCGTGCAATTTTGCGAATCGGAATTGAAAAAGACTCCTCGTCCATTGTAGTTTTTACTGAGTAGTGCTAATGCATCACAGGAGTCAAGGTTTTTATATGGTTCTCGTTCTGCTCCCAAACGAACAAGAATACGACATGTCAGATTTCTACGCACGCACGCGCAATTGCTATGTATTGCAAAACGTAAACTTACAAAACCGTGATTGTGAAAGTGTTTTTTTGTTCCAGCATACCAAAGGTACTACGACTTGCGCGTAATATGTCCACAATATACTTGCTGCAGTTTCTTGAGTTTTGGTAACTCGAACTCCACCACCATGCAAATATGCAAAAATCCCCATCAGAAAATCTTAATGACACAGCTACCTTTGTAGCTGTAGAAGTAGATACTTTTCGTGGGGTGACTCGCAGGAGTAGTTTTCCCCCTTTCTTATTTCTATTTGAAAGATTTGGGCCGGTACATGATTCCTAGAAGCTGATCCTAACGCGTGGCGTTGTTGGTCTTCAAGTTCCGCGGCCCCTCTGGGTGGGATTGTGGAAAGAGCCAGCGTGGACGTTGTCCGACATTTCCATTTGCGCTGTAATGCATTCACGTATTCAGAAAAAGTAAAGTATATAGAACCTTGTCGCTCTTGCCCTTGCGTCAAGAAATAAGTACAAGCTGGTAGCTGCTAGCGCGCTCTGAGTGCACGACAGTGCCACAACACCAATAAGGGTTCTTCCCAGCGGAGAAGGGGGAGCTAGGAAGATTGCGTAGGAAAGAATGGCAGCAGCTACCCTGGTTTGACTGCGCCACAGATGTGCAGCTACTACACCAATGAGGGTGCTTCCCAGCAGGGAAGAGGGAGTTGGGAAGATTGCGTAGGAAAGGCGGGCTGCCAGCGCGCTCTGACTGCGCCCCAGTGCCACTCCACCAATGAGGGCGCTTCCCAGCGGGGAGGAGGGAGTTAGGAGGATGAGGATTGGGATTGCGCAGGAAAGAATGGCAGCTAGTAGCGCGCTCTGAGTGCGCAACGGTGCCACTCCGCCTTTGCGGGGCGCTTCCCAGCGGGGAAGAGGGAGTGGGGTACACCTATGAGGGCACCGCTAGTGACGGCGCTCTCCAGCGGGAGGAGTTCTTTAAGGAAATTCGCCACTGATGGTGGTTTTCGCGGCGTCAGCTTAGCGTCTCGGAAGGCCATGGAGGCCGCGATAGCTGAGACTAAAGAGAGATTGATCGCACGTGCTGAAGTCCACTGAAGGAGATCCCCCCCGGCCTCCGAAATTATTGCTGTGCTCTTTGATTTTATTGAATTCGCCTGGGCCCTTTCTTTGAAGGGGAGCCGAGCTTCTTTCTAACTATGGGTGCTCGCTAGGGACGTTCGCTCGCTCAGATCGAAAATCTTCTGGCGACTCAACAGGGTATGATAAGTAGCACGATAATGCATTCTATGTTTATGTATCGTCACTTTCACGACGTATTCTTTTTTGAAATCTAAACAAGATTAAACGACCTATCAGGTACGGGTTTCTGCAGAGCAAGGCTCTGCACCCTTTCTTCCCGGATCAGGATCTGTATTTTCGTGTGCCCGAATATGAATGTGTCACACCCAGGTAGGAAATAGTACAAGTGGAACTTGGAGCAGCCATTTCTAAGCGATGCGTGGCGAACTTGAATTTCACTAGCTCTTAGACCGAATTTGTCATGCTGTTTAGGTCGGCAAAGATACGACACGGAGGTGCCCCCTGCAATGCGCGGACTTTTTGGTTTTGGCGCGTCGCGTTTCATTCACAAATGCGAGCAGTCCCAGCATGATCGTCTATTTTGTTCATTATTTCCCACCTGAAACCTCCATATCGACGGCACCAAAGTGGAAGGCTTCGAAATCGGAGAGGAGGTGGAGTTCACGTTTGCATATAGCAAGGACGCAAAAGGTGCTCCTTCTTGCGTCGCGTACCTGCAACTTCCTGCGCCCACCCTGTTCGGCGTCGCACTGCCTATCAAATGCAAATATCAATACGTCTGCTGCGTCTGGAAACTTAAACTTATTTTATATGATGCTGATTAGACGAGGGGCGCCTCAATAGTTGTGACGACCAATCATGACCACAACTTTTTGAGTTCCTATAGCTATACTCGTTGAATATTCTGCATGGCAGACTGCTTGTTCACCAGCATCACAGAAATTCAGCTTTCGGTCGCATGGGTAACTCGCATGACAGATTTGTTCTTTGTCCTCTTTGTGGGCCATCACCATGCAGCAGGCCAAGCATGATAAACCAAAAGCTAAACCTTGCAGTCTTCGTCCACACCCAGACATATTTGCACTGCATACTGCCGACCGCGTTGACACCGCGCGGCCGGGAAGAGGACGGCGCGGAGATCAGCAAAACAAAAACTACCGGAGAAATAGGCGCTGCGCCTACCGGTGCTGCACCGCTGGGATTGGTTTCCAAACCACCTCTGAGCAAGCCGAAGACACGTGTAATGTGCGACGATGGGCGGGTCTTCGAAGTTGCGGAAAACACGCTCTACCACGGTACGATTGAGTCGGAGACGCCTGAACCTGCAGCTGCACGTGCAGACTTGTCGCTCAAAGACGACAAAGCACGAGACACGGCGCAGGACGGAGGTCCTGAGCATTCAGGTCGTAACAGCGGCGAAACGTCGGAGCGTTTGGTTTTGCGTTGTCCAGAGTTTGAGAATGTGCCCCTGCAAGCGGACCGACGACAGATGGCAGCGCTACGTTCGGACGGAACGACGCGGGTGAGCTTCTTTCTGAAACCGTGCACGGACGAGGAGGAAAGGCGCCGCAGCGTATGAGATTGCACGATTCCCCCTCCCCCTCATTTGTGGTCTTCATGCAAAGTATCTACCACAGCCACCCGCTTCATGCTTGTTCTTGGCACACCTCGCATGATGAGAGATTCCGGAAGCCGAAACAGCACTAGAATCGACGGTCGTCAATTTGTCATGTAAAGAAAGCCTGCTTTGCCAGAGCTCGTGTTGCGTGTGAAGAATGCCGACCAAAAAATCAGTGGGAGGGTGGTGGATTGTGCACTCTCATACAGCGCGGGCTTTGGTCACAAGGCCGTCACACTACATCCGCATGTCCCGCTCGCGCTGCCGAATCCGTTCGACAGTATGCTTGACGCAGTCAGCCTCAACAGGCCGGGCAGCAGGAGCGCCGCCACTGCGGCATCTGCTGTCTCCAACGCCGCCAACACGCAACATGTTCCAGCCGGCAGCAGCACCAGCGACGTGGTGGTCCTTCCTCCCACCGCAGGTGGCACAGGGGACGATCAGCATCAACTTTCCGGCCGACCCAACGGCGCTAGTACAACTAGCGGGAATCGGCACGCCAGCCCCAAGCTAATTCCTATCAGTGAAGACAGCCGCGAATGGTTTCGTGGTGTGATCCGGGAACTAGTTGGCGCGCAGGCGTGGGACCGCATCGATGGAAAACGCTTAGTATCAGAGTGCACAGCTCGTCGGCCCGCCCTTCCCCTTGTATCGCAGTCTTTTTCTGTCATGTTTTTTCTTGCAAGAAAATGATGGCAATTTATCCTATCCACCAGCAGCTGCCCTGCTTTTTTTCAGCTGCAGTGTTTGCATGTCAGGATCCAGGAGCAGCACCCGCCCAAGCAGTACTTCATCTTCATCTGCGATCGTGCGTAACACCTGCGTAAATTTGATCATGTCACGCAAAATAAGTTAGCTGCGCCTTTGCTGGGCACCAGTGAAGATGCCCACCAAAGGACAGGGACAGTGGGGGAGCTGCCCTTTTGGACTCCGATACTTGGACGAGCTGATGGACAAGATGGCCGACGGCGAAGACATCGCGACGCCTTTGCTAGCCGCCAAGGGGGGCGGGCAGGTGGTCTCGGCGGAGAAGGGCAAGGCGTTCAAGGCACTGTACATGCTGACTACACGGAAAGCCAACGACATCACGGATTCCCAGCGGCGCACGAGCAAGGCCTGGGCCAAGTCGGTCCTGGGCCTCACGCCCTTGGACCAGCTGTACAGCGGCGGCGGGAAAGGGAATCCACAGCCGAGCCCCCTCCTGCTCAGCCAGCAGCACCAGCAACGCGCCAAAGGTCCGCTCCCGACGACAACGGACGTCCTCCATCCGCAGTTACACCCAACCACTTCCTCGAGCAGTGCCTCGTCCACAGCCGGACGGCACGGAGAGCAACACGGGGGACCTCCTCCTGGCGCTGCAGACGGTTTCCAGCTGACCGCGAATCATCAGCCGAGGGACGTCGAAAGCCTTGCTTCAGGCGATCAACTGGACCGCGGGCCGCACAGCGCACCAGCTGGTGCAGCCGCTAATGCCATTACTGGTGGCAGCAGCACCGCTCCTGCATCGGGAGGCTTGTTACGAGGCGGCGGACCGACGGGCGATGAACTTGACGAGGTCCTCGAAAGCGCACGGAAGACGCTCGAATTCCGGGGCAGGATCGGTGTATGGATCTCGCGAAGCGGCGGGAGCATAGACTGCCCGGAAGCGGCAGCGGAGTTCGGGACACCGAAAATTGACATCGGGCATGACCACCTCCCAGAAGGGGTGTGGCCAAGGCACGTAGTTGTTGGTCAAGAGGTCTGGTTCAACGCGGACCTTGTGTCGGGAGAACAAGAAGGGCTACCTCCCGCTGAAAGTATCGCGTCTGTTGTTGGAAAGGCTTTTTTTCCGGCGCTGCATTTTCAGCTGCGAAATGGGACCAGCACCAAGCGGGACGTCGGTACAACTAGTCAGGCCGATGCGTCGCCGCCGCCTGCAAGTACTAGTGCAGGAGCAGTAGTAGCTGCAGCACCACTGGCCGCTGCTGATGGAGGCGCGCTCCTCCATAAAACGGGTGTTGCCCCCCTGGAGCGCTCTACTACCGCCCTCCATTCCTCGCAGCCACAGCCCCGCCAGCATCCCGGAGGAGCGGCCGCTGCGTCTTCCAAGAGCAGCGCCGGGGCAGTTGCGTCTACTACCAGTGACGCATTCCACGCAGCACTTTGGCAAGCCTCAGCCATGGAAAACCGTAACAAGTCAACCTCGTCACCGATGACGACGATGTCTGCTAGCAAGCCACAACTGGCAGGTGCAGGCGCCGCCGCAGGAGGCGGTCCCTCGTTTTTCCCGAAACCACAGCTACCGCTTGCTGCGGCACCGGGGCCCGGGGCGACGACCAGTACTTATGGGAGCGTCACGATCGAAATCCACCAAGGTGAAAGCTTTGCGATGCACAATTTCGGTGCCACTTGGGAATCCAAGAATTTCTAAGCAGCGCAGGACAAATTTTCCGAGCACCGAAATCCATTTTGTCACTGTCATGCTTCGTCGGCAAAAAAGACGAGCTCGGTCGTGCTACTGATTTACTTTCATTCTAGCAGCTCTATCTCCTATAACAATCCCAAACAGGCTGACAATTGCTCTCACTCGCGTGCCCTCCTAGAACACAAGAAAGAGAAACGCACTGCATTTACAATTTTTTCAACTTTGTCGATTGCTATCCTGACGCTTCCATACAAGTACACTGGGCGTGAACCGCGTCCAGAGCGGGGGACTATGGAGGGAAAGTGGGTGATCTTCTTCTTTCCGCGTGCTGCTAGAACGCAGCTGGTCCTCCTCCTCGTGTGGGTAGTGGATTTTTCCCTAGTCCGCTCTTCCTCATCAAATCAGTCCGGAACTAACACTAAGTAAACCAAGAACGCATGGAATTAAGTATACTTTCCCTGATTTTGGATTTGCTGCGCTTCTTGCATGACGAAACGGCTGAAATAAGCTCCAAAATCGCAACATGGCACAATGCGACTTGTGCTTTTCTTGAAAGTAGGCCTTGCTAGCAGCACTCGTTTCATCGCCAAGATCGCTCACTTGCCCTCTATAAAGACACAACAAGCCGATTGCAATTTCGTTCGAAGACATCGGGTCTCGGACTGAATTCACGCCAAGAAATACGGGCAGTGCGTCTAACAAGAACGCCCTAAACATGGCTGGTGCGCATAGCAAGAGCATGGCGCACAAAAACATGCCTATGCCACTGCCGGCGCCAGTTCCCCCTGCAGCAACAGGCCACCATCTGCAGAACCAACAGTATCCTATGTAAAAACGTGCCCACCCCATAGGTTCTGTCGAGATATCAACCCTTCAAATAAGGGCAAAGCCAGAGCAAGGAAGAGCGTCATTTTTGTGCCTTTGGTTTTATGAGGTGCTGTTATTTCCTTAATCATCCTAATTTCATTTTGATTTTATGCAACCGCTCGCGGTCGCCGTCGCGCCTGCAGCTCCAGCATGTTGTTCTACTTACTGGGATAGAAATGCGGAATCCCCGGTGTCCTTGCACTACAGGTACAGAACCACTACGTTAACAATTTACAGAGTGTGCCTCTACTCATGTTGCGGGGACGAGGAAGGCACGGGCTGCATGATATACCATAGCAGGTATGCCCTAGTATCTTCTTTTGACATTCGCTTGCTGAATGTGAGTAGTACTACAGATTCAATCATTATACCAAGAATGGGGCGGGGACGTTTTTGCACAGGATAAACCACAGGTACTGAAGATGATTTGAAGCCAATACCAATTACTTCCGTACGTCATTGACATTTGTGGCAGAGTAGGTCTGGATTTTTTTTTTCGAGGTGCCCTCGTTTAGTTTTGTGCTTGCTACTCCTGCCGTATTTTTTATCTTTAGTCTTCGAGCGTCTGTGTGTTCCTCACACAGATAGAGGTGATGCGCCAGCAATCTCATTGGCATTGTTTTGCCATGCCCTAACTTTTCTTTTGCCGACCCTGAAGCGCGACTTAATTATTCCCGGGTCGTAGTAAATTTGCAATCGCGGCGCAGGCCCCGCGCGATGTGGTCGGCAAGTGCAAGTGACTTGCGCTGTTTTACTAAGTGAAAATTAAAAAAAAAAACACCAGTTCGATGTGTAGTAGACAAGAGAAGACCGCTTTTCTGCGTACCTGACGAGTTCGATGTGTTAAAAAGCTAAAATAAAAAATGCATCGTGGCTCCGCAGCTGCGTTTATTTAAAATTCAAATTACAGCTGAGCGCCGGTCGGGGCCCACCTCCGCCAGCGGATCTGTTGGGACAGCAAGAACACGATACGCCGTTTATGGGAGATTTATATCACAAGATGTCCTCCACCACAACCAGCAACAATAACAACAAACTTGAAGGCCATCTTCAGGAGGAAGATACAGTGCTAAAACAGATTGCTGATTATGAATCGAAGTGTGTCACGTAGAAAATCGACAGAATGGAAATAGGTAGTTTGCCGGGGAGATGCAGCTTGACAATGACAACATGAACATAATATAACAAAGCGTCTGCATTGCATGGAGGCCACATGAAGCCTCGGACAACAAGCCTGATTTTTCATGTAGAATTATGACATGAGCAAAGAGCGAAGCTGGTGGAGTTGGAAACAAGTATGACGCGAGTATGTGGTTTCCCGGCCCCGCAAAAAAGTGCGGAAAGTCCAGCAACTACTTACGACATTTTTTTCCCTTTTGACGAGTTTCCACTTGGCACTGCCATACTGACATCCGTGATATTATTTGTGACGATGCTTCGGAGATGTTGTCCTCCGACGACGCTACCGCCGGGGGCTCTTCCGCGCCGGAGCACTTGTATACGTACAATCAAAACCCTTTTTCGCAACCGCCGCCGGACGGGATTTTGCCGCTGCAAGAGTTCGCACCGCATGCAGAGTTCATGGACCACGACTCAGCTTCGGTGCGCAACCTGGAGGTAAGCGACGGGGGGAAAAACGGTCCTTTTCGAAATCGGCCCGCGCCCGGAGACTCCTTGTTACAATCCGACGAGCACCAGGCGCAGGCCGCCGGTGCCACGGAAAGAAGTCGAAGTGGTGGAGATCACAGCGTCACCGGCCAGGGTGGTGGAGGACGCAGCACGGGCACTGTTGCAGCCCCTCAAGCTCAAGCTCATGGTCTGCATTGGAATGGGAGCGGCCATACTGCGGGTGGCGTTGCGAGTGCAGCGACGTCCTCGTCGACCGGTGCAGCTAACCGTGGTCTTCATCATGCCAAACGTAGCTGGGGTGCAGGCCTTTCCATTGATACCGGGGAACAAGGAAGTGCTGCGACTGGGTCCACAGTGGTCGCGCAACATGAAAGAGACAACACCGCCATCACGCCAGCCAGCTCTTCAGTGCGCAATCGGATTTCTCCAGCCTCAGACGTGCTGCCACCGCCACCCTCGAACACGTCCCGCTATGCCTTGCAAAAGTATCTCACTGGGTAAAAATTCTATAAATTCAAGTTGCATGCGGATGCGGCTGGCGAATTCTTCGTCTTCCAGAATGAAAAATAAAAGGACTCTGTATCAACACTCCTGTCACACATCACATTCAGAAGATCAACAAGCACAGCTAGACAGCAATCATGTGATTTGATGTACCTGAGTCTGATACCTTTGCAGTTGATACCCGCGCGGGGATCACCAAAATAAAATCTCCCCTGGCAACAAGTGCCAGCCATGGCGTTGGTGCGCCCCCAACGGCGTCGTCGTCAGGTTCGAACGGACTGCAGAGCAAGAATGCGACCTTCTCGACAATACTGCCTCCACCAGGCGTATCTATGCTGCGTAAAATCTCCCTTGTTCTCGGGAATTTCAATTCTTGGTATGAAAAAAGATGAATAGTAAGTTGTACTTACATCATCAAATGCAATTACGTGCAAAAAAGGTTTAAAGATGTCGTGTGTTGAAGATTTATTTTGATGAATTGCGCTACGCAGCTGCGTCTGTGTGGGTGTACTGCTTTACGATTACGAAGAGGAAGTGGGGTCGAGCCTGAGGGGCATTCTACGCTGGATAGAACTACCGCCCCCGTTGAGCTCCAGCAGCAGTCTCAGGAGTTATCCCGTGAAAGCATGTCCCCATGCCTTAAGTTCTGCTGCAAGAAAACCTCCTTGCACTACAACGCCTACGTACACTACATACTCAAAAATCACTCTCGTGATGAAGATGACTTCCGTAGTGCAATAAGAAAACTTCGAAGGCAGCGTCTGCGTGTGGCAAGTACTTAGGTTTAGGTATATCTATATAAATTCTACATGTAACCTTATAAAAGTAAAAGGTAAACCGCACTAAGTGTGTGAGTGTAAGGTCCTTGCCAAAGAAGTCGTCGTGCGCCTAGTGCACGCTGCGCGCAGCCGGTTTATTATGAGCTGTCCATGATCCAACAAGACGAACTCGAACTCTTCCAGTGGCGTGGCAGGGGGCATGATTGCACTGCATAGGATTCCGCACCGTCCGAGCTCCGCTACGGCGGCGGCGCTAAGCAATGGGGTATTAAGCAGGATACTTCATCACGACCTCTTCAGGAGATAGAAATTTTTAGTTTCATCATCATGCGGAAAAGGAAAATAGATTTATTCGAATGCATAACAGCACTCTTCTGTGAAGTGTAAGTGAGTAAGATAATGATAAATCTGTGATGTTGTTTCTATGTGTCCGACCTCGGTCGTGCAATAAAAGACGATGACGAGTCCTTCGTCGAGGACATTGGAGCTTGACTACAGCTATGGCAGGCTAAAAATGTCGTAAGCAGAAGCAGTGGCAGAGCCAGTTCAGAACGAAGACTTAATTTTTCCAGGCTTCGCGATAGTGAATTGTAAATCTAAATGTAGAAGCCGAGCATACACCTGCACGAGCAGCCAGCGCAGCAGAGATGCAACCTTTGAGTTTCTATTCCTCTTGAGATTCATCGCGATGACAAAACCACAGGTCCTCCCGCCACCTGGCTATGAGAGTGGGCATGCTTTTGCTTCCCCCTCCTCCTCTTCTGAGGTGCCCCAAGACGAGTAAGAAAACGGGGAATTCCAATCTTCAAGAAGTTTATTAAGTTGCTGGCGCCGAAACAGCTTTTGCATAGCAGCACCAGGGTGGTATAATTACTATATATGTGGCTGTCCCTGTCGTGAGCCTCGTCAGGTAAAGAACCCTACTTCTCAATACTGCATCGACGTGCGCCAAAGCCCAAAGCCAAAGATCGGATACGTGTTTTTGCACCACCAACGAGATTCGTAGGGGGGGGAGGGGAATTGTCCACGAGCATTCTGGCAAAGGAGCAACGAGTAACGAAAACGACGAGGATGAGGATGAAAAGTTGCTGGCTCCACCCGGAGCGTCGACAACGACGGCAGACCAGCCGCAGTTGGAAAGCCCCAATCTCCAGGCATTGATGTCGAAGATCGACCTATCCAGCATACAGAGACAAAAAAAGTTTGTCGCGATCCCGATCTCCACGCATGTTCATTTTTCCAAAGCCAAAATGTCTGTCGTGTGATGTCAAAGAACACGCATCCCTTCTAGTTGTGTTTTGCAACATTCCAAAAAAGATTTATTATCATGCATCAAAACCTGCCACTTTCACTTTGTGACTGGGACTGCGGCAAACTTTTTTTTTTCTTCCCGATACAGATTGGAAGTCCACACGCTCGACGAGAAAGATCGGGAGAATGAACTGCATCTCAACGCGTTGGCAAGTATCGCCATGCCACAGGCTGGCCCACCTAGCGCAGTGCCGGCTGAGGGTGAGGGCAACACCAACGCGAACGGAGGTTCCACCGCGGCTGCCGGGCCACTACGAGGCTCAAGCAATACAGCTCAAGACACGGAGGTCGCTCTGCCGGCATCCGTAGCTCGGGAGGACTTCGTGGACGCCGCCAAGGCAGAATATGATGTGGTCAGAATTAAAATCTCAAAACTTTCAAAAAAAAAACTCGGGTTTCTGAAATCCGAGGCGCAGGCCGCAAATACTTGCGCGCGGCGTGTCGCGTGACACTCCAGGACCAGGAAAGCACAAGAACGCGAGTCCTACATGAATGAGCGAGGCGATGGCTTTGCCTTTGGAGCGGGAGTACCTTCGCGCCCCGCATTCCAGAAGCTCCTCGCGCGGAGTCCGCAGCTTTTTTCGTTTTTGCCCTCACGACAAAGCCCTCTTTGCCGATCTCGTCCTCTGGATTGAAGACCCTTGGGGGCCTCAACAGGCACCCTCGACCTTGGGAGGGAGGCCAATTTCTCTTTTTCAAACATGCAGGTTTTTTTCACGCGAGCGATGGCATGCTGGGACTTCACTGCTTTCGGTCCCAGGATGTATTCTAGCCTCCGGAGGGCCTCACCCGAAACTCGCAAGCCGGACCCCGTGAGGCCTGCTGCCAATATGATCAATAAAGCAGGAGCTGCACCCTTGCCAGAGCCTAAACGACAGAGCATAAGCACAAACGTAAGGTCGCAAGGGGAGCCAAGGCCGTGGCCCCTTTGCCTAGCTGCAAGGGGGAGCAGCAGGTCAGAAAATGTCCGCACCTACGACAGAGGGGACAAGGGTCGCGACAGGCAATACTTTTGGTTCGTGCGTGCAGTTCCGCAAAAAAGGAAAAGCAAACACAAACGCGCTGGATTGTTCAAGCCGAACGGCAGATTTTTTTCGAAAGTTTTGCGATTTCAATTTAGACCGGGAGGGCTTTGGGGACGCTGCGGAGGGAGAGGAGCACGAAGATTACGATCCATTTGCCGACCACGAAGAATGACCGACGACACCCCGGCGCGGGGGGGGCGAGGAACAATATTAATTGGGAGAAGGAAAAAGAATTATCGTGGTTTGCTTCATTAATCCGGAAGGAATTTTCCTTGCATCCTCCGAAGGAGATGTTAGACCGTAGAAAAAAACTGTAAGAGGATGTGCTTTCGAACGGGGCAAAAGAACAGTGAAGATGGTGTGGAGTTTCAGTTTCTATGAACCTTAACGAGACAATCAAGACGATGAGTTTAATTTGTGATATCAATTTTCATCAAGCTGTGTTGCTGGTGATAAGATAAGGTCTAAATCTTTCTATCAATGATAGAAGATAAATGATAACATTATACAAGACCACACCTAAGAAGATGCCCCGCCTTCACAGAACGAACTACGAAAAAAACGGCACGACGAAAATCTTTGAGAATGAGAAAGCAAAAAGCAAGCATGTACTATCACGTTGCACCCTAGAACAAGTATCATAGGGACATCATTGCATAGCTTGATGGAGTCTCACTGTCACAATGCACAAGCCAAAGCAGTTCGCTACTTCGAATTGCTGTTGCTCGTCTACTTTATCTTTCCACGTTACATCAACTTGTTAGTTCAAAATCTATTTGCATTTCTACAGGTACAGAACATATAACTTGCACACCCTGCACCAGCGGCTACTACTCGACGTCACGACTTTATTTTACGTATTTTTTTGCAGTCTTGGACATAGACGACAAAACCATCAAAAGGATAAAAATAAAAATTAGGGATGACTAGAACCGGCGCGGAAAAACTAGCTCCCTGTCCCTTTCCTTGTTCCTCCGGGCATAAGATTTTTTTGGAAGAGGACGTGAAGCGTTTCAGATTATGATGAAAATTCAAATTGTGGTCTGGATAGGGTAATAAAATGCTCTATTTCATTCCAGCGGCTGTGCTTCTTGCCTTTGCACGTTGCAATCCGGCAGCTGCCTGTCGTCGTGTTTTGAAGATCTAGAGGCTGCCGACCCGGAGTCCCAAGCAAGAAGATCTACATCTGGAAGCACTGTGCATTGATGTTGACTCGATGTAGTTGAGATATTGTTTAAAGCATTAGACCGACCCTAATGTTGGAGAGATACGACGTACCTGTCTTGCCGCATGCCTTTGCGGGTAACCTTGCGCTGCATGGCGCCCAAGTTTTTTCGGTCGTAGCATTTAGCTATCCCCTTTCGCCGCGCCGCATCGTCGGGCGGCGCAACGTCCTACGCCACGGCTTACGGGAGGGAGGATCCTCTGCACAGCCAAAATTGAGGAAAGAAACAGCTCGCCACTTGATTTCTGTATAGTTTAGTATGTCTTTCTATCTCTTTCTCTATTTGCATGCGAAATGCTCGCAGTTGTAACATGTCGGCCCCCGCTCCTCAACGGGGCGATTCATTTTCCAACGTCAAATGGGGGGGGGGGTCTCCAAGTCATGATTTACCTCCTTTCCGCCCTGAAAGTCTGTTTTCTAAAGTCTCGCTGTGATGATTGCTGGTTTTTGTATTTTTTGACGCCTAGATTTATGTCGAAGACTTGCACCTTGTAGTCGTGTGCCCGTGGTGCAAAGCATCGCGTTGCTCCCTGCCACGCTCTATCGAGCTTGCTGGTAAGAGGCCACCGCCACCGCGACCGCCCCATGGACTAGACTAGACTAGACTACACTAGACTAGGATGAGCCCCATTAACTTGATCTGATGAATGCGCGCTGCAGATGCTAAGAATCATGCTACATTATCGGTGAGTGTCCTAACTTGCTACAAGGAGCAAACGCAACAGTAGAAACTGCGCCATTGAAGATTCGGTCAACTGAATAGGCGGTTGCTTTCGCAGCTGAATTTACTTGTACTTGTACCTATACTACAAAGCGCGCGGCCAACACTCAGGTTCATTCGGTCAACTAAACATAAACAACGTGCCCCGGCCTACTTGCCTACTTAAGTACTTACAACGGATATCGATCTGTCACATTCATGAAAATGCCTCAACAATCGGAAACGCGAGCGACGTGAAAGAATCTCCTAGACAGTGAAAGGTTCTTCAGCATTCGCCTTCGGTCTGAATCAAGTTGGATGTGATGTCGGAGTCGGTGATCGTGAGGATTGTCGGAATAATGAACGACCAACTCCAACGCGATCTGTGTACATAAGGATAAGCTTCTTTTTTTTTCCGAGAGCTGCATGCATGGGCATGCTTATGCATGAAATTTCTCAAGTTGAAGCATGATGTGATGATGTGGGGGTCAGCCTTGCAAGGATCAGAGCTATATATGATTCAAAATCATGTCAAAGAATTGCACCACCACCGTCTGCAACAAATTTCGTTGTATGGAATTCAAGATCTTCGGATGCAAGCGTTTATCGCGGCTGCGCCTTCTGTGTCGGAAATGAAATTTGATCCGTTCTCTGCAGAAACAGAGCAAAGACAAGATCCCCCGGACACCAGATCGAAATGAACATAATCGGATCTCTATCGTCATTTCCCTCATGAAATTACCAATAATAGGGATCAAGCAACTAGTTCCTTGCGCAAGATGATATGTATTTCGAAAATTGTCTTCTATGTAGTTAGATGAAGTTTCCTTTTGCACAATATTTTTGCGACCAGGTTTATTTTGGATTATCGTGATTCGGAGTCGTGATTTATCAACATCAAGTAGCATTAGCATTTATTATACCTCATTATCTTATTGCAGCGGTGTTCTAAGAGTTTTTATTTTGAAGAGCTTATCACAACAAGTAAAGTATAACCCTTTTTTTCCGTGCGACCATCGGAATCGAAAAACGCCAAGAGCTGTCCCGAGTAGAGCTTATTTGCAATACAAACTTTGTGCTGTTGGTTGTATTTCTATTGTTTTATCTGCTCCACCTCGGTAAGATCCTCATCTTCTGTCGTGTCGCAAGCGCAGATTCGCTGCTTCACAAATTCTAATTCACTGGTGCGAATTATCAGTAAGATTTGGTCCGCCACGAGCATGAGGACAAATCTTCAATCGCGCAGCAGGACCGTCGGCGCAGGATCCGCAGTCGCACCGAGGAGGATGGAGGAGCACTCGCGGTACCTTCTCGACGACCAAGAAGAGGCACTCTATGGGAATGTCGGTTGGGAACCTATCATAAACGGCACGGGTGGAGATGAAGTTAGAGTGCCATACTCAGGCAAAAGAAATGAAAGCTCGTACCTTCGCCCATTTTTTCCAGGCACAAGATAGAGAAACAAAATGGGAATCTTCATTTACGCGTATGCCGTGAGCATGCGCAGTCCACCCAGACCCAGGTTTTTATTTCACCGTAGTAGAAGTATCGGAGCGCTCTAGGTTGTAGCTGTAGGTTTTTGACTTTTGATTCTGCTCGTGATATTCAGCACGCCATTCAATTTTCTAGTCCAGGCTCTGCCTCTGCATAGTTGTAGCTCAGTCTCATCTTCGCCGCCTCGGGTTGCAGCAAGACGCCCACGACAAGCTTTCCTGCGAATTGTAAGTTTTGATATTTTTCCGCTAGTACGACCGCTGCCAGAACTACAAATAAAAGTTTCCCTCCCGACATTTTCATACGCTGCTCTCCGGTACAGGCCGATATCGGGTCGCCGCAGCAGGGGAGGGAGAAGGACGAGAGGACTTTGACAACAACTTCTACGCCGCCGCCAGCTCGTCCTCATCAACGATGATCAATGCTGACGCAGCGGCAGTCGCATCAAGCAAGACGTCCCCAACTTCGGGACTCCTCAGCAACGCAGCAGCTCCGGTTCGACAGGCCCGAAGATCCCGCGCCGGCTCTAACAACATTACGAGAGTGCAGAGGACCTCCCCGCCCCGCTTCCCGTCACTTGCAGGTGGAGGGCCTGAGAAGCAACATAAGCCAGTCCTCAACTGGTCCTACTGTTGTAGCTGGCTCATGCTGAAAATTATGAAATCTCCACAGGGGGATCAGGATCACATGAAGGCGTGGGCATCATCATCTTCCAAAACTTGTTGTCATGCAAAAACTACAAAGTGCTCAATTCCAAAAGATAAATGGAATAAATAAGTATGCGTTAGAGATGATGTTGTATTTTGGTTTTGCTTGCCAATGCTAAATGACGGGGACGAGGCGGACGAGTTGTGCGCTCTGATAAACATCGAGCATGACCTTATGAAGTCCGCATCGACGAGTAGCGACGATATGAAATTGCACAACTTCAACTCCCCCTCGCTCTCATTTGGATGGCTGTGGCATTCACAGCAATGCGAGCGCTGCCAAAGAGAAAGAAGCAGCTTCTGCATGACAATGCCAATGTATTGTGTGCATAAGTTTTGCACGACAATTTTATCTGCATGGTCTGCCTGTGCACCCTCTAATGGAAGAAAAAAAAGTCGGATGAAATCGGGCCGGCAGACCAGGCCATCGGGCTGACAACGTGCGTCAGGGGCCGCCAGTCGTTCACTCATTCGTTACATCAAGTACGCCCTGCCGTTAGTCTCCCAACATGGCAAATTCTTCACGACCAATTTTAGTGCTGTTTCGCGTTCGGCTTCGGGAATCTCTTATGCATATGCAAGCAGTTCTAAGATGCAGGGCAGGGGAGAGATAGAGATTTGATATTTTGCGTGACAAATGAGACGGAGGGGGACGAGTTGTGCATTCTCATAAACGACGAGGACGACGACGCGGAAGTAGATACCTCTATGGAGACGGATGAGGTCGCGCACCCGGTCAGTTTTTGGGGTACTGTTGCGAATCAGGTTCTGGCGGCTTTAGGAACGGGGGTTCTGTCGCTGCCCCTGAACGCCACTTCTGCTGGGATAATCAACACGGTACTTCATGTAGTTGTATTTCAGAGCGATCAGTCCAAACAGTGCAATCGATCGGAGTACTTTTTTAAGTAAATGATCTTGCGCGCAGCCTGAGCCTTTTCAGATCAAAAATAGAAACTACCTGCTCTGGCACTGGCTCTTATGAAAAATGAAGAACTGCGTGCAGAAAAAGGTAGAACGAGATTAAAAAACAAAGGAAAGCATGATAAGCAAATGGAAATGATCTGGCAGAAGCACAATATCAATTTACTATTCGCGACATCGTGCATCGCGACGAGCCCGCAAATAAAGCGCGGCGGTACTGTAGGAGAATTTGATCTTGCAGGAGATGGAGAAATATTGAAAACCAATCCTACTTCAGGTTGTGATCACGGCTCTGCTAATGTGGCTGAACTACGTCTCAGTCATGTGGCTCGTCCGCGCGGCTGAGAAGCACCAGATCTGGGAAATGGACAAGCTGCTGGAGAAGGTCCGCTGCGGCCGGCTATGGTTCTGGACGTGCTCCGCCGTCCTGCGTATCAGCTACATGATCGTGCTAGTGTCTTACCTGATCACTTTTCGCGACAGCGTTTTCCGGATCTTGGATCGGTTTGTTCCGGTCGAAGAGACTGCGCCGGAGAGCATGCGTACCCGCCTGGAAAGTATGCTTTCCTTGGAGCCGGAGACGAGCTACGCCGACGCACTCCTGTCGCGCCAAGTGCAGCATTTGGAGACGCAGGATCGGACGGAGTTTCCCCTTGGCGGATTCAAGGTAGGTTTCTTCTCGCTGATCACCCTCGGCGCACTGCTGGTAGTATCAAACTAAAAACAATCCTCTACCGCACCGCAGATTTTGATTTTGTCATCGAATAAAACACAAGTAGAAGAGTTAACGTTAAGTTTAAGTAACCATCAGGAGCATGGTGACATGATATTCCTCGACCGCTCCTAGTTGTACTGCTTTGTTTATTTTCTACTTACTATCAATCTCCTCGTCGAAGCTGCGTACGCGGCGCGTACGCGTCAGCCGAATTCTGTATCTGTTTGACGAAAAATCGCATGACGGAGAGGATTGTTTCACTCTTGATAGCTCGCTCCGCTGGTCTTCTTCCCCCTCAAGTGGCTCAGCTACACCAGTTACTTCAGTATCTTTGTGAACCTGTCCGTGCTGATCATCATCTTCGTCAACTTCGCGCTGCAGAAGGACCAGCTGCCAGGCCACCCGGGAGGCTATTGGTATGCGACCCAGGATCTGTGTCTCTTCGGCCTCAACACCGGTAGTTTCGGCCTCATGTCGTCCCTCGTGATGGCCTTCAGCGTGCAGCCGGGCATGCCCGCCATGTACCAGGAAATGGAGAACCGCAGCGTCGAGCGATTCGGGAAGGCCATGAAGATTTCGACCGTCTTCATGTTCTGCCTTTTTCTCCTCTTCTATCAGAGCAGAATCGCCTACCCAGCCTATTAGCATCGATCTAAGCGCCCCCCTTTTGTCATGCAGTTGTGCACGCCCAGCGGCTGATGTCTACTTCGCAAGTGGCATATCAGTATAGTCAGACGAGTAATTTTTATCGAAGAAGAAGCTGTTGAAGAACTGGACGAGATATGAGTCGACTGCATCGCTCCTGATGAATGGCTGCAATATGTATATGATCAACCTTTACAACATGTACATGAACATACATTCTTTCTTGCGAACTGTATCTGTAATACATACCATATCGATCTTGACAACAAGCTCAAGCATGTGATCACGTATATCAATGAGCACCGTTCTGATGATGTTCCAGTTGTGCTGCCCTACGACCGTAGGCGTGCTCTAGCTCTTGCTTTGTATACTTATGTCCATTTTTGTCGAGCATGACAGGTAAAAAGGGTAAGAAGATGCATGCAGCAGTGCGGGACGATTAGTTGGGGGCTTTTGCGCTGGCGTAGAAGATTTTCTGTGCGATGCCGTTCCTTTCTTCAGCATGATGACCTATGGTGACGAACTGCAAGGAAACGTGCTGATGAACCTCCCCAAGGATGCCTGGTATACTCCTGCCGTCATGATTGGGATGGCCCTGGTGGTGCTCTGTGTCTTTCCCATGATCCACTACCCGATGATATCAAATTGAGAAGTGCCACGCCTCTAGAAAGTAGCAAGCGAAGCGTTTGCATTGCACAGGTTCCGCACGACCCCCGTAGAGACCTTTTCTCTTGCGTTAAGGGCGGTCGCGCTTTCCTTCAGAACCTGTCCGCATCATGCAGCTCTGCAGACACCAGATGCCGCAGATATTAGATATTGTAGCGCGGCGCAGGAGTAGATCTCGCTACTCTGAGACTGAGCCACGAAAGCGCGCTGTTGACCGTTCGTCCAAAGCGGCAAGCTTTCCCGAGTTTGCTAGGGCGCATGATTGAGTAGAAAGCTTCTCCGTGCAAACACTTCGCAGCTAGCCGACTCTGGGGCAGGGACGCTTCTCATCGTGATAAATGAAGATCGGCTTTCAGAGTAGGTGGTGGACGCTCGCCTGGACGGTATAATCAAATGATATTATTAAAAGTTTTTCGTCATCCTTATCGCATCTTTTTGGAGGAGACTATGTTTGGGCTGCTCAGCTCCTCGTATTCTTTGTTATAGCAGGGGCACTCCTGCTCATGTCTTCTACCAAGTTGTAAGACATCAACTCTTACTTCCACCTTCCTCGATCGAGATCTTTCAAATATTCCCTTGGTCACAGATGAAGATGATTTTATATATATTACATCCGGATTCGCCGCACAAAGTGTAGGCACGAACTGCGAAAATTATGAATGCTACTGTCGACTCGGTCTAGTTGTTGCAGCTGCGATATTTATCCTCCGTCGTGGAAAAACAATCCAGAGTTTATTGTTCTTGGCAGGAAAATGTTGAGACGTGGTTTATTGACATATTTACAACAGATTGGGCCCGTGATCGCAGCCTGGGCATTGGCGGTGGTTTGCGCGACTATGGGTTGGGAGTTGGATTTTCTAAATAACGTGTATCACTGCAAAAACCTCCTCCGTGCGACCACTCCCACATGATGGCAGTGGGATCTCTGTGTCCGTGTCTGGGTACGGGACTTGCAAGCATGCGGATAGACATCCTCGGCAGAACGAAGTATGTCATGAATTGCCTCGCGGCTGTATATGAAGAATGCGAGGACTGAACCAAAAGAAACACACGACGAACCTCACAAGCTTGCTTCTTTTGAGTGTTTTTTGCACAAAATTCCGAAGGGACCCCGCCATATTGAGTAAAATTTTACGTAGTAGAATGAAGTAGCTGGAGTTCTATCTCTATGTGGTGTGGTTGTACATAAAATTAAAGTTCCTTCGAGGCAGGCTGCCATGGCAATTTTATCTTGTGCTGCAGGAGCTGTTTCATGTCGCTTGTGCTCATGTCTGGGGGTGGACGCGCGAGGTTTTTCCTGGGACAACGTTTCCGGCGCAATCAGTGCGTTTTTCTTTCTGGCTTTTTTTCCAGCGCTGATTGGCCTCGAACTGGTGGAGTTATGAAAACCAAAAAAGGTCGAACAAGCCCCAGTATCAGTTCGCTGCGGTTTTTTTGCATTCGGAAACACAAGAAGCTGTGTCGTCAGAAGCGTCGGTGTGGCCGATGTTGTATTTTGGTACACAGCGGAAGCATGACGAGCCAGGACTCGTTCTTGAGTATGAGTTACGCCCATCACAATGAATCGCACTGACGTCATTCATACCCGCATCCCGCTACGATCTGACCCTGGGGCAGAGCTTATTTTCGCTTCCATAGGAAGAGCTGCCATCGTACTGGAGCGGCAAGGGCGTTCTCAAGTACTGGCTCTTCAGTCTGTTTGGCCTCGCGGCTATGGTTCTCGGCTTGTTTTACCCGGAGGGCATTCTCCAGTACCGGACCTGGGGGCCGCAAGAGACCGTTCAGGACCCTGCCGTACAGGTACAAACTTACGCAATAGCAAACTAATCTACTCGGCTCGGTTCTACTTGCTGGCCGATAATATATCGACGAAGTTCTTCGAAGGCCTTTACCATTTTTACCACTGGCACTGTACAAAAAATGTAGCCACCCTCGGAAATTATGATGGTGCTTATCGAATGTGATTACTTCTACCTCCGAGGCCGTATTTTTAACAAACCAAAAACATCGACTGCACAGGTCGGCGGATATACGGCTGGACCCTGGCAACAGCCTGCGAACGCACCTTTCCAAAAGGTTGCGTGGAATCCTGCCGTGCATGGAAACCTAATATCGATGGGGGCAGTTGTATCAGAATGGACACCGCCGCGCCCCCAGGATGAACATTGCTTGCAAATGTGATTTGTATTGCTATTGCAATGATCTTCGAGAAATGCGCTGATCATTATAAATTAGACATTTATAGGAACGCTGTGCAGCATGATAGCGCCGAAAGCCACGACGCGCTACCTAGAATTTTGAAGTTGGGCAGCCGAGGAGCTACAGGCTTATTTACGAGATGATAAAGTCCGCATGTACTTACAAAGGCGCCCTGTAGCAGCACAGACTCTTGCTTATATGTGCGTGTGCTCTCCGCAAGTTGGTAACCAACTGTTCTACGTCCTACGCAGTGCAAGCAATGCTTTTCTCTGAGGCAGCAGTGATGGCTTTTCATTGCGATAAACAGCCGGCCTGACCTTGGCGACGCCGCCGCAGCCGGCGAGCCTTTTTGATCTCGGCTCTACATATCAGGACCGGCGAATCTCCAACCTTCTGCCTAAGTGGAAGGACTACAAGGAAAGCCTCGTTTCCGCAGTACAGAGACAGACTCTCTTCTTTTAATGACTTTGTGAAAAGGATGACGAGGAAAGGATGGTAGGTCCTCGATCCGATTCTCTACGTGTACGTTCTTTTGTCTAGATATTTATAGAGTTGTAGTCGGCTGCTCTGCGCATATGACTGTGATCATCTCCCGAACAACAAAAGCCACTTTTTCACAACAGCTGGAGTGGGACAAGAGTCGATATTTCAAGGACGGTGAAAGCGGAGACCGCAGCGAATACAAGCGAGCAAGTCGTTCTGCTGTGTACAGCGTCTCGCCAGATACACCAGTCGACCAAATCACTTACACGGACGGCACCGTGATCAACGCCGAGGCCGCGGACAAGGGCGAGGGTAAGATTGCGGACACAATCACCTACCTGTTTTTACTGGACCGGATCACGGACAAGGCCCTTACTCCGGACTGGAACCCGGACACGTCCGCCGACACCCCCGCAGAGCGGCCGAAGCAGGACAAGGCAGAGATCGTGCCGGCACTGCTGGTTATGAAAACGAAGCGAGACATCATCATCATTTTTTGGCCGCCTGTGCTTGCGTGTCCGAGTCAAACTCCTCCACGTTTGAGGACGGCATCGGATTCGCGCTCCACACCAGGGCTTGTCGATATGAAGTAGAAATCTTATGAATCACGGGCTTGTGATATAGATTCAGACTCATGACAAAAGGAAAAAGGCAGATGTACAGCAAAAGTACGTACAGGGACAACTTTATCTGAACTGCTCTGTTTTATCGACGAGTATCACATCGCTTGTGACTCGTCACCGCGCGAAAGCCAACATGTTTTGAGAGATAAACCAATCCAGACCAATCCAAGAAATTAGTGCGAATAAGAATATGAGCCGAAGCTATATCATTTGTAGTATTCACAGGTCATGTCAAGGAACGAATATACTCACAGAACTTCTGAAAAATGATGATAACTCGTTTCCCATGTTGCATAATCGACGCTGTCAGCAAGAAGTTCGAGAAGATAAACAAAGATCCGGCCGCAGTGCAACGCCTGCAGACACAGAGGCTGGACCTGAAGGATGTCTACTCTGTCTTCCGTCGCGAAACCAAGGGCTACTGCGAAGACAACTGCAAGGCCCGCGCTGCCGCACAGCCGGAATTCTTTGACTAAATCTAGTCGCTGCACTGCCTGAGCCTGCACAGGTACTGTAACAAGAGACGAAGAGGCTCCACGACCTGATGTCGCCTGGTCGTGCCCTTGATGTTTCTAACTAGATCAAGATTATTCATCCTCAAATAAAAGAAAAGAAACATACGCACGGAGTAGATCGAGCCACTTCTGCAACAGAAGGAGTTGACACGTCGCGCGACAACAGCTTTTTGAGGACGGAGAGCAAGCGATGCCGACACGGGCTCCCGTTTTCACCGGTAATAAAGGCGGAAATCGTAACTTCGCAGCGTATTTCGTGGAAACTGTATTCCTTCGTAGTTGCGGGCGCCAGAAAAGCTTTCAGAGGCACGAACAACGGAGACGGACAGGCTCAGTCTTGTATTATTATAGTCGTAGCACTCCCGCTGTCTCCTGAGCTTCACCTTGTGCCCAGCAGCTCCTGCAAAGTGACTGCTCCTGACTAACTGACGCACATTGCTGATGAAGTTGCTCCTGAGTAGTATCGATATGTATGATAATTTGCGTAAGGCAAAAAGATTAAGCTCGGGAGAAAATGGCTACACTAATGAAGTCACATCGATATTCAACAAGGAAAAATTGGAACATACAAGAGTCGCCGTATGAAGATCATCGACGGCGCAACTCGAATGTTGAAGCCTATGATTATGATACATAGTCGAGATGAGAATCTCAATCAGTATTATTGCGAGACAGAACTTGCTGGTGTTCAATGCAACCCTCTGATCACGATCACGAATTACATGCAATGTTGTTTTTGGCGCGATTGCCGTGGCAGCGGCTCCTCGGCCGCCCTGATCCAACGCCAGAGCATGACGCAAACTTGGATCCACAACACCAGGAACGAGAATGTAAAAACAAAATATGACACCTTCACTGTAGACATTCAGCATGTGTGCGGTGATTTTTGTGAAGATCTAGACTTGGATGAATGTCCAATCGTTGACATTTTTAATTTAGCCTCACGCTCACCGAGACGGACGCATTAGAATTAGTATGTAGCTCTTTCCATCATAAAAAATAGTGACGTGAGACTGTAGCTGGACCAGGATGCATGGGTAGTCAAAAAATTGGATCTATTTTGGAAAAAGCTCTCCAGCACTCGTTTGTATTTGTATTTGAAAGTAAGAGTCTCCGACGAATCACCACGATATCCAAGCCATGAATCTTTAGTTCCGTTCAGCGACTCAAGCAAATCAAAGCCGCCAGTACTAGAAATAACTTATCACAAAGGGAGTTTATTAGGGATAGTGGTTGGCTACTTCTATTGTCACTGGTAGAACAACGTGTACTAGAACTAGAACAAGGTTGTGAATAATTTCTCAGAATCTGAATCGAAAGACGACGTGAAATTTTCGACGAGGTTTGTTTACTTACAGTTTGGAGAAGCACGGCTGGCCGCAAAATCTTTACTTTGGGTTAACCACTTCTACATCTACATACCTCCGCCGCTCTTGGGACAAGGATTACGGCTGTTTCGATTTGTTTTGCTTGGAGTACCTCCGAGGGCGCAAACCTAGTTCTCCGATCATAAATTGAAACGGCAATACCGACTCGGTCTCAGTTGAGCTTGAGATTTTGTTTGAATATAGACGAGACAAATTTTTCCCGGTTTGCTCTGGTTGACGCGTGAAAGAATCAGAAACCGCATCACTCGCCGCGATAGTGGTACGAGTACCTGGAGCAACAGTAGAACAATTAACAAGCCGCCCGTCCTCTTCGTCTTCCCCCGCTCGCCTTTCTTCAATTTCGCGGCCTCTTCTCAACCTCCGGTATCTATCACGACGACGTCACACATACATTATCGTGGCAATAGCGAGTGCGAGAGCAACTGTAACGATAAGCAGCGACGCGCGAACCTGGCAGGAACTTACTGAATCCCCCGTGTCGCCGGTCGATCGGGATCGCAAAGACTTTATTACTCATCATTCGCTGCAAGGCACGACATCCATCTCCCGGCCACGCGAGCGTGACCGTGTCGCCGACCAAAAGTAGCACTAGCAGGAGAAACTAACACCCTGAAGCGGTATTAGAGAAGACTCCCTAGCGACTCCGACCGCCGAAGCTTCAACATTTGCGAACAAGGACTTGGGCTTCGTGTGTCAGTTAAATTTTGACGACAAGAAAACGACAAAATGGCGGGCATCGTTATCCTCAGTAAAATCGCACTCATATATACCATATTTGTCATGGAGTTCTTGCATGTGCCGGATGCCTCAAATGAGCCGTGAGAGCCAATCTCTAAGTACGGGTTTGTGGTGGAAAGAAACTACAACTTTGCATTCTGGAATCAGCATGAGAAGCATGATTCGTGACACAGGCACAGCGGACTAGCTACTCACGACTGTGCCGTGGATGCAAATTTGGAATGTGGAACTCCCAAGACTGCTATAATGACGTGCATTTTTGCCACACCGGATAATCGACAGCGAGTATTCATTTTCTCTCACCACGTTCTCCCAGAGCGGCAAGCTGTTTCAAATAGAATACGCCTTGGCAGCTATCAAAATGAAAAACCCCACTGTCCCATATGTTGAAAAGAATAGTACGGACTTCTTTCAATTTCTGACGGTCGGATTGTGCATACTATAAATCGAAATTATTCTGCCGTGCTAGAAAAGAAGAGAGTGAACTGTAGTAATGAGTAAGAACCACTCCGCGCTCGCGGTGCGGACATTGGCCTAGCAAGAGAAATTGCCATCTGGCGCGCCCCATGTTAGCGCCACAAATCACGAAATCAGCATGAACAATCTCTGTTTTTTTCGATATTGGGAGGGGCAATTTTTCCTCATGATAACAGCCGTGGAAAATGGAGTGAGCGCCCTCGGAATCAAGGCAAAGGATGGAGTCGTGTTGGCTACGGAAAAGCGACTACATTCCCCCCTGATGGATCAGCAGACGTTCAAGAAAATTGACAATCTGTGCAAGGGCGTATTGGATTAATGATTTTTTTTATAATTTCTATTTATTGCCACTCTGCCTGTCTTAGTCTTCGCTAATAATATTCGTCATTATTCCACCAACGGAACGATTTAATGAGGGTGTTTCATTTTCTCGTCTCGGGGAAAACCTGCATCCTTTTCTGCTCCGTTTTTGTAATCTCAACTAGTTTCGCATTCCCGGTCTTCACACATTTTTCTTTCAATAAAATCAACTACAGGTTGGCACGGTATACGCGGGCATGGCCCCCGACTACAAGGTTCTCTTGAGACAGGGAAGAAAACGGGCACAGAATTACACCGGTATATGCTACTAGAAGTCATGTTGCTTAGACGTGTAGAGGTAGACGCTGTCACTTTTTTTGCTTTTCCGTATCTTACGGGTACTATCACTATGGCATTCTGGTAGAGGTATAAGAAGGTAGTGATTATGAAACAGTGGCTCTATCAGATTAAATCTGATATGGGCAGCACCACGTAGCGAAGTGACACGTCACTTTCATTTTGCCCACCCGGAAGTCAAAGCGCTACGATTCCCAAGCCTAATAAATATTTTCATGCTATGTGGTGCTGGCTGCCTGAGAACAATTATTGCTTTATAGGGGCCGTGCCATCGGGTTTGTAAATCTAGATTGTACTGCTTAGACGGCCGTGATACTGAATATCAATATGTATAAAAGTTGGCTTTTCGTCGTGGTCATCTTTCTCTTCCCAAGAACGCAACAGATAGATGTGTATGCCTTTTGTACGACATAGAGAAAAGCATAGCGTTCTGTTTTGAAAAATAGAGGCTTGGCTTGGTCAGCGATCGGAGGCCCACATGCCGAATCTGTGCAATCTATCACAACAGCGCCATATGCATATTTTCTACACATCTATATAAATATAATATGCAATAAATATTACCAAAACGACAGCTATTTATGGAGAGGAGATCCCGTGTGGCCAGTGTACCCGGGAGCTAGCCAACATTATTATCCGTGGCAAAGATAAATATTACCGTACACCGACATGCACAAAAACAAAAACATGATCGCCAACAAGCAAGAACACGCTATGCCTGCATCATCCTTGAAAGGAAATTCAAGTTTATAAGTTTTCTTTGATCTGCATGAATTCCGAATCTCGTGCTTGTCCGTCAGGGAATGTGGTTGAAGATTGTGTGTGTCTGGGTACGGTAAATTTTGATTTCTTGTGGATGATTTTGCAGGAATTTACGCAAAGTGGTGGCGTGCGGCCCTTTGGCGTCTCTATGATGGTTGCAGGGTACCATAACTATTTCTTCATATATATGAATCTGAATGATGTACACATGTGAGATGAAATCGAAATGCAAATTGAAACTCTTGCAAACCTCAAAAAAAAACTGAAGGATGTTTTTCGTCTGAAGGTTCAAAGCGAGGGTCATATATTTTGCATCTTGCGACAGCGCCAGCTCTTCTATTGTCCGAAAAGCAACAACATTCAACCCGCTACTTTCTGAATTTTCAGAAGGTCTGAACAGGCCTTGTTCTGGCATTGGTTTTTCAAGCCTTCTGAAGGTCCGCGAGGGTCTCTTCCACCTTTGACAAATTGCACAACAGCTGCAGATGAAAGCACTAAAGAACCTTCTCTGTGGTGAAAGCCTTCCAATGGTTTTTAAGTGCGCCACAAGGAAAAACTTTGTGCTTTTTTTCCGTGCTTATGCTTTTTTTGCCGCGAACCTTCAGGAAGAAGCGTAGGGTTGAGCAGATCCCTGCTGCACAGCCACCGACTTCTGAAGTAGATTGTGCGACTTCTTTGCAGCAGACGAGGCAGCATTTTCATTTTGCGCGCTGGTAAAATATTCCGACCTAGACGGTCGCCAAAAGCGGTCGCTTCCGCTGCAGAGCGGCCTCAAGCCACCTACTCCTGCTTGGTTTCTGTTTTTTTCTGCAAGAACCACAGCCGTGGAGTGCCCGAGCTCTATCGACCATGCACCAACTTTTTCCAAAGATGCTTGAAGTATTTAACGCTCCTGTGACGTCATCCCAGGCGGCTCTCCTCTAGCTCTATGTGCAGAAATTGAAATTAAGTACATTAAACCCTTCTTGCGCTTGCGACGCGGTCCCCAGGTGGGCGATTGTCGCCAGGTTTGGCCGGTCGTTCCCAAGTTCCATCCGGCCAGCGGGCGCGTGGGTCGCGGATAAACGTGCCACTTTTTACACACCGACCCGGCCGGCCGGATGAGAGTTTGGACGGCAACGCCTCGGCCGACCGCGAACTTGTTACGCAGCTCCAAGCGAAATTTGCTCCCCGTGGGTGTTTGTGCTGAAGATCATTTCATTATTTTGGGTGCACCACAGACTTGCACCCGCTTCGGCTTTTTGAGGAAAAGGACAAAGTAGCTTCTGTTTCATGAAAATCCAGTTAAGGTCACGGCGTCGTTGAAACAGAAGATAAGATCTGGTTTAAGTCAATGAGTGTTGATTTCTCGCTTCACGACCACCAGAGTCACTAATTTAACTCTCATCAGGTATGACAAAAGCACAAAGTCGCCTCAGCTGTTTCAAGTGGACCCTTCAGGAACGTTTTTTGGTTGGAAGGCCAGCGCCATTGGTAAAGTTTATGCAACAAAAGAACGCACCAGTTTCAGTTCGTTCTACTTTTTTTCCACTTCTTGTGCCGGTGTCGTAATCAAACACATACCTAGTATTGCGTAAGCGTACGTTCACATTGGCCGTGTTATTATTACTTAAAGAAGCCGCTGCTTCGACAGCACGGAAAGAACGGAATGAAAACGAACTAACAACCACCGCACAACAGGCAAAAACTACAAGTCCATGAAAACCTTTCTGGAGAAGCGATACCGAGAAGATCTGCCTATCGAAGACGCCATCCATGTCGCCATCCTGAATATCCTAGCAAAATTTTGAGGCAACCACCTGTAGTTTTGATTTTACTATATTCAGTCTTATCTCGTCGTCGTCGTCTTCGTCATCTGTCCGACGAGGGTACAGTATGTAAGTAGAACGAAGTGGAAACGCAACGAGGGCGGCCCTGGCGCTTCTGTTGAGGAGGTATGACGAATTATATGATAGATATTTATAAAGATGTCGCTGCATGATCAGACTGGTACACGCTGGTAAAATTGAATTTGAGTTTGAGAACTCAACAGTTTGTGTTTGCTTGGATAATCCCATTGCGCGAAAATGCGGAAGGGGCGCTCACCTCCGAGAACATAGAAGTTGGCGTCGTTCGTATGCAAGCAATCAGCCATGAACTCACAAGCTCAGGACTGCATCGACTGGGCATGCACAGGACAGACTTTCTTTTTAGTCACATCGCAATTTTTTCCGAGCCGTTTTTTCATGTTTGCCCTACTTTTTATGAATTTGAATTCCAGCTGCTGCCGCTTGCACAATACTTACCGCATGATGACTGCAAACAATTTTTGCTATGTCTTGCTGTTGCAGTCAGGAATCAATGTGAGCTTCTTCCTCCCGATAATTCGCGATGACGGGATTTTTCGAGTGCTGACGCCGGCAGAAGTCCAGGACTTCCTGGAAGAGGTATAGCACCTATTTTGTATAAATGTTTGCGGCAATTTATCTCAAGAGCAAGGAGATCGCATTTACATCTCTTCCACTCAACGAGTGATTTCCGTATTTGATGGCAGAAAAGCGGATCCACCGCGGTCGTCCTCCCACTTTTGAGTTGCATGAGATACTATTTTGATGTTTACAGATACTACATGAACTCCGACTAATAGAACGTCATAGACGGGGATCAGATGAGGCAGCGAGACTCTGTTTTTTCGGTGGTTCTTTCTAGCACTGCTTCTTAGCTACAAATTGATCCTCTAAAGGTTAAGGTTTTGATACAGCAATATTTATAAATCTCTTAATAGGCGGAATAGGGTGGTTGACGGTGAACCCCAGTTGAGCGTCTTCGTCTTGGGCAGAGGAAGCTTATCAAATGCAAAGATGTTTGGTTCTGGAAGAAATAAAAAGCAGACACCTGTCACGCAGCTTTTGCACCATCTGCTGCATGAAACAAGTCTGCAATGCTCAGCGAGCATGACACATGATGCTTCTCTATTCCTAGTAGTCTGCGTAAGCAATGTCCCCTCCTGGAGACAAAGAGCTCGCATCTTTTGCTGCCTGCTATGCAAGACCAACGCGGACTTTTTTTTCCAGCATCTCTCTGCGTCACATTTTTGATCCCGCCAGACTCAGACATGTTTGCAGCGCATAAGGCTGGCGCTGGAGCGTTGACAAGTGGCGAGGCAGTGACTCAGCGGGCATTATTTGAATTCGCGACGTTTGTCAAGTAAAGGAGTTTTTCAAATTATATGTAGATAGTGCGGCGTCCACATCGAAAATATGAGGAACAGAAAAGCGCGGCACACGTCAGACACCCTGTGTCAGTGCGTTGGTCGTCCTGTTGGTATTATTCTTGAGCGTTGAAGACGACATTATGATCAAGTCAAGTACTATCCATTATCGACGTGCGCATTGACAATAAACGGCAGCTTGAAGAGCCTTCAGATCTCGGATAGCAAAGGAGCAGATCTTTGCCGCAGTCTCATCGAGTGACTACTTGTCCGTCCGTGTTCACAAATAGTTTTTTATTTTTCGGAAGCGCGATGCAAAAAGAAAAACAAAAAGAAAAAGCGCATGTCCTCTCCGCGGAAGCAATTACGTCTCGCAAAAACTTTGAAAATGCACTCGTGGCCGCAAATATTTTTTTCAATACTTCAGCAGCTCTTCCTCCGCCAGTCTGCGCTATGGTATGTGCGTTTTTACTTCTTTAGAAGCGCAGCTTCGGTGGGACGAGTCGTTGTAGTTGTGTAGTGTAACTCGAACAGACCGGCGCTGAGAGGCAAAAGTAAGAAGTTTCCTTTGATGGCTACCGAAGATCTCGCCCCCGATCAGATGACTTGCTTGCATTTATCGCTGTTCCACTTGCACTTTATCTATACTACTTGACCTTGAGTTTTCTTCAGCTGCATCACAGAAAGAATGAGCTTGATCATGATCTCGCTCTCCCGCACAGTTCAATTCTCACACAGGTCCTCCTTGGAATATTGCATCTAAAAATTCCCAGTTTATTGAAGAAGCAGTCTTTATATTACCGCAAAAGTCACTTAGTTACTATACCCAAAAGATGCTTTTTCCACTAGAGTTGTAATTATGGTCGTAATTGCAAAGGCCATGCGACTCCTGCATGCTGAATTTTCATGTAGAAGTTTAAGTTATGGTATTTCTTAATTGTTGTAATTCGCGTCGGCAGTGCAGCTCGCGCATCGTGCAGTTGTTATCTGTTTCATGTGATTCGGATGCAGAACAATCGGTGTTGGTTTTATTCACAAGAATGTGTCGCGGCGAAAGTCAGGCTCGGAGTTATAATATTTGATTTATCGTCCGGATTTTTATTCTACCTTTTTGTTTTCGTCGATCACCGTTCGTGGTGGAAAAGCCGTCGCTTATTTTTCCTCCCGCAAAATTGAAATTATAATTATGTCCGCTGTGGTTCCCTCTCCGTCGCCGCCGCCTTTCGAGCATGAGGGCGGCACGCATACTATCAAAGCGAAATCAAAATCCCTTTCTGATCGCAACAGGAGGATCGTATCTTGGAGTTGCATGCCCATGCCATCAAAACTAGTATTAGAAGTGATTAAGTTACACTTTCCTGGCAGCCACAGTCCTGCTCTGATGCTCAGCACAAGAATTCTGGTATGTTGTGAGCAGCATTCCTACTAGCGCAACGCTCCTGTGATGAAGCTTCCAGCTGTAGTCTCCATGCGAGAACGTACGAAGACGAACTACATCATGAAGTGCCAGTACTTAGCCAAAAATAAACGGGCCAAGTGCAGTCCTGTCTTCATGATCTAGCGTCGTAAAGCCACAATCTGAAAGAACACGCATTTGCATTTTATTGATTTTATTCCGTTCTTTGGGATTAGAATTCACTTTCCACGGGGGATTTTTTTTCATCGGGATACGAACATTGCCAACGCTGCCTCCCACCTCCACTTCATGGGGCGATATGCCTCACGACTCAAGTGATTCCGAAGAACTACTTTCGCCCGCTGGAAAGACTATTCTAGAGGAAAGCAGACGCACACCCTTGCCAGAAAAAGTAACAAACTATCCAGAAAAAGTAAAGAAGTAGAAAAAGAAAGCTTACTATGCATAGGTATAACGATGTCACGCAGGTACAGTTTGTTGATTTTGAGTGACCACTGCGTGACCGTATTAATGCAGAGTGCGTAATAGGAATGACGATAAATAAGGCACCAAAAAGAATTGCACCTTTGCATTTATTCCATTTTTGTACTTAGACACCTGTAGCGCAGGTATTTTGCACTGAACTCTGGTTATACGGGTGTAGTTTTCTGCTTGATAAAGGGCAACAAGCGCAAGGAGGATCGAATGGTGCGCAAAATTTACAAAAAATATACAAGCAGTGGCACACCCACGGGCTCCGATGTGGATCTTGCCTCCTCCTCTTCGAGCATATGAAAACGGGCTCAGCTGCAACGATCTCAACCGTGATAATTTCTAAGGCAGAAGGAGAACAGCAGGGCTAATAGCTCTAGTCATCTTGGTGGTGCTTGTTATGACGAACTTCCGAACTGCGGCGAAATGCAACTGCAACTGCCCTTGCAAAATGAAAATTTATAATAAAAGGCGCAGGCGCACTTGGATGATGAGTTCGATCGTGGTGGACCGCGAGTAGTGCTATAGACTATTTAGTTTGCTGCCCTTGCCTTCCCTATCGCTATCGCACATTCTGCAAGAAGATAAAATCAGGCTGTACAGTGTCACAGTCGAGGTCGTCGCGTTTGAGGAAGTGATAAGGTATGCACAACAAATCCTCTGGTGGGCGTATCCTGCGAAAACATTGCATTGCGTCGGACTTTCATCTAGACTTGTTTCCAGTGGTACAACTTGGCGGATATTTAAACACGGAGAGGCACGTGACGCTGACGACCACGACCTCGTCAAAGAAAGAAACAAGAAGTAACCTGCGTCATTGGTCATGAACATGATCATCGTGCCGCGCACGCGCTGTTGAGGGTCAACATTTGTGAGCACGCCAATTCTGCAGGAGTAGGGCCTGGCACTTGCTCGCTAGTAATGATCGTGCTCAAGGCGTTGACACCAGTAGCTGACACACGATTTTTGCTGTCTTTGCCTGATCTTTTGCTGCTTTACCGTCCCTTTTTTCATGAAAATATCAGTAACTCGCTTTGTCTACATGTAGTACATTTCGTGATGCACTTTTTTCAAGGGATAGCACACCTCGTGGATGCAGGCGGCAACCTGAACAGGCTGAGTCATAGGTATAATGTACTTGAACATCAACCACATGTCGTGTGATTGTGTACCTGGTTTTTACAAAAAGCTAGAAAGTTTTACTTGCTTCTGTATAAAGCAATGATAGATCTTACTTTTAGCCTGGATTCTTGCTGCATGAACATGGCTAGCTTTTTGGGCTGATGACGCACAATAAAGAAACGAGACCGTGGCGGGCAGATTCATTCGTCTTGAAAAGCAACGCACGCCTATGAATCTTGTATTCCCGATCTGCATCTGCTTCGTGAAATTTGGAAAGGAAGTGTCACAACCACAACAGGTCGAACATGTCCCGACATCATGGTATGGATCATGCGCGATGTGAGAAGTCGTCAAATAAGTCTAAAGTGGAAATGATAAAAGATTTCTTGCATTTAACTTTAAGAAAAAGAACAAATCAAGATGTATAAAAGTCCTGTCTTGCACGCAAAGGTAAGGTGAAACTCACTTGGGCTCACCACCAGGCTCCGCCTGAGAAAGGCTGGGGCTACAGGTCGCGCCGTTTAGGCACATAGCGAGAGGCTCCGCTATGTATCGCAATTTCAATGGCGCTAATACTTGTTTCCGCTTCGCTCTTAGGAAAGTGCACGTACAGGCTCTCTCCTCGTCGACGCGTTGGGCGGGGTATAAAGTAGGCGTCTGATGCCTAGAATTGTTGAACGCAAGCGCACTGTCGCTTTTCTGCGTGACGTGTCATCTTTCGTGATAGTTTTTGACGAGTTTCACCGCGCGCTCTCATATGTGGCAGTGGTGCTCCCGCCTCCGACTCCGACAGCGATCAGAGCTGGTCATACCAATACTTTTTCGCATTATGCAGCGCGAAAACGGTTGTCTGAACACGTACAAAGGCGTACAGATGTTTGACTCACTTTCTGGGAAATATGCATTTTTAGCATTGTATCGGATGCTACAATATCTATATCATGTTCAAATATTTCTATCTTCTCTATGACTATGTGGATATTCTATATATAGATCCGTAGGTGAAAAGCAAAAGTCTAAAACTAAATCTTGTGTGAGTATTAATATGTGTGCTGTACTAGTTTTGCGCAGCATAGATGCGGAATGACAACGATTTTGACTCCTCGGCGCTATCGGAGTCGCCGCCTCCACCGAAGGAGCTCGATTACCTCGGCACAGGCAGTGGAAAAACCAAGTCCTCTGGGCTGGGCTTGCACCATCAAGGCACCAAGGGAGTCGGCAGCGCTGCCGGTGCGTACTCCTCCCAGACGTCGAGTGGCACCCCTGGGCTTTCCTCTGGCGCCGCAATCAGTATGCACCTGGGAGGCTGGGGACACCAACCGGAGAGAATACAGCCTCGATTCCACTCGATCGCACCCACAGGAACTGCAACGTTCACTTCCACCACGTCCTCGTCTGGCGGCTCCGCTGCAAAGGGAAGCACAGCGTATCATATGTGGAACTGAAGGATCTTCTCCAACAACTAAGAACTCCACTTTTTTTATTTCGTACTAGAGTTACCCGACAAAATGGCAGCTAAGAATGCGCCGCAAAGCGAGCCCGGGGTCGTGCCTTGGTGCCGTTCTGTGAGGAGCCTCAGGATTCTGTTTCTTTTTGTTTCACGGTGTTACGTCGAAAGCATTATCGACGCAGTGAATTGAATTATTGCAGCTTTGCGATGAAGAGTAAACAAACGTGTGATATTAATCATCTTCATCGTGGTCGGATTCCCATCAGCATCTACGTCTTTATATTTTAAGTGAAGATAAAGTTGTAAAAATTGAATTTGAAAGAGCGCAAAGCAAGGTTGTCGAACAGTAGACCTGCGCCACATGATACAGCTTCATCCCAGCAGCACAACGTTGACCACATTGGCGCCGGACGTGCCGCACCTCCAGGAGGTCCGCACGCGACGGGGGACCAGCGCGAGAAGATAAATCACTTTCACCCCGGGGTGACTAGGCCGCCGCCGGGCCCCGCCGAGTCTAGCGCGAGAAAAGAGTTCGGCGGTCAGCGAGTGTCAGGTCAGCCGATGTCGTCGTCGAACATGACTGAAGACAACTCCGGAAATCATGACCAGTCAGCTGCCCACGTTTATTCCGGTGCAGCTGCCGGTGCAGCGCAGGTACCTTACCATCAATACCTTCCCCAAAACACCAACTCCAAAACTTCGACAAGCAGCAGTAGCTCCCGCGCAGTAGTTGGTGGTCCGTCTGCACGCTCCGGCGGCCTAGTCGGTCCTGGCGCAGCGGGCGGCCAGTACGACTACGATCAACACCAGCACTGGAACGCGTACAATTACCCCCCGCAACAGCCCTATCATGCACATGATCCGCGAGCTGGTGGCTCGGCATCAGCTGCTACCTATCAGCCTCCGCACCAGCGCGGCGGAGGGGCGAGCGGCTACTCTACTCCGGCCTCCGCGGGTACAGCGGATATGTTGGCCAAAGGGTCTTCCATGAAACGCACAGGTGGGACCAGCTGGGCCACGACGGGCAGCTCCAAGGGTGCGCAGGCGACGACCAGCACAAGCAAAAGCAAAACGCAGCAGCAACTACACAAGAATAACGCAGGAGGAACACACAAGAATAACGGAGGAGGAACAGCAGGACCGCTGGCTCCAGCTAAAAACGTTAATGCATCCGCCGCTGCATCCGCCGCGCCAGTCGGCTACGACGTGGCTGCAGCTACTCAAGAAAGCACAGCGGTAGGAACTACAGGAGTTCAACTGGCGCCGACGGCTGGCACCGCGGGAGCCCCGTCTACTTCAGCTCGTGGCCCACGACCTGATGGCGTTGATGGAGGCAGTGAGCAACCACCTCTCACGCAGTTTGGTGCCCCGCCCTCGGCTTACCCGCAGGCACACCAGCACCCCGGTTTATTTGCAGCCCAGGCGCCCACAAGTGAGGGGCGCTGGCACCAGCACCAACTGCGCGATGGTGTCCCTAGTAAAGGAGGGATGACACCGACACCCACGTCGTCGCAGTACCGGGAGGTGGGGCCGAAACTGACGGCTCAGTATGAGGTACCAGATCAGGACGACGGCAGCAACTTGGCAAGTTGGCCATACGGAGCAGCCGTATCTTCTCACTCCCACTTAGACGGAGGTTCCTCTACTTACGCAGGAGGACACAAATACAGCACTCTCGTTATGGGCACAGCGCCCGGATTTGCCGCAACCGGGAATGCGCCTCCCAGTGGCGCAGCTCTAGCTGCAGGGGCAGCTCCTCCTGCTTCCGGTCTATCATCCGTCCCGCGCCCAGGCGGTGCGGAGCGTTCTCAGCATGAGCAGCACATGACCCGCGTATGGCTCGCTCAGGTGCCCATACAATCTCAACTGTTCTTCCGATCATTCGCGGACGTGGGCTTCTCTTTCATAGGAAAAGTGCACGACGGTAATCTATGTAGTTGTAAACAGGGCAGTGTGCTAGATCGATCTTGGTAGCTAACGGTGTTTAGACAACACGACAGGGACAGACCAAACCATCACTGCCGGCCTCAGTTTTCACTTGGAATGATTGACATAAGTATGTACGTAGTATATACGTTTCACATACTAGTCACAGTAGCGACGCCTGAGATTGTGGCACAACCTGAACGGACCATAGCACGCGCTTCAGGGGCCGCCCTACACGGCAGTATTCGATCCGGCGACACAAACGAGCCAGCAGGGCTCCTCCAACAACTCGCAGAGTCTTCATTCCGCGTACCCGAACAGTGCGACGATGGTGCCCTGGTATGTTGAGGGCACAACCTCTAGCATGGACAAACAGGAAGCATACGATCCGTGGCCTGCTCAGTTGAATTCTTGGGGCGTTTCTGCCACCGGTGGCGCGCCTGCGACTGCCCTCGGCAGCGCGCAACCGGGGGCCGCCGGGCTGAACGCATCCAATCACCAGCTCACGCGGCCATTTGCCCAGCAGACCAGCGAAACAGATATGAACTGGCGCGCGGTGAGCTCGAGCAGCACAGGGCCGGCCAGTGGGAGTGCGCTGCCTGGCTACAGGAATCCTTCTGCACCTCCACCTCCGCAGCATGATGTGCATTATACCTGTTCTCAAGAAGTAACTTCCAGTTCGAATCTACTAGCACCGGGCACCACCACCTCCAGCACTTGGGTGGGCGGCAGCGCAGCAGCCGTGGTGGCCATAACAGCCCCTGCTACCGAAGCTTCCAGCGCCACCGTCACTACATCTTCGAAATTTACATTATCCGACCATGCAGTGCCGCTTCTTCATCAGGTTCTTCCGACACAACTAGCAGGCGAAGAGGTGGTCCTCGGGGCCGGCGCCGGCACATCTACTTCAACGGCAGGCGCTTCGACAGCGGCGCAGCAGCATCAGCTGCCTGTTCCCGATCCCCTACCACGGAGTGGAGGTCAGCGGTCCGAGACCCAGCCTCACCCCGAATTGGATGAAACGCCACGCGATCTGTCGAGCGGTACGTCGCAGCAGCAGCTGGGCACGTATTTACAACGCCGACGATCGCGGCGTGGTAGCACCAAGATGATCGCGAAAAACGCTCCAAATCTGCCGAGGAAAGAGGACTTTCTGGAGGACCGCGACACACCGAATTCAGACACGGTAAACCTAACCGAATCGCTATCAAATTGTTGAAATCGGTTCCTGCGCGATGTCCGTGTTTAAAAGGCTTCCGCTAGGCAGTAGGCATAGCATGTTCGTGCGTGGGCGGTAACACTGGGCATGCATAGCACCCAGCAAGCCCGCCCCCGCTCACGTAATACTAATATTCGCATGATTTTATTAACTGCGTCGCAACTACAAATTAATATATGAACAGAATTTCGAAAAATTTGCAACGGTGTTGCGTTCTCCAGTTTATAGCCGAAGCAGTTGAGCTTGTGTTTCTGTTTATCAGGACGCGCAGACTTCTTTGCGTCGGCGGTTGAAAAAAATACGCTGTACTCGTCAGGTTTCGTATGCCTGCATGTATGACCAGGGTGCGAGCAGACCGCTCTTCCCTCCTGCAGCACCAATTTGTTGAAATAAATTGTACGACTGCCAATGTTTTAGTCTTCACGGGGGGGGGCGGGGAACCGGGACCGTTTTCAAGGTGAGATACACAGCCGCACCAAGGGGCTACCGACAGTGAGGAAAATGAGCTGCCCTTCAACAAAACGGCCCCAGCGGGGTTTGGATTTCGACGTGATCGCTTCCTCCTAGAAGAGGGGGACGCCACTTATTTTGATGAGAACGGGGAGGAAATGACCGGCCGTAGCTCTGGCCAGCAGTCATATTCTGCCAGTGCCACGGCCACTGCGGACGAGGTCGAGGAGTCCGCCACGGCTTTGGTGCGTAGTTTCGGTACGCAAAATGACAGTTCGCCTCGAGAAGCCGAACAAGAGGTACAGCCCTCATCACCTTCGCAGGCCCGTGCGCTCACACAGACCGAGCAGGTGGACCAGGCGGTAATAACGAGCAGCAGGCCGCGCGCGCATAAAGACGAGGCCCCTGCACTTTCTCCGCAGGAGGGTAGTGGTCGTGGTGGTCGTGATTCTAGTTATAGCGCAACAGCGAGAGCAGTACCCGAGACGTCCGGTGCTCCGCTCTCGGTTGGAAGCGGCAAAATAAGGGATGACGGGAAGCAGGGCCGCAACGTGAAACTTCGCGAAATAATAGACTATCCCCAGAGCTATGATGACCAGACCACATCAGGGTCAGGCATCATCGACACTAAGCAGGCTGTGCCAGGCCTTAGCCAGGGCATGATGATGACTCGCGGCGAAACCGCAGATAGGACGGAGCAGGCCAACGCTGCCCCGCAGCGGCAGGAGGGTGATGAAGAGGAGAAGAACAAGAAGAAGCGCGTCAGTCCCGCGTCGTCGTCGGGGACCGCAACGACTTCTCGGCCCCCACGTGTGGTTCCCAACACGACCATTTCCACTCTTTCGTCGTCGTCCTCACAGCGAGAGCGACACGTAGGAAAATGCGAAGAGCCTCTTATCCCCTACTAAACAGAGAAAATGAAAATGAAGAAAACGAGTTTGTGTCAACGCGTGCTCATTAGTGATTCTGACTGCTAATTCTTGTTTTTTGTGGACACACAAAGAAGGTGTAGTGGAAAGGGCAGCTGTGTGGAAACGCTATGCTTATCCAGCATGACAGGAGGCAGGGACAAACGTTGCCGCTGCGCTGCCCCGGCGAAAGACGTCCAGCATGACCGGAAATTGTTAGCAAATTAGCCGCATCCATGCCCTCCCATAAGGAACTGTCTTGTTCTTGCGAGGCAACAGCTTGATCTGTTTGTATACATTGCGCTGCAAAAGAAAGTAGCAGTAGGATCTCTGTTTATGAAGAGAAGAAGCATTTTTCCGCAGGAACACACGGGCCGATGATCCATGACTCGTCTGCAAGCACAGAGGACGCAACAGAAACGATGCTAGCCGGACGCGAGAAAGCACAAGTGAGCGAAACTGATCGAGCCTCGCTGCTTGCCTTGTTCGTGATTGCTTTCCTCTCCGGCTTTGCAGCAGTTGCACTGCCCAGCATGCACGAAATTGCCGCCCGACAGCGGGACATTGTGGCAATGGTGCGCCCTCGTTCTGCGGAGCTCGCGGCTCAGGCAACCCGGAGGAGAAGTCCTGGGCCTTCCACAGCTACTGACACTGCTAGCACAGCTACAGCGCGACGGCAAGCAGTGGCAACCCCCCATGTTCCAGTTTCTTCACCCACCTTATGGAAAAGACAAGCCACTTTGTCTTAGTACGTTTCTCAGTGTAGTGCTGCTCCTGACGTACATCATCAAATTTAGCGTCAAGATTCCGCTTCCAGTACAACTTTAGTGATTAACGAAGACCGCTGAGACTGGGAAGGGCGAGTATTGCCATCAGTTCAACATCAAGCAGCGGCCTGAGCTTTCTTTTTGCATGTTGACAGGTTACCCCAGATGAAACGCAAAATCATCATCATGCTAATCACGTTCTGCTGCTTCTGTGGCCCTTTTGCAAATGAGACACACCATAATTTGGGCTTAGAATGCGAATTGGCAGAGCCGAAGTATGAATGCTTTTCTGGCCAAGTGAATAGCTACGAGGAGCAGGGCTTCAAATATGAATTGAATTTGAAACCCGGAATCAGGAGGAATGATCGAGGGCACTGAAAAACGTTTTCAACTCCATCCTTTCCCTGGGCAGACGCAAAAAGCGCAGACGCATGGGCCAAAGCCGTGAAGCTGTTGGAGAAGAACGACTTTTCCGCTGCAGAAGGCGCGCTGCTTCCGTTGAGTCATGGAAAATCAGAGGCCTCGCGAAAAGCCCAGCTCGCTCGCGCGTTCGCATCCATTAGTCAGGGACTACGGCTAACAGACGCGCGAAAGGAAATCGCTACCCTCGTAGCTGCTGCCGTATGGGATGAAACATGTGATCTGCCAGTGCCAGGCTGCTGCTGGATAGTCCGAAAGAAAATGAAACTCAACTTTTTATGCCTTCTATTTTCGTGGTGCAACTACAAACCAAAAGCACTCCAGATTGCATGCTGATGGAGAAATTGCGCGCTTTATTTATTCGGCGTGCTCTTGATGTTGGTGTGCGTTTATTTCTATTTGCTTGACGAGGAAAATCAGAGAGGAATGTATCAAAGCGGAAGTGTGGGGCTTCATTTCTTGGAGCCCGCAGCAGTGCTGAAGGTGGTCACACGCTTCCTCTTTATATGCCGAGCCGCATCACGGGGGGTCCTCGACTGCGGTGCTGTCTTTGTGTGGGGTTGCGCATAATACGGAGGGTTATCTTCGTTTTCTAGTGGACAGCGATCCGCGCGGCGCTGTGCGAAGCTTTCTGCAGGCCGTTCGTTGTCAGGAACTGAACCCTTATCCCTGGAGTAATCTTGGTGTGGCTGCCTTGTACCTCAATGAACTGGAGCTGGCCCGTGCTGCTTTGGGTGCCGCCCTGCGGATGGCACGGCGGGCGCAGCACATCTTTCCGCTACAGTTCTTCCAGCGCAACCATGAGCTCGCAGAGGCTTTATCACACGGCGAGCCCGTTGCGAGCGATCCGCAGCTCGGACTCTATTTTCTCGAAGACACGGACCCACGCCTGCTTTCCTGACCAAACTTGGACCCGGTCACCGCACCTCCAGCTTCATTGTGCCTGTGCACCACAAAACGTAGATGCTCTGCAGGCAGGAACTTGTGGGCAAGGAGCGGCATCAACAGCGTGATACTCGCCGTCCAGCGGTGTGAAAAACAACATACGCTGTCGCTTGGAGATAATGGTGATTACTCTCCGCCAAGATGCTCCCCGGCGGGACGCTCGCATTCGCAAGCACTACTTTTACAACGGCGGGCCGGTTTGTGATTTGATTGATCTTCATAGAAATGAAAAGGCACCTTGGCTCCTACCCCTCGGTGCCGAGCTGTACGTGCGACGGGTTGACGCAGCCACTTCCGGAAACTGGACGCAGAAGGAGGCAGACTCGTTTCGCACCTCCTGAACTAAGCTTAAGCAGGCGCCATTAATTTTCGGTTCACACGAAATAAGATAAGCATTGTCTTTGTAGCTCCGCCCTCTACGTTGGTATCTAGGGTAGGAATAGGATGATTCGCGAGTGCATAGCCAACCTTGACAGCACTGGTGGAAGCAAGACAACATCCCATGAGTATTCCTGCCGTGGCTTTCATTGTCAATGTCATCGGCGAAAATCACGATCACCACTTAGCATATAGAACAAAATCATGTCTTATTGCAAGGGATCCGTGACCGCCTCCGTTCTCATATTCATCAAGGCTGGAAGTGTTGTTCGACATAGTACCTCGAATGAGCTTCTCGATGAACACTGAACTGATGTGAAAGACCCTCTGCAGGTTCAGTCTTTTTATGGTGCTGATGATTCGTCTAACTACATTGGCTTGTCTCTTTTTGGGTTGTTCCATGAGTTTTTTTTTTTTAGAAGCGGAGAATCCTCTGTGTGTGTGTGATCATTTCTCTTGCGGTTTTTCAAGAACAACGACAAAATTTTGTAAAAATAACAACTACAACTGAAAATAACCAAGATCAAGATAAGATCTGTCCAGGGCGGTAAATCGCCAATAGTTCACGCGTATATTTTCCGACCGACGTAGGAGTTTAGGAGTCGACCTGCGTTGATCTTGTTTCTTTTGCATTCACTGTGGTGGATATTATCCGAATTCATTGTTTGAACGAAACCCTGGACCGAGACGACAACGAGCGGCGTAGATGTAGTGAAGCGCCGGCAGCAGCTGCAGCGCTTGCCCGCTTTGTGTGGGTGTTCTTTGTCGCGCGCCCACCATGCTCGTTTTATGCCTGAAGCTATAACTCTTCTTTTTTTCCTTTTATTGATTTAGTAAAATATTGGGTGATGTTCCAGTTTCTTTTTTTTGCCACAGCTACGGGTGAGTGGGATTCTGCAGCCGTAGGCGAGGCACTCACAGTTTTCTGCCGATCTGCGTGGTGTAGTGCGTAGCGTTGTAATTCACTCAAGTATAAAGATAGACGGAAAGCAAGTCCACGTGCCGGACATTGTACCTCCACCACCCCACGGGACTCTCCTTGATCCGTTTCAGGTCTTTCTATTCACGAACAAGCAAAAGAGCTGACAGACTAGTGTGAGTAGTTCGCCTCGCCTGTTCTTGCATTCGTTTGTAATTTTTGCAGCAGAGCACAGGACCGGACGCCGGAAGCAGGAGAAGAAGTATTAGTACGAGACTGATAAAACACATAGGAGGAAGCCACGACCTTCATTTATTGGAGGATTGTGCCAGACGAGAAACAAGCACACAAGATTAAGACCAAAAGATTGTCCAAGGCCGAGACACAATCATGCCTCCGAGCAAAGGGTTGGAAGTTGTGGCGGACCAAGACACAGGCTCGGACTCGGAGTCCATGCCCGATCTTGGTGCCACGGTGTTGCCACACTTGACCTTCACTGATGTGCTGTTTCGTAAAATTTTCACCTGGGGCCGGCTCGCGTGCGTTGTAGGGCTCATCCTGGGACTTACCCTCTGCGATGAACAGCCGGTGGTCGAGAAATCGCTGAAGTTTGTTAATGTGGCGGCTTACGAGACGCGAATTTGTCGCGACGAACTTGAGAAGGATGACGACGCTGGGTACTATGTGGCGAAGGTGAACGCGCGACTGAAGAAGTTCGAAAATAACGACCTGCCTGACTTGTCCAAAACCGAATTGGTGGCGGAATGTAATCGGTTGGCGCAGGCAGTGCGCAGTACGGCCACACCAGCCGCACAGAAGAAGGAGGACGAGCAGAAATTGAAAAACGTTTTCGGTCCGCAGGACAACGATTTTGTGTGGGTGTTTGCGATGATTGCGCTTCTGATCGTCCTTTCCGTAGAGGGCAAACCCTCGGACGCCCTTCTGATTTTTCTGGGACTGGCGTTCCGCGAGCTGGGCATCATCACGTCCGAGGATATCTTCCGTGGCCTGGGCAAGCAGGCCCCGATTCTGTTTGGATCGCTCTTCGTGATCTCGGCAGCTTTCAACGAAACTCGTGTCCTGGAGAGGCTGCTGTCGCCGATTGTTGGTGCGCCCAAAACCTACTGGGGCATGATCCTGCGGCTGTTGGTGCCGGTGATGCTGCTATCTGGCGTCTGCGCCAACGGACCGGTGTGCAGCATGGCGATGCCGCTTGCCGTGGTGGCTGCGGACCAAGTGGGGTTTGACCCGAAGAATTTCTTTCTGCCCCTTGCGTACGCAACCTCACTGGGCGGCCTACTCACCCTGATTGGATCGCCACCCAACCTCACAGTCCTTTCTTACTTGAATGAAAGTCGGGACCGGATTCAACAATGCACCGAACTGATGTACAAGATCAAAGGAAAAGCCATTCCGGAAACCGGCATTCTCCTGGATTCCGATACCATCGCGAACTCGTATATGCAGTTACAAATACGCACTTATTCTATCGAGTCGTAGTCTTAACATTCACGCCGAAAGAAAATTTGCCGGAAACTCAACCTAGTTCGTTGGCTTCCTTGTGATGAAATCATTCTTCTACTCAAACTCAGCCCTATCATTCAAGTTGCTTTTCTCCAAGCCCCCGAGTTATAAATCTGCGCATGCCGGAGCTGCTTAGATGAGCCGCGATGATGAAAATAATTATAAACAAACAGAAGAACTTCTTCTCAGGCACTGCAAGTTTTCAATTTTCGACCCTGGGTTTCTGGTTGTCGGCTTCGTGAATTGTGTCGTGGGGGCCCTGTTTTTGTGGATCTCGATGGTGGTGCTGAGTAACAAGTACCCGAGCAAGCAGCAGTTGGCTGACCGGAAGGAAAAAGAGGATGTGACGGACAAAGCGCGAACCGCACAAGAACACGAGGAAAAGGCTCCCCTGATGCCTGTTGTGACAGCCAAGCCGTTAGCCGGGAACGCAAGCTCCGAAGCCGGCTACATCTGCGAGTTTTTCGTCGAGCCTCAGTGTTCCACGCTTATCGGAAAGTGCTTTTCTTCTACCCCACTCGGCACCACACCGGGCGTCAAGCTTTTGCAGATCTGGAAGGATCGATCCGAGTATTTTTGATCATACGATAAACCAGCCACCCCCCGGCGAAGGCCGCCGGGGAGGGGGCTGTTCGGTGGAGGTGTTCCGGTGGGGAAGGTGGCGCCAGCAATGAATCGCTTTCGCTGCGCGCCGCTACACAACCAAATAAAAAGACCCCGGCCCAGGTTTCGGCATGGGTGGGCACCCTGGGGGGCGCGCCTCGAGGGCGTTGCCTGTATTGCTAATAGACGGCACGGGGGCGCGTCCTACACTTCCACCTGCTGCTGCATGCCCGGCCTTGGTAGCTGCGCGCCGTGGGAAAATGCGCACAGGGAACTATTTCCGGGCGCCAACGTTCAAGACGCCACAAGGGCGACGCACCTGCTGCCAGCGCGCGCGGTCGCTGTGGGAAAGAAGTTGCGGCCACCCTAGGTGGCCGACCAGGTTAAGGCGTGCCGTGGCGCCGCGCCCCCTCTGGGGGACGCAGAGCGGCGCACGCACTTTGAACGGCCGCTCTGATCTGAAAGCGAAATAAAACAATGCCAGCCGGTCGCTGCGCCCTAGCGAGCTTCTTTAGGGGGCGCCGCGCGCAGACAAGTGGGTAGGCGGTGCTCCTGGAGGTGGTCCGCGAGAGGGTCCGGGAGAGGGTCCGGGAGAGGTTCGGAGAGGGTCCCGGAGAGGGTCCGGGAGAGGGTCGGAGAGGTCCCGAGAGGGTCCGCGGAGAGGTAAAATAGAGGTTCCCGGAGAGGGTCGTGGTAGAGGGTCACATAGAGGGTCGCTCTATACTACGCACCCTCTCTGACCCTCTCGACCCTCTCCCCCTACCCTCTATTTAACCTCTGTCCACCCTCTACCTACCCTCTTCGGGCGTATAGCGCCGCTATACGGGCCGACATACTACCCACCCTCTCCCTACCCTCTCCTTTACCTCTCGTTTTACCTCTCCCCGACCCTCTATTTTTTTCCGACCCTCTACTTTACCTCTCCCAACCTCTATTTTACCTCTACGCAACCTCTCCCCACCCTCTACCGGAACCTCTCCGGCCCCGTTTTCTTCCATATATAAATATAATAATATGTTATTTGTTGCCTTTCACTACTTCCAATCTTAATATGAACATTAAAACTCGAGGGGCTTTAATGCAGCTCGGGTTTGAGTTCACAGCGCAGTGATGTTGACAGGGACCGCCCAGCCTTGACGCAAAACCAATGCAACCTGCATCGCTTTTTGGGTCTCACACGAGCCAGTCTCTGCTTCAGACTCGTTTATTACACTTACATGAAGATCCACAGAGGCACAGACTGTGGTCGCAGTCGTGAAGCCCAAGCAGCATGAGCGCTACTTTCGGCAAGATGTTCCCAAAAGCATGCAATGGAATGTCCTCCCGCCCCACATGCATCATCCCCGGCCTGGGTATATGTTGTTTTGTATGTGGGGCACATGCGGGCACAGTCACAGGTCCAGTCCAGCCGTAGCCGCCTCTATTGCAGCAGTGCACGTGGTCATCAAGCAATTGTATTTGTAATATTGCAACATTACTAGTTGCTGAGCAACCTCTCCTCCGACGCTCCAGGAGCCGGCCACGCCCCTAAGCCAAAGAAAATATGTATATGAGCAGAAATGAACAATTTGCTGCGTCAAATCAAAGGTACCGCGACGCGACGAGTATGACACTACGACAAGCCTGTGCTACCCAGTGCTGTTTCGTTAGACTTCAAATTCAGCGCAAGAATATCTTGCCATGCACGAAAACCGGACCTGAAGCGAACTTTTCTATATCGTAGCTTGTTCTCATTGAATTAATCGGGTGTTTTGCATGTTCCATGCAAATCCGAAACTAAAAGTGAAGCCTAAGGACGAGCAAAGTGGCGAACTACAAGCCGTGCAACGTGGCCGCAGTGGTTTCAGTTATATATTTGGCAGTAGAACAAGTTAAAGTACAAAGATTAGCTGCCCATGTGCCTTGAGATCAACTTTGGTTTGCTAGCGTTGTGAATACTTAATTGCTTATTTACTTATTTTTGATCCGCAAGGGGACAAACAAAGCGCACCAGTGGCAGTAGGGGCGCCGTATTTCACTCGATAAGAACAAGCGAGACCACAGGCACTGAGAAGTTGACGCTGAGAAATGTGGCTGACCAAGGGCAAGTGAACATTTATGCAGCGTCAGTGACCAAGCTTTTGCTTCTGTGGTGATTAGAGCCCACAGGAAAGACAACCTTGTTGCGCGACTTTACGCAAGAAAAGTATATTACGTAAAAATGCGCTGCACGTCTTAATATTTTGCGAATGCGATGTAAAATGCCAAGCGGGATTACTATGAGGCAACTGCAACCGTGAAGCAGGGTTGGAACTTTTCGTCCCCGGGCTGGCAGCACCCCCAAGTAGAGAACAAGAAGTCACTCGCGTTCCTTTCATAGCATTGAAGTGGCGCAGCCGGTGGATGCCACGCCTCCAGCGGAGCGAAGTTTTGCTGCTGGAAACGTCTTGCAGCTGTCGGTGAAAACGGCGGACGCAGTCGCAAAAATCCGCCGCAACTGCGAAGGCATGGTGCCAGCCTCCAAATTTACCCACTTCCTCGGGCGCAAACGCTACAAGCGGCTGCTATACGAGCTCGCCCTCGACTCCAAAATTGCAGGTATTTCAGCCTTTCTGCTCGGGGCTGAATGTGCTCGGACTCGTGTAAAAATTTTTATGTGGTCACAGGCTCGCAGCTGGTGATCTTCACCTGCAATATTTCTTCTTCATGTTGCTGGCCGTATAGGAATATTGATAAGGCGCGTGTATTATTCTGATGATGTTGTCATTGTCCCGTGTTTATGACACGCACCCTCACAAGAACTTTCGCTTTCTTATTCTTTCATCTTGTTGCTATCTTCATCTCATACTCATACAACAAACTCTGCAGGGGATGACGGTGCGAAGGTGGCAGCGCACGACGAATTATTTGAGGAGCTGCAGTGCTGCAAAGTCGGGTACGACGAAAGCAAGAATCTAGTTTTGGTGGAGGCGTTTGCAGGGCCTAAATTCGAAAAGCTGGTTCGGGAGAAACGCGCGGAGGTGACCCTCGTGAAACCCGTCCCAGGAACGAAACCGCCCCGGTAGGCACAGCAAACTCAAACGTGTCTGGGTCTTCACTAAAAAAACAAATATCCTGTGCATATTTTGTGAAATGCAATCCCGGGCTGGAGCGCGCAATCAGAACTACAACGATTGGAATGATCACCAAAGTCTGGCATGCGCGAGCGCCAACCGCTGCCCACTTGCTTCTTACCACGAAACAAGAAGGAGCCCGCTCATTACATGGGCGAGGCATGTCAGTCATTGTCATACGTCAATTATACTATCGCTATCAAGACGCTTGCTCCAAGACCTGCAGTGCGTTCCCGCGAACTCCGCGCGCCCTGGCCAACTAGTACGTAACTGGCCAGGCCGCGTGGTGCAAAGGGGACGAGCTGCATCATGAAAAAATTTTCTCAAAGACTCATCAGGATCAGACACACTGACACTGATGAAAGAATTATTCTAGTTACAGACTCAGACAAATTTCCAAGCTTGATACCCGTTCAGTAACTACAATGGACCAGAGTCGAGGGTATTTCGTGTTCATCCTCTTCTTCCTCGCGGTCACGTTCGCAGCTGTTTCCGGACTGCATCCCAGCCTGAAGCGGTTCAACCACATTCACACCTATTTTTCGATCATTGCCATGATCGTCGTCTTTACGCACATTCTGACGTGGAAAAATGCGGTGGCTACGATGAGCAGTTCGGTGCTGTTTACCTTCGCTTTCGCCGATGCAACCGCGGTATGCATCGCAGATGTTGATATCGATCTGGATGTGGATCTGGAGATGAAGAGCAAGAAATTCATATATCAGTCGATTCTTCTGCAGCATTGTATGTTGTCCCTGAAAATTTTACTTATTTGCATGTTGACAAATTAAGTCCGAGTTTGCTTGGGGCGCAGCCACTGCGCTGTAGTGCAGGAGCCTGACATGTTGAAAGAATATTATTATCATGCAGCTCCGGTGCTGCACTAGCACTTCACAAGAGCGTCAGTGTCTGAATCCATCGTCTACATTGCAGCGTTACAAGTTTCCAGAGCCAGGCATTTTCATTTTGCAGTGTATACGCAGAGGCGTTGGAGAAGTCCGGGGCCGTACGGCTGATCGTATCAGAGTGCACAACTCCCCCTCGCCCTCAGTCGTAGCTTGGCATGAGCAACAACACAAACTACTGCAGATGCAGAGCTGTAGCTTCAATCTGCATCACAAACACAAATTCATGCATCAAATCTACTGCTGCTGAGGCTTTCGCGTCCGCGATGTGTCATGCAAACAGAGCAAGAGGGGGAGGGGCCAACAACTGCGAACTGGTCGTCATGGATCGCGTTTGCGATTGCTGGGTGCTTCGCATGACAAATGAGGGGCACGTTGAGGGGGATTTGTAGATTCTCATAGATCTCGACTGCAATCCAGAGTATTCTACAGAAAAGCGCTCCTAGCAGAGACAAGCTTGGAATGAGTAGAGGGTGTCTTCGTATCTTTGCAAAGCCTTTGCAATTGCTGCTCGGAAGTAGCAGTTTTTACATTTGCCACAGTTCTTTCGGCTATTTTTATCAGCAGGAGCTGGAAAGCAATTTTTTATACAACATTTCGGTGCCTGACGAGGCTTGTCACGAGCCGAGAGACTGTCGGCAAGGCCACCGTCGTTCTCGTTGTGGCCTTGCCGAAGAATCAAACACAACATCGTCCTTCTGTTCCTCGCAGCCGGGCGCTTTTTCGTACGATACAGAACGTCGGTACCTCCGGTCAGCCCGCTGCACCCCTGGAGGGCGCTGGTGCAGCGTCGCCCGTTGGCGTTGAAGGCTCCAAAGTCATTCTGGTCATGACTTATCGTGAAAAAATATCCCCCGTCCCCATACCAAACAGGGATACTTCTGAAAATTTGCGATGCTGATTTGTGGCCGTAAATCGTCTCTGTATTGCAAGAAGGCCAAGCCAGAGACTCCGCCGCATTATGCAGGCAGTTTTTGATGCTATGCATGGGGCCTACAGAGTACACATCTGCCACGCTACGCGCCTACGTCAGAACTCTCCTAATTAGGCGCAGCATGGGCCTGCAGTCTCTTACCGCAAGACAGACCTGATTTGTGTACCCAAATCCAGCATCAGAGCCTTCCTTTTGATATGGGGAGGGGGGATCTTTCCTTGTGATATGATTCTTCTCTTCGTCGCCCTGTCCATCATCACGCAGTTTATCAACAACAACACCACGGCGCAGTTGTTTCAGGCGGCTACATTTCAAGTCGCGCTGGTAAGAATATTAAACACCACATGATGAACATATGTTCGTATAATACCTATACCGTTTATTTCAGCCTAATTACTCCTTTCGAAAGCATTTTTGGTTTGGGTTTGCCATATAGAACTACTTTATGTAAATGGCCTGGGTGCAGCTTTTAATGAACCATCCAGGCCGCGGCGCACTTACCAGAATTGAAGTGCACGGGCACACGGCAGTGGTCATCTTCTTCTTGCCTAAGTGACTTTTACATGATCTTCTGGATTCATTAGGTTTTCTATATTATTCATCCTGCTCCTGAACCAGGGTACTATCTGTATCGCCAGTACGACGAACGAGTCTGAAGATTTTGCGCGGCTGTCCATACTCAAACGAAATAACACGAACTTACAACAGTCACTGGGGATCCCGCCTAAACCTATGCTGGCATTGGTCGTTTTCGGCGCGAGTGCGTGTTTTTGCACGCCATTCGGGACAAGCTGCAACATGTATGTCCAGGTTCCGGGGGGGTACGCTTTCGGCGACTACGTCAAGAACGGCTGGATGCTCCAGATTTCCTCGCTACTGGCTTCGGTTGGGTGTTGCTATGTGTGGGTAGATATCCACTTCTCAAATTGTCCACGTTAGAGGCAGAGCAAAAAGCATATATATAAAGCAGCTGCGTGATTTGTATATTTGTACGCGCCAGTTTTGAACAGTGACCTTGCAGTCCGTGGTTCCTAGGGTGCTTGCGAGACGGATGGCAAACCAGGGTCATCAGAGCAAAAACTTCGAATTCTATAGGCACCTGGTGCGGCGGATAATGAAATATGTTTGTAGTAGCACGACATCATCATCTCAAAGCACCTTCTTGCATCGCCTGCGTCGAGCCCAATCCTGCGTGTGAAGCTTTCTTAGACCAATCGGGGGGGTCTGGTGGACAAAGAAAGCACTTTAATTATTGGGAACTCTAGTAGATATGACTCCCTATGGTGTGCTTCTAAAAGTGGTTTCGCATCCACTCATTTTTGCATGCTCACCTCTGGCATGGACAAACTTGCGAAGGATAAGAGAGTTGCTACAACAGCCAGAGGTGTAAATGAAACACTCGGGATCTTCCACACGGGGAAAAATGGTAACTCTTTTCTCGTTGGAAAGTTGTAGGGGGCTTTTTGCGGCAATGGTTTCGTCCTATTATTTGAATTTCGACATATTACTGGTACTGCAAGGGAATACAGTCTAGTAAAAAGAAAAATATGAAGCTGATTCATTGCGTGTCTGCATCGTAGGAAATGAATGTGGCGCGCTTTACTTGTTGTGGTTGTTGGTTAAAGGAAGACTTAATCACATCTGAGAAACTCCTCACCAACAGCAATAGAATCGCGCCGATGCCTGTTGAATGACATGCAAAAATGTCTCCAGTGATATAATCTTTTACGTTTCTCCGTAGATCTAGATGGCATGTGGTTCTACCTTGGCCCAATTTATTTTGATCGATCTGTATATTTTTTTGGACTACAAACGTATGGAGCCTTTGCCTTGGGCGAAGTACGACAAACCAGATAAAGGTTTGGAATACTGAAATAACCAACAAGGTGCAGGGAAGGGAAAGCGGTAAAAATCCTATTTATATCTCCGAGTACTCATGTTTTCTCTGCGTTAGATGATCACAAGGAAATAAGTACTTAGCTGTAGTAGAGAAACTCAGTATCAGCAGGCTCCTCGATATTAGTTGCACTCCTCCGGTAGTAACCGATACCGAAGTCGATGCGATTATTATCGTAATACTGCAGAGAAGATTCACTTCTGCGCAAGCGCTTTGCCCTCCATGGATGGTGATCGTCCTAAGTACTTTGTAGTTGCGACTAGCTCTGAACTTCTTGCCGTTGCCCCCGGGCTTCTTGTATTTATTTTGGTTGCAGAAAAAAAATGCTATAGCTATGAGAAAGAGAAGAGGACACCGCTGGCGTGCGCGTGCGCGTGCCACTCACTACTTTTATATGAACGGCTCGAAGCCGCTTCGTTTTCGTAAGTACTTCATCCTCCTCCTTTTTGTAAATATATATACGTGATCTATGTATTTGATTTATTTCTTTTTTATAGTGGGTATACAAAAAAGTAAAAGAGATCTGAGATGAGACAACTCATTTCGGCTAGAGAATATAGCAAAAAAATATGTCGAACGTTGACAACGAATGTAATGGTTGTGCCGCGCGGCCCAAGTTGTTATTTTCGAATCTTCCTCTGCCTCATCTTAGACGGTTGAGTAGCAAGAGTAATGAATAGATATTCAGTGCTCGTTTGACACTGACAGACGAGTTTTCGTTTTGAAGATTGATTGGGCTTATAAAGCAGAACGATCGCCAAGTATTTAGGCAGTTTGTTCCGACATCCCGCGATCCCAGAAGTCCATTCCTGGACGAAAATGTGGAGAGATTGCATCCGCTTGGCATTTTCTGAAAGTGAGTCGCTCGTGGAACGTCGCACTTCCGCTTCGCTTTTTTTTATTTTAGGTTGCCCCCTATTTCTCTCTTCAGTTTCGCGAAGAGTTGACGCCACACGACCCCGCCTGTGCGGCAGTGTATGCGTTGCCACCGACTTCTCCGCGCGATGAAAGAGAATGAAGGGGGCACACAACTACGCACCCTCCGGGACGAAGATGGATGCCCACTGCTGTCACGGCAGGTTGGGTGGTCGTACTCGTAGCCGTCGCCAGTCATAATTTTGTGGCAGACCCCATTAACCCGTACCCGAAGCCCGGAGCGAATAGTGCTTGGCGCAGCAATCGGGGACATAGGGCGGGGGCTCGGTCCGGGCACTGCAAGCGTTCCTCGACGACTCCGAATGGAGTCGCGGATCCCCTCCTGGACCCGTTAGATCCCCACCTCTCGCGTCATTTGACGCGACGGAAAATTGCAGATGCGGAGGGGGAGGCCGCCTCGCTATTATTTAAGATTTTTAAGCTCATCTTGCTTGCCAGTACATCGCTCTTGATGAGAATGTCGCTTTCCTGGGGCGAGGTTCCAATCCAGGTGAGCACAAAAAACCTCCTGGAGAGCGTGCCCAGCAACACCATCCCTCAGATTCAGCGAAGCTGATTATGTTTGTATGCATGTATGTAGTACTGGTATTCGCTCCGCTTGTGGTTCAATGAGAATGACTCTAAGCATAAGCAAATACTTGTTTCAATTTCTACTGCACAGCAGCAGCGGCAAGCGACGAGTGGCATATGTGATAAACTGTGGCGTAAAAAATCGTGAGGCTGATTTGAAGACTTCGATCCTGAACATCATCATCATGATCATGCTTGGTTCTCTTGCATATATGTATAAATATGTCTGATTATGAAGATGAATATTCGGTGCAGTAGTTTGGTTTCTGTACCGACTCCACTTCCTGGAATCCGAACTTCTTATCCAAACCCCACTTTCTCCATGTTTATTTAGCGGTCTCTCCTAGCGGCCCCGACCCCGAGAGTTGAAGTTCTCTTTCTGATTCCCAATTTAGGTTTAGCCGGCTCCAGACTGCGCAATTTTTCATGTTGATCATCTAGGAACTCAAATTACGATAAGGACTGTCCTCAGCAACCAGCTCCCTGAAACGAGAAGATCCAAGCCGTTTAATCGCCTTTGTTTGACCGATCTGTTACTCTTTGCTGGTGGTATTCTCGATCCTTCGCTCTCCCGAATGGACGTAAGAAAACAACGAACAACGATGCAGCTACAGTCTCGATCATCATGCAGCAGACGCCTACGCGAGTCCCAGTGCTACCACTACAACGAGACGAGCGGGTTACTGCGGGTGATGAGAACTTACCCTACCGTCTTCCCAGCGGGGCTTTTCTATTTTTTCTGTGTGCTGCACGACCCCTGTGCCGTGGTAGGATCGCACCTCGCTGGAGCGTGGAGGAGAGCGAGGCCTTCATTGCGCGACGAGGACCGGATTCCGGGGGAGCAGCCGGATCTTTCGGGGCCCTCTGCTTCTAGAAGTAATACGACGAGCTTCTGGAAATCCGGAACAGCAGGGAGAGACCACGTGGACAAAGATCCACTTCTTTTCTTCCCGCAAGACATCCACTGTTACCGCGAAAACGACACTCCCACCTGCACCAATACGACCCCAGGTTCGTCGGGGACGTTGGACCAAATTGCTGGTCGCCGGGGACGGTGGACCGCAGCGTTTCGCCGACGGCGTCCGGCCAAAGTAGTATCTACAAGAATTGTTCTGCAAGCAACGTACTCGGAACATCAACATCAGCGGAGCATGGATCGTCTTCGTTTTATTTGTCTCCACCATCTCATGGAAGTAGTTCTTCAAAAGTGTCATTTCCTACACCTTCACTGGCGGCCTCAGCTTCTTCACACGCCGCAAACATCCGCAGCTGGTGCGGAGTTCTTGCCCGAGACAATAAAGTACTAGATGGGAATAATATCTCCGTAGTGAACACCAGCACGCCGGCTCCAACGAGACGAAGCAAGAAACTAACGAGGAGTCAAAGCCCACCAAGTTCGAGCTCGTTTCGTCGTCAGTCCCAGCGGGAAGCTCCTTCCTCTTCCACCTCACGGATCATAGCGCCCCGTGGTCCGCCTGCTGGAGTAAGCGCCCCCGGGTTTCTCAGGAAGTTGAGTTTCTCGAATCCGCGAAAGTACGTACCAGGCAGGCGAGGAACGACCGCCCCGTCTTCAGCGCTCGGTCCGCGGCCTGATCATCTGCATATTACTCCTTCATCTACTACAACAGAGCTAGGATTACGATTAGGAAATAAACTGAGCGGCCGGATCAGCGACAAACGGATTAGGAAGATGGTCCGGGCTGTGATTTCCAAGATCAGGACTGTAACGCCTCGTCTGAAGCCGAAAGTAGCAGTGTTGCTGAATGATGACCGAGGGCCAAGAGCGATGCGCTCTGATTCACTTTCCGGCATACGCCCGCATCGCCTGCGAAGGGCGACTGCGCTCTGTCGTGGCTTAAAATTTCGCGCCACTATTGTGTAGCGCCTGTCTGACACGGGTGGCGGTCTAGTCATTCCCGCGGCCGGCGCTATTATTGGCTTTGGCACTTCAGGCAGGAACGCTACAACTGGCCCGCACGGGCGCAGAAGGGTGCTGCGCTTGTTTGCGGCGCTAATTTGGGATCGGCGCAACAATTCTAAAGTTCATCGGGGAGTGGATCTCAATTTCAAACTCCATCCGATCGACCGGCCCCAATTCAAACTCCATCCGGACGACCGGCCCCAATTCAAAACCCATCCGGACGATCGGCCCCAATTCAAACTCCATCGGGGCCATCGGGGCAAATTCAAAACTCATCCGAATTCTGTCGGAATTCCGTCCGAATTTCGTCCCCTACTTGGCTTCTTGATTCGGACGGATTCTGACAGAATTCGGATGGATTTTGAATTGGTGGGGGATGGGATTTTGTGGTCCGGGCCACCAGAGTTGTGCCTCCAGTCGACTTCACCTACCGAGACCAACCTGGGCGATCTTAGGTGGCTGATCGCATTGGGAATCGCGGCCGGGGATGGCCTCGCCCCTGGCGGCATTTTGTCCACTAGCGTCACACGCAATATGCACAGGCTGACTTGCTTGAGCACTCGCCGGGCCAAGCCGCGACCCCGACACCGAGGCCAGCCATGCTCCTAACCGCATGCGCCGGCCCCCGACGGTTCCCGGCATTTTTCCGTGGCTGGGCAGGGTCTTCTCTTATTACACCGGCAGCGCCCCCCCTGGCGCCGAGCCGGGTTTGAAGGTTCGCAAGTTAAGGCATTATAACAAACTTCGGCCGCCGGTCGAACCAAAGCGCGTTCGCCCCATTTCCCGGCGTTTTTTTGAAAGTGCCAACTTTTTGAATTCAGTTTGAATTCCGTTTGAATCACGATTACATTCCGAGCGGTCTAGAGTTAATGTGACGCCGCGTTTGAAGCCGAAAGTAGGAGACTGTCTGAGGGATACAGGGGATCTACGTTGGAGTTGCATTTTCGGAGCTCGCCCAGGTATGACACCAACCCGGCCAAAATGGCTCGGGCGGCAACACGGGAGCGGGCGGCTTCAGAGGGTCAAAGGAGCCCGCTTCGTCTGTTGATGGCACGCTGCAGGCACGTTGACTGGTGCGCCGCCTCGCCTTGCCCCCTAGGCGGGCCAGATGTTCCCATGGAACGCACCGGTGACGAGACGCGAAGTCCCCGGCGGCTCCCGGGGCGCGAGCGGGGGGCTGGGGGGGAAATGTGTGCCCGCAATTGCATTTCCACGGCCTTGTTGTTCCGTTCGTTTTTTGTGAGCTGGTGGCAAGTGGCGTTGTGCGGTTGGACATGCTGCGATGCTTAAGATTGGCATGGGCTGCAGAGGGCGGGGCCCAACCATCAACTGTGTGCCGAGGCAGAGGGCAGAACGCTTTGGGGTTCTCAGGGGATGGCGGCTGGCTCCAGCTTTCGCCACATGTCAAGGCGATGCGCCCTGACATGTAGCACGAGACGGACCCCGCATTCAATTTCAAAGCGAATCCGCGAATTCAAACCGAATCCGCGAATTCAAACTGAATCCGCGAATTCAAACTGAATCCGCGGCCTCCTTTTCAATTTCAAACCAAATCCGTTGCTTCCTGGAGGGGCCCCACCAATTTCGAACTGAATCCGAATTGCATCCGAATTCCATCCGATTTCCATCCGAATTCGATTTCCCTAATATGGAATTGGATTCGGATGAAAAACGGATGGAATTCGGATTCCGTTTGAAATTGGTTGGATCAATTTGGGGTCCAATCTGATGCCATCTTCTACATTACAACAGAGTCTCTGGGCTAGGTTGTACATTTTTTGGCGCGCGCTGCCGCGCGCGCCAATATCCACGGGTCTTTCAGTGCCCTTCTCTTTCATTCCGTGTCGGCTCGTTAGCGGCGTGGCGAATTGTGTTTCGTGGGGTCTGCTGCATGCCAAAACATTAATTCCAGGTCGTTGCAGTAGGTGTTCTTATCTATCTTCCCGAAGTGTTTAAACGAGTACCCGGCGGGAAGCTTTCAGGGTCTTCTGCCAGTGCGTCCACCATTATCGCGGAAGCGGTGCCAGCGGTGAGTGATTGGGGCGGTGGGTGAGAGATTGAGGCGCGTTTGAAGAGTTCCAAGAGGACTCGAGGGGCCTGCGTACCAAGCCCGCACGAGCCGGCTTGCGGCCTTTTTTGGGTCGCGAGTACGTAGGGCCGGGGGCCGCGAAAAAGATGCCCGCCTGCGCCTGTTGGGCGTGCTGTGAGTGCCCGTGGGCCTGCGCAATGGGGGGCCACTTTAGTCTATGTCTAGGCTCGTCGGGGTGCTGGCGTGCCTGTTGGTTCCTCTAGAAAGACGCCTGGGCCGCGTGAAAAAACCCGCCAGGGAAGGCAACAGCACTCCTACGCAGACGCGACCATAAAAACTGCAGCGCCTGCGTTGGCGCAAAAAAAAGGGCAAATCCCGATGGTATGCTGCGAATTTCTTTAGGGATAAGAACAATGCTGAAGACCACCTTTTTCGTCTCTATATGTAACGCCGCGTTTGAAGCCGAAAGTAGGAGACAAGCGCAGCGGGCTTCGGCATGGGCTCTGAAGAACCAGCGCGCGGGCGACTTGCCGGGGAAAATTCCTCGTCTTGGTGTTGCAGTGGTCCGCGCGCCTGCTCGTAGGTCGCGAGGCTACCTGAGACGGACGGGAAGAGGACGCAGACGGGGCCGCGGCGGGGATAGTCTCCCTCGCGGCTCTGCGCTACGTAGTCAACGTCGCGCCGTGAAGGCGAAGGGCCGCCTGGAGCATGCGGCATCCTTCCTGCAGCGCGTGGCCGCTCTTCGGAGCAAATTTGCGACGCCCGACAGGACAAGGAGGAAAGCCGGAGGGGGTGGGCCCCTGGTTCAGTAAACTCCATCGGGCGGCGACACCCGCTGGGCAAAGAAAGAAAAATAGGGCTTGGGCACATTCCAAATAATATCATCAAGGCATTTCAAAACGCCATCAGAATTCTGTCAGAATTCCGCTCCCCGATGGGTAGCTTGGTTCTGACGGAATTCTGACGGAATCTGACGGAATTCTGACGGCATTTTGAATATCGTCTTGATGACGTTTTGAAATTGGCCAAAATGCTTGATGACGTTTGGAAATTGGCCAAAATGCTTGATGACGTTTTGAAATTGGCCAAAATGCTTGATGACGTTTTGAAATTGGCCAAAATGCTTGATGACGTTTTGAAATTGGCCAAAATGCCTGATGACGTTTTGAAATTGCGCAGGAGGCTTGATGGGATTTTGAAAGCGAGCGAGATGGCCGATGGCGTTTTGAAATCAGCGAAGGGCATTGATGGGCTTCGGAATTTCCGAAGGGCAGCCGTCGGCAATTCGGTGGGGCCTCGCGTACCGGTGTGCGAAGCGGTCCATCGGGCAGGGGCGTGCAGCTCTTCGCCCGTGTCGATGCCGATTGCCGCGAAGCCCCGCAGCCCACTGATTGCCAACGAGCCGCGCCGCCGGGCCCTTGGCGCAGGCACTACCTGCCGGCGCCGGTATTCTTGGGAGAGGTGCCGCGCCTGCCCGATTCGTATCGCCCGTGCCGATCGGGGGTGGGCGTGGGCGCCCCGTGTCTCGCTGCCCATGGCGCAGTGTCTATGCCTGTATGGGGTTGCCAAACCGGGGCGGCAGCCCGGCGCCCGGCGCCCATTATTTGATTGTGGCGCCCCTGCGTGCGGCAGGTTTGCTCCGCCAGTGTAAATCGCTCGGGCCCATCGCGTACTGTCACATGTTGCAAAGGCCGGCGCCGCTCCGGGTGTGGGGCTCCGTGTGGAAAGGCCACACCAGACGCGCGGGCCCCGACATTCATGGCCGCGGGCGGCCCGTTGTTAGGCCCGCCAGCTCTTTGGCGGGCTTTTGGCATTCCCGTTGCAGTCAAGTTTGTGTGGCTGTATGCAATGAAAAATCGCACACCGCGGAGGCCCGCGGGGTTGCCACAGCATGAAAATGCTGGAATTTTGAAATTGGTTTGAAATTGGTTGTAATTAGAATTACAGCCCGCGCAGTCTAGAGTTAAGTGACGCCGCGTTTGAAGCCGAAAGTAGGAGACTGTCCCACACGTAGGAAAAACTTCGTTCATTTTTCTGAATCCTAAATTATGCAAATCTCTGATGCGCAAAAGATAAAAGATCTACACAGAATTCTACTAAATCCTATGCAAAATATCGAATCAATAAAACTGAATAAAATCTTACATGGGAATAGCGATAAAGCTAGTGCTATAGAGTAAATAGACTATGCGAAAAGTTAAAAAACTGAAACCGTATCTAGGATAGTTTTGTCGTATAGAGGTTATGCACCTGAATGTCTGCTAGAACAAGAAAAACAACTCAAACACTTCGTACTTGATTCAACTGAGACTAGCCGAAAATTATCACACAAAACTACTTTAACCGTAGAAAAATTAGTACTTCAATATAGGACAATGAATCTACGGAAATGTTGTACTTTTGCTGAAAATTATATTACCGGGCTAGTTCTTGGTAGTCTTCACACCCAATTCTCAGTGGTTGAAAATCGAGAGATCAAGACTACCAATGTGAAGCTTCTGGGAGAAAGAAGCGATCGTACTTCTTTGGCCGCGCTGTGGTTCCTGTTTTCAGTTGTAAAAATGACGAATTGCGGTGAAAACACGAAGAGTTACAAGCAGAGGGTTGGAAGATGTTATTATGTTCGTACTGTTTTGCTTCTGCACATGCAAGTGGTTCCACTTTGACTCCAGTTGCATACTGACAGTGACTTCTCCACGGTAGGTTGTATTCACGTTCGAGTTCTCACGACGGTGACCACATGCGACGGACTTTCCTCTGTTACCGATTTTTTTGAGGTTCTTCTGTGCATTTTTTTCTTCGTGCTTTTCACGAGCCTTCCAGTTACTACTACGTATTTCATTCATCTACTTTACTTGGTACTAATACTCACGACCTCTGACTGGCATGCGACATCCTATTTTGTTTTTGGGCGAACAGAATGGATGAAAATGCAGTTTTTTGATAATTGGTTTTCCACGATTGTGACGATTGGTTGTTGAAGTAGCTCACTAAAAGCGATTTTGAGATGATGATGAATACACACACTGCTCCCGCCACCATGCGTGCGTGAGTCGTTTCTGCTTCGCGACTTCAAATCCTACACACTCAGCTTATACGACAGACACTTTGAGTAGAATGCGCTCCTGTTTGTTCAACTTTAGCTTTCTATCACTTATGTCCCACACTTGTTCTCTCATGGATACTCAAAACATACTGTGCCTCTTTTCTACCCCAGGACCTCAACTACCAGGGAGCCTATATTTCAGCAGTCATTTATTCTCAACACCACACTCAACAGAGTTACGTCTTTGTAGTTCTTTTCCCCAGAGCGATACTTGTTTTGTCATTGTTCCTAGTCCCACTGTGCTATCGGCAGATCCGCGTCTACATGTGAACACATCAAAAATACGTTTTGTGACATGACGGGAGACGAGCCACAATACTGAAAGTGTTTACCGTCGCTTTACCGTCGTTCCGGCTTTTAATTCGTTATCTTTGAAACTCGTTGCGTGGCAATAATAGATGAAATGAGCAAAAATCCTTGTTGTGAAGTGTGGCGTTGAAGTCCTCAAGAGTGAACTGCGTAATCAATGCATCCAAGTTGTTCGCTATCGCTTTTGCGTGGAAATAATATCTCGATTTTTTCCACAGGTCCTCGCAGCTCTCATGATTGTGACGCCTCGTTTGAAGCCGAAAGTAGGAGACTGTTCATTTTCCTAGCAATGAACTTGAACGGTGTTAGGGCCGACAATTCTTCTGTCGCGCCCAACTCCATCTCCCAACTTTATGATGGGGGAGGGTGCCTCTTGCCATGAAGCGTTCTCCCCATCTTTTTCAAATCCATTGCCTGTTGGGCTCTGCTTTATCAGTACAGGGAGTCCTGCTGCTAGCATGGTGGATTCTTAGCAAAAGAAAACGATCCCGCTACTGCGTAAATTTACAAGGTGAAAGCGTACTAGCGGGCTGCAGCTTTCTTTTCGCGTTTCAGACTGGTAGACACGCGCGGACCCTGTCATAGTTTTGCTTCTAAGGATTAGGCTGCACTTGCATCAAAAGGCAGTCGCTATCAGGAAAGGCGAACGCTGTCGCATGGAGTAGAAGCATAGATTTGCAACAAGCAATGCACGACGACGCACGACTGCGACCGGGCGGCTTAGCTACAGTGAATTTATTTACCCTCTAAGTAGCTTCTCAGTACATAGCGCGGCACTTGTTTCGTCCTCGTTCGCAGAAGACACACTCCGAAAATAGCTCGGAGTCGGAAGCAAGCAGTCGGATAATAGTTTTTGTCCACCCACCAAGGACGGTAACTGTACTCAGCGGGCCGCACCACGTGGAACGTGCTGTCTGGTAGCATATTTGTTGAAGCAGGAGTTCGCTCGAGTGGGTGCGGATACCTAGTATGCGTTTTCACCTCTACAGAGTAAACACTCACAGTGCGCCGCTAGTACTCCTAATTAGAAATTAGCACTTGCACAGAAAAACCGCGCCTCAATGTGGCCGGTATACGTGCAAACTTTTCTTCGAATGATAGAACTTCTTTTTGTGTGGAAGTGGGAATGAAAAAAAATCACGCCGCGACGCAAGGCCTGTTTTTAGATTGGAAATCTGCGCGCCCCCCTGTTCCGCGCAAGCTGTTCGCTGTCGATGTTGTCATCGATGCGAGCTTATCCAATGCAAATGTGTCTGGGTCTGAAAATTTATAACTTGCATGTTGAAAAGAAAAAAAGCGCTTCCGCATGCAGGAAAGCATGACAATTCTGCAAAATGATTTCTCACACGCGTTCCGCATGACAAACTGCGTTTTTGTATGACAGGAGAGGCTATGACTTTCGTTGGTCATGCAGTGCAGATTTCATAGAATGAAGCCAAATGTAATGCCATATTTACAAGCTCCAACATTAGACCCAGACACATTTGCAACGCATAGATAGAGCTGTAGCTTTGAGGGAACGCATGATCGGCCCGAGCGACTCCGATACGTGATGGCTGATGTGCACCGCGTGCGTCTGTGTGGAGAAGCAGCTGGTGCCACCGTCATGGATCAACCTTATGGAATGGAAAATGAATGTAGGGAGACGGTGCAAAGGCCAAGCCGTTTGCACTGCGCTTCGCTCAGCGATGTTTTTTGTCATGACGAGCCTAAACATAAACAGGCCGGGCAGATCATGTTATGTGGTAGGTGTGCATCTTCTTTAATATCTCCCATCTCAATCGGTGGGAATGCAAGACAAAACAAAAGACTTTCTGAAATTGGGCTGATAGTGCATCACAGGAACCTGCAAGAACTAGGCGCGACACCCGACTCACGAACGCAATCGAGACTCTATAGGGACGAAAATTCCATCGCAGTGCAAGCATTGGCCTTTGATCGGTTCCTACATGTTTCACGTCCTGAATACTTGATTCTCTCGGGGCCAGCGGAAAGCCCCGGACCCCCACCTCCTGCTCTTCGGAGAAGGACGCGGCGCGAAGTCGGAAAGTGTATTGTTGGACGGGACGCAGCCGCTGCCCGGATGAACAGCCGCGACGCCTTGCCATCGAGGATTGCAACGCGAACTCCGCTGGTGTTGCTCCTCTTGCCGGGCTGAAGGGACCGATTTACATCCAGTACGAAGGGACCGATTTACATCCAGGATGCCAGGTGGCGGGTAGCGGTATGTGAAATAATCATATTTAAAAAAAAGTTTCTTCATTTTCAATTTTCTCACAGCACTACAAGGTAAAAAACGCACACACACAACCTGTAGTCAATCTATCTTGGCGCCCCCTCGTAGCTAGGTCCTAGGTTCTACTGGAGGCAAACGAGACCCGTCCAGAATTTCAAAACTCCGTCCGTCCCAAATTCGTCCCAAATACGTCACAATTCAAATCACAACCCGCACGGTATGACGTTAATGTGACGCCTCGCCTGAAGCCGAAAGTAGGAGACTGGGTGCGCGTTCGGCTACGTCCTGGTCGAAGAGGCGCAGAGGCGGAAATAATGAAGCTACGGAGCGAGCGCGAAGCTGCCGAAAAGGCGAAGCTGCGTGCCTTGATCGCGGAAATGTCATCGCCGATTGGCGCAGCCCTCGGCTTGAACGCTGCGACGCCGTCCTCTACTGCGGACCTCCCGGGCAATAAAGCTACCGGACAGTTGGTTCTGGGCCCGAAAACGTCGTCCTTTGGTCGTGGCGCTGAGACGCCAAGCGGCCGGTCCGAGCGGAGTTACAAGAGTGAGGGGCTGCAGTTTGGCCCGCAGACTCCCCGTCCGCAGGCGCGCCTCTCCGTGACCGACGACTTGTTGCTGAAGGCGCTGGGCAAACTGGAAGACGACTGGTGGCTGCGCAGGCCGGGCGCGGAGGAAACCACCACGGGGGTCGACTCCTCCGGCAGCGGCAACAACAGCGACTCCCCGTCGACCAGCAATAGTAACACGAGCAACAGTAACAACAGCAAGGAGAACTACAAGTCCCGCGCCGTTGGTCTGGGCAACAGCACGCCGCGCCCAAGCAGCTTGATGCTCGAGCCGCTCACGAAGCACACGTCCAACAAGTGGCTGAACAAGTTCGCAGATCCCGAAACGGGTATCGCGCTCACCTTCAACTACAACATGAACTTCCCGAGCCAAAACTACAACTACCCGATCGAGCCCCCGAAAACGAGTTCGGAGAAGAAAAAGCGGCTCAAGCTGATTAACCAGCAGATGGCCCCGGAAATCACCGAGGACGAGACGGATCCCTTCAACCGCGAAGGTGCTTCGCGCGAACGGCTCTACCGCTATCGTCTCGGCGGTTTCAGAAGAGGACTGTGACGCCTCGTTTGAAGCCGAAAGTAGGAGACTGGGTGCGCGTTCGGCTACGTCCTGGTCAACCAATGCTGCTGTCCGACGAATATGGTTTCGCGGCAGCCGGTGCAGGAGGCAGCATGCGGGGACGAAAATCCCCTACGCCAGGGCTTGGTGGGAAGTTTTCAGGTGGAAGTACTAGCTTCTGTAGCGACAGAAAAGACAAATACGAACTCACGAAATGAATGGGAAAAGCTAGCACCCTCGAACCCTCGCAAAAGAATTGCTTTATTTTCCTTTGTAGGTCGTGTAGTAGTCTATATTTAGTTAAAGGCGAACGCTCCTTGTTCTTCTTCAGGTTGTTCAGAGGTCATCTTTTCAAGTGCATACACAGACATGGTAGAGGCTTGACAAGCGACGTGAAGTAGAAAACGAACCGCAGAGAAGGTTTTGAAGCTTCCAGGACCAGGTGGAGCTGTCACGATCATTACTATTGGTTTGCATTTCGCACTTTTTTTTATCGCTATCTCTCGTGCTGCTGCCGAAGCTAAAAATGCGGCTTCCACCTTCTAAGAGAGTTGCTTCTTCTTTGTGCACGAACATGCGCATTTTTCAGAAGAAGAAGTGCAGAACGAGGTCGATCGCTCCTGTTTTTTCCTCTGAGAACTTCCCACCTGTTACAACTGCTATACTCCTGTACGGCGTGGTGGTGGCCGAAGTTTATGATACCGACGACATCGCCACCCTACCTATGTTGCCTGCGCCCCACCGCGTCGGAGCTTCGCTGCCAGCAGCGGCAGCCTCTGCGTCACGCACGATAGCGCGAAAAATCCTCTACTTTCATAGTGGCGAAAAGGCCACGACCAAGCAGCCAGCACCAGCCTATTCATTGCAAATATGTCTGGTTCAGGAAAGTAAGGTGGCACTTGTGATGCGCATTTCACAACACACAAAAATCTGCCAACATGCACAGAGGACAGAAAAAGTTGCTCGTTGATGTCACCGACAAAACAGGCGATTTTCCATGCGGGTTAGGCATCGACGGGCCCTCTCAAAAACTGTAATGCTAGAAATTGCATGCCAGACGAGACCTTCTGTTTCTGGGCCACGAAAGATAAATAGGCATGGAAAAAATCTGCATCCTTCCAGACGACCCAGACAAATATGCGTTTGATACCGCCACCCGAGTGCTTATTGGCTACGAAATTCTGGATGCCCAGCATGGCCTGCTTCCCTTTGTCATACCCGCGGCCCAAGTTCGCCGCACCTTACGGATTCGTCCCCGGGTTCGCGCTTTTCTTCGTCGCGCCTCACGTTACTGGTCGCTGGTGCGCCAATATGGGTGGATTCTCAGACGTTACATGCTCAAGCGATTTGTCATGCAGAATTACTATCACGCTTCACGCGATCAAGATTTGTCGCGATGGCAACTTATCGACGCACTAAATAGCTTTGGAACCGCACCAAATCTGTAGTATATGCACGACGCGGGCGCTCCCCTCTTTTCTTGCCATTCTCGTATCACTAAAAAATCATACTTATGAACAGATCCGAGTGTTGTAACGCTTGAGAACGCCATAGCCAAGTGTCAAAAGCTGTGGCTGTGGATTTTGGTTGAAGAGCAGACACACATCTTCTGGTGATAGTGATAGACTTCTTGTCTATATGAAAAAGAAATTGACTTCTTTTTTTTTGCAAAGTAGAGATGAAAATTGAGAATATAAAGATGGTCGCTCAGCACTCTATTTGGTTTTGCTCATCTTGCATTTATAGAAATAGCACTGCATCGAGGCACAATCAAAAAAAAAAACGTCCAAAGGCCCTTTCACTGTGTTGGTTCGAAAGTGCGTCCCACGTCGTCCTCGTATGATGAACTTTAACTTTTCCTACTTGAACAGTATCTGGCGCGATCTGCCTGCAGCTGCATGCTCTTCCTCATGTTCGTTGGTCTTCTTGTATGCCGCGAACTAGGTGCTTCTACTGTCCTGCTCGATGCTCGTGGCCCTGATAAATGTGTGTCTGATTTACAAGCAAAGACAAGATCTCTACGTCTACTCCTTCGACGGATCTCGAAAAAGATCTGCTCGTAATTGCAGTGATCGGCCTAACAAAATGTGAAGCCACTATTTGATATTATTTGCGCACTTCCACTTCGATGTCGATCGATACGCATTTGGTTCTCCTTTTTTTTCTCGGCTCCTGTTAAGTTACTCCTGTTTGATTTTATGTGCGTCGGCAGATCCGAGGATGATGATGATGGTGATTGCCAGTCGCCTTTAGGCACACCATCGATTGACTTGATGGGAGTTTTTTGGTTCTTCGATCTATTACCTTCCGTCTGGCAGCTTTGCCAAATTGGATTGGAAAGGTGAATTAGCAGTAGCAATGTCAAGGCCAAGGGTGGAGAACACATGTTATCTAGCCCAAGAGGCAGGCTGCTCCATGATCTGGCAATTCTTTCGAATGAATTCTACCGCCTCCGTTGCACCTGTGTATGTGATGTTGAAGATGTCGTACATGCGACAAGTAGGACAATCATTGATGATTGTTTCACGCGTTCTCGCGTCGCCTTCTCTAACTACGCAAGCGCGTGTGCCTACACTTATTCCGTTGTAATTACATTGCATTTTTTGATAGGACAACTAAGTATTAGGTATGTGACGCTCGGATCCTTGGAACAGGAGCACGTCGTGGAACCGCACGAGGTTGATCGCTATGATCGTACGAGAATTTGCGAGCAGGTCCTCACGTCGCGGTCGTGCAAGCTGTATCGGCGAAGGTGTCAAGAATGGAGGACTTTATGGCGTGCTCAGATGGACATGGAAGTGGAACAATCGCGTCGACTGGAACAATGAATTCCTGTTGGTCCAGCATGCGGAAAGTGATCTGTATCTGCCCAGTCAACACGTCCGTGCCTAGCATGGCAAACTTCTGGCCGTCCAAGATAGATGAACCCACATTGAAATCCGTCGAAAGTCTGTCGCGCAATGCTGCACCGCAACCGACGGAGTGGTAGCCTGTGCTTTTCTTGCCATGTATGCAAAGAACCAGATTTGAAGTCTGTAGTGATCACTTCATACATGTTCCTTCCGTGAGGTTCAGGCTCGTCGTTCCACCTGAGCAGGCCATATAGTTGCCGCTGGAGGAGGTTCTTACGTTGTCCATCGTCGCGGGGAGCAATTCATCTCGGGCTACTTGCGTCAGCACGAACTGTGCGTGGGCATCAAAAGCAACGCAGCCATCATCCTGCGCCGTTGCATCATGAGTTATGGCCGGAGCAAAATCAAAAAGGAAACAGTCTGCTGCAATGTTACAGGTCACGCCGGCAACCGAGCCTCCGCAAGCAAGCCACCGCATGCCGACAACAGCAGCTGCCCCAGCGTTTCGTCTGCGATGTCTTCATTTTTTTCTGGCTGCAGCTACCAGTCAGATGGCCAGACGGGGCCACGACCAGCATCTCCTACAAAAGCCAGGAGGCCTGAACACACTGCCACGACGGACGACACTCCCGCGTTCGCTTTACCAAAAAATCACCTTGCTACTCATGAAGAAAAAGTTGAAGCGCAAGGTGATGGTCAATGTGCTGCAGCCCCTGGTGCAACTTCTTCTCATGATCGAGTTTGGAGATCAGGATCAGCCATGAATAAATGTGGCGCTTCGTCAGCTATCTCTACACCAGCACACATGAAAAGTCACCGTCGCGTGGTGCGAAAGCCGGCCTGTTACGCTCCGCTGGAAGTAGTGAAATCGGTGCAGATATGTGCCCGCGAACTCGACGCTATCGCTACTGGAGGAACAAGGTGCGACGTGGAGCAGCCAGGACCACCAGATATCGGGACGGACACGGACACGCTATTTGGCAGCGCCCCTTGTGTAACAGGCATTGCATCGGGACGTGGTAACTCGAACTCCGCCCACGCAACAGACTCCCTGGCAAGGTCAGATGTGTCGCCCTGGCCTTGGGTGACTTTGTTTGGTGCGCTTCATTATGCTGATCAGCGCTGACGTAGCCTTTGCTTCTCGCATCTTTCAAAAATCTTCGTGCTCACATTAGGCGTGCTATGTATGCATGGGGGACAGCGCAGCTATGATAAAGCCTTCAGCTGCAGATACGTCTCACCACGTCTCCTCTGAAGATGAATTTGTTACCTTCACGTTCGGAAAAGTGATGGAGGCCGCTCCTTCACGACCAATTCCGTTTCACGGCTAGCGGCTCCTCGCCCTGAAAACATTTGCATTGCACATGAACATGATGATCACCAGCTATAATTTGTTCGTAGTGGTACTACGTGTTTGTCCTCAGGGTCATGACGATCGCGACCTTGGCTTGAATGATGCGGCATCATGCCAGCGCTTCTACATTCTAATACTGACACCACGTGGCATCAGCCGACTCTGATGAGGTAGGAAAGCAGATTTTACGTTTGGCCGAACAATTGTGGCTATCAAGCAGAAAAGTACACCAATACAACTTCTACAGCAGGCCTGCATTTGTGTTGCACTTTTTCTTGCGCGGCTAAGAATTTTGATTATACCGTCAAAGTCGAGCCGCGCGACGTGGTGGTGCTGGTGGTGGTCGCAAATAATGATAGCTTATCTGACATGCAGCAGCAGCTAGATGGGGAACATTGTAACGCGAGCCAGGCAATATCTGCCCCAAGAAATTGTCATGCTGAACGGACAGCATGCAGGAGAAGACGGGCCACACCCACACTTAACAATTTTGCGCTCGCGCCGCGGAAAATTGCACGGTGTACGTTTCTGAAGGATAGTGATCGTCACCCTTGTCATCCCTGCTGTTGAGGAACGAAGCTGGTGGCGATGGCGGACATCGACGCTCTGACACCGAACAAAATCAAAAGCGCGCCGCCCGTGTGATGCAGGTGGACGAGAGGCAAAGAACTACCATTAGCATTACACGGTCGAAGGAGGACGAGGACTCACACTCATCAGATCGAAAAAGTGGAGGTGGATGCTATGTCACAAGGCAAAGGAAAGGACGAGGAAGACCACGTCAGCGAGGAACTGCGCGTTGTGTAGGGGATGGTATGATTCGGGCGAGCCGCTAGAGCACTCTACTTGCCTCGTTCTTTCTGAGTTATATATGATTTCCTTCGCTTCCTTTTGGGTTGGCATTCGCAGTTTTTTCCCCGCCGCCCGTGGATGTGGAAGTTAGTGGTAATAAAGTGAAGGAACTGCATTCAATTTCAAGTGCATGTGTTTATTTACGACATTTATACCCTTTGATTAAGATTTCGACAATGTGTGCAGTTGCTATTCCTAAGCAAGAGACACAACCAGAGAACGTCTAGGTCGAGTAGAGCGAGAGGCTCTCCCCAGCCATACGCACGGACGTAGATGTTCTACCGGCTTTCCACGCTGCGTTGGTCGCACTCTCTGCTGCCGCCGGAGGGGCAGCTGCAACATTGACGCGAACAAGGACTGGTGCTGGCTTCCGCAGTGCAGCGGCCAAGATACCAACGATTTCCATGCAAGCCGAACGATCTTTCGGCGTCCTCGGTGTTGCTCCTGGACGACGAGAGGACCGAGAGGGTGCAGGTCGTGACCGTGAGCACGACGCGCGGCGTGCGCTAGGAGACTGGAACTGGACTGACCCTGAAGGCGAGACGAGCATTGTTGTGCGAAAAGACAGCGCCACGGGTCGTGCTCCAGTCAACATATCGAGTGAAGCGAATAATCCAACGATCGAAAAGTTCTTCGACTTCTTTCACCGGATACCTCGTAGTGCGCGAACGGTGCGCACCTTCAATATCGCACTAGCGGCTATAAAGAAGGCCCCGCACACACAAATTACGGATAAGCACGACGCCGCGGAACAGTTGTACGCCGACCTTCTAGCTGGCGGCGCACGTCCAGGTATTGATGGGCTTCGCCTATGCATTGCAAATATTCCACAAGTATCGCACATGTACAAAGAAAAAAGTGTGACGTGAAGGACACTGCGAAGCAGCACCTCCGCGCGACTGATATAATGAGTAAAAATCGTGACTACTTCTTCAGAGGAAAATGCTCCTCTCGCCGTCCTGAGAATGAAATTTTGTTTGAGTTGTTTGCTTCTATTTTGCAAGAGAAGTCCGATACTTGTTTTGCACAGGATCTCATCTCAGTCCAGATGATACGACGTGGAACACTTTATTGGCGTGCTGTCGCCCGTTGGCAAGCACCCCGGCAGGGCAGATAAGTGCGGACTTCTTCACCGAGCAGAAGGTCGATCAACATGGCGTTTGTGATGGAAATACACTACATGCACCTCTGGCAGATCATATGTCGGAGGTACGTTTGTGTAGCAGCGAAGTTGGAGCACAACTGCTCTCGACTCCCGGGCACAATAAAGGCACGCTTTCAGGAACAATAGTTGGTCTGACTCCGAACACCTCTGATCATGCTCTGCAGAGGTGCCACCTGCCCTCGCCCCTGGCCATGTTTGCGTTTGTGAAGCACCCGTCCGCAATTACTCTCGCGGGGATTCTCCGCGCCTGTCGATTTCAGCCCGCTGATGCGCTGCGCTTTCACTTCCGAATGCTCTACTGCATTCCCGGGGCCTTCTCGGTCCAGGCCAGTACCTGCTTGCTTACAGCACTGAGAATAGCGGGCCAACCCTTTCTGGCCTACGTCGCGGGATACCAAGACTTGCTTCGGGCTCGGGTCGTGATTCCGCCTGAAGACGAGGACGAAGGGCACGACCACCAAGTTGCAGCGGCCGAAGAACCGGCGGAAGAGCCACGACCTAAAAGCGAACTTATCGCACGCCCAAATGAGAATGACGAGGGCCGCACAAGCTGGGGACGCGACCGAGAGATGGCCCCGCCCAGTGTCCACGACCAGCAACGGATGATATTGATATGCATTCTGCGAATATGTCGTGGTCTATTAGAAAGTTGTGATGCCAGCTGAAATGCGCAGCCAAGCCCAAGCGTGGTCACAGGTTTGTTTTGTTAAAATTGATTTTGCGCGGCTTCGTGTTGCGTTTCCGCAGGCATGACAAAATGAAATTTAGACTATATAAACGTCATTTTTGCATAAACAAGTCGTTACAGGTGAGGAGCCCTTCGTGGCCATGCAGTGCAGAGCTGAAAGTCATGCCACCTGGAGGGCGAACTGCCAGGGCCTGCTTCTGGTACCATATGTATCATGCCATACACGCACGGCAAATCTTGCCATAATGTTCCAGACCCAGACATATTTGCATTCGGTAGATTACAAGACGTCGTAACGCCAGACAAGCTGCGCTCCAATTCTTCGACGTGGAATACTTTATCCACCTCGTCGCTGCAATCGCCGCACCGGTGCGTCTACTTCGAAGTCAAAGGAACAAGCCAATCAAACCTGCAGATCCAGATATTGCTGCACCATCGCAGCACGTAACCGAACCCAAAGGGAAAGAAGCTGTAGTTGGAGGTGCGGTTCACCGCCCCCACTCAACACCTTCAGTAGAAACAGAAGGCTCATCGTCATCATCTTCGACTTCTACTACAGCAGAAACTCTTGTACAGGCTGGTGGGGGAACTACTTCTACTACCGGTATGACAAGAAGTCGTAGTGATTGCATCGACGAAACAAGACTAGCCGTCCACCCTGATTTGTTGGGACTTCTCAGGTGCAAGAACGTGGCAGAAGTTTCGGGTGGACAACAACAATCACACTTAAGAATCGCAAAGCGGCGTCGCACAGCATCCGCGCCATCGGAAAGCGTATGCTCCTCTGTTCCATTTGTGCAAGGAAACACCGCAAGGAAGCCAAGACTCTTGTCGCTGTCGAGCCCGGGGTGGTGCACTGTCGGAGTCTCCTGTGAGGACACGCTTTCCGATGCTTTTGCCTCTACCCCATTCCCATTGAACACGTCGCAAGAAAGTGCTACACGCAGAAGGAAAGGGGAAGGCGAATGCAGCGCTTCCGCGCACATTGGTGAAACGGCGAGTACTTCTGGAATGGAGGACCTCTCAATCGCAGCCGTTTGCGAAGACTTGCAAGTCGCGCTCCTTGCCCAATTGTGGACTGAAATTCCCCATCGCCATCGTGCGGATCCACGACTTGTGCTCCGCGTTCTGAATTGCCTTGTGCAGCCCCGCTTTTTGAAGAGGGGCGCCCGGCGTTGCAGCGCAACTACCCCAGCAGCCGTCGCGCACGCGCGGAAAGTCTACCTGCAGTACCGCGGTAGCATCCGCGGCCAGCAGTCCTTCTCGTGGATGTTAACGAGCACCATCTTATATGGAAGCGTCAGGTTTGAAATCGACAAAGTTGAAATGATTTGTCATGCATAAAATGGATGCCAGTTTTAAGCCTAATTTCTAAGCGGTGCATGACAAACTTTGGTGGTCCTTAAATCCAGCTTGCCATGCTGCTTAGGCAAAGAAGACTGATTTTCTCATGCTACTTTTACTTTAGCAGCTCGAGCTCTAACCCCAAACAGGTTTGCAATCGGTCTCACTTGCCTGCTCTGGAACACACGTGCCTCGGGTCATACATTATTTTTTTATGCGTTACAAATTATTTCAACTTTGACGATTTCAACCCTGACGCTTCCATATCTCAGTGCACCGACGTATTGAGGAAGTGGCTCGATTGCACGGCTTTCGACAAGGAGAAGCATGAGAAGCAAAACCCTGCGAGAACTGCGAGACGGAGAATAGATTCGAGTTACACTTTCCAAAAACTCAAGCGTACTGCTCCAAGAAAAAGTCGCTAAATCGAAGAACACAAATGGCATCGTTTGTGCCTGTACGGGTAAGAAGACGAGAAGTGGAAAAATTCAAAACTTTGCGGGTTTAATAAATGTTATGCGACATGCCTATCTTATTTTCCGCAAGATATAAGTAACGTCGTATAAATTCTTCCCAGCATGACCGTCACCGAGGACAAAAATACGAATGCCACAACGTCGCGCGAAGGGGAAAAATTGCAATGTAGCTACAGACTGTGACTGGTGCTGGTGGAACAGCAGATTCATACACTGTGAGCAGAAACAAGAAGGCGGGTCGTCGACATTCACCCTAGTGCATTTTTGGCACCAAGCACCTCTACCTGCACCAACATGGTCATGGATTATGGATTAAAGAACAGACTTGCTCTTCTTGTTCAAGACCCACGTTGGGTAATTTGAAAAGCGGAATGTTGCACTTGCCTCAATAAGAAAACATTCTTGTTCGTTTTTTTTTTCTAATTCTTAGAGATCAAGTCCTTCATCTCCTTCATGGGTATCGCAAAACTGTCTCGTTTTTTTTTCTCCCGGAACAAGTGTGAGTCTGGTTGTCATACGAGAGTGACGACCTTGCGCTTAGTTATTTGACCGAGATTTGTTCATGTATGATTGCTCCTGCTTATGAAGATTAATATTATGGTGACCAAGCACGGTCTACTTGAACTAATATTTCAGTGAACCCAGCAAGCATAGGGGGAGCGGTCGTAGTGGTGTGACGGGGACGATGAGAGATGGGGATCGCGCATTTTTTCATCATCTGAAGCAGGGTTAAGTAGTATTATTGTGTCTCCCGGCGCCAGAGCGCAATCCATCGAGCTTTTTTTCGCCGTATGTGATGGGAGACGAAATGCCCCGACGTCATCATGACTCATGCCGCAGTAAACCGATGAACAAGTTCTGTGAGTATTTCCTAGGTTAACTAGTTTCTTAGCAGCTGCACCACGACCAGCACCAGCGTTCAGTACTTGCTCACGTGATGTTTGTGTGAAGATCGGCGGAAAATATAGAGAAAAGCAGGAGATAGAAGCGATGAACGACCACCCGGCTTCAGTATGGAGTGTTCTCGCATTGAGAAACGGCGGCCCTGCACGCGCCCGCGAGCGCCGGGCTGCTGTAGCGACGCGGCGCTTCCTAAACCACCGCCGGAGGACCGGCGCGATGCGGGGTCTCAAGGATGCGCTTGAACGCTTCGAAGGCCACGACGAACTACAAGTGCTCGAGCAGGCTTCCTCGTCTTCCTCCCCGAGAAGCAGCGACCAGGAGGACGCCGACCACGATTTTAGTAGATATGAAGAGGAAGATGGCCAGCATCAGCAACAGAACCTCAATAGAAGCTCGTCGCGCCCTGCCCGACACCCGGACGCGCGGACGAACGCCGCGGACGCTGCTCCGGGCGATGAAGAGACCCGCAGGAAGCAGCAGCGGTGGGTGCGGCGACCCTGCTCCGCGCTGGCACAGTACGATTACGGAGCGATATCTGCGCAACCGCGAAGTCTGTACACGCACTTGATCAAGAAAGGCCGCGGACGGGACATCGACAGACCGAATTTACACGGAAATCGCCGCCGACTGTACACCACTGCGCCCCTACCAGGTACAGCTACACAGCCAAGATAAAGATACTACCTAGAACTAGAAATTCAACAAACTGCCGCTTTTTCTTTATTCTTCTATCGCCCTTTTAGTGTATTTCCTTTTCCTAAAGAAGTTCAAACTAACACGTAACACACTCAAGAAAGAGCTGCAAATCCTGCACAAGTGCAAAGAGAACGGCACCGCAAACTATTCTGGACACTGCACGGGTCCTGCTTGTTTTCACAAAACTTCTCCTGAGGGGCTCTTCATCTAAGTATGCATCAGGCCCTATCTGATCTCTGTCAACATTCATGAACGCTGCATGAATCTTTACGCAACTACTACGAAGATCAGGTTCAGGAGGTCCTCGGAGTTTTTTTCTCGATATGCAAGTTATTTGTGACCAAAACCATAACGCCCCCCCAGGTATGTCGCATTCTTCGTGGAATCGGCAAGATCCCATCTTTTTGGCAAAGGGAAAGGCCCAGTGTTCATCTCTAATGCCGGTCGCCGCGCGAAGCCAGCTGCTTCTCCAGAACCCCTCCACTTGGGTATCAACTGAAAACACAACATCTAGACCTGGAACAGTGCAGAGGGTTGGCGCGCACATCATGTAGGTAACCCACGAGCGCTAGCTCGGAGTCTGAGATGCATGCGAAGGTCTCTCTTCCGTGCATGCGGTTCCGCGAGATGAAGAAGGAGGTCGGTCCCAGCAAGACCCGAAGCTTGTAATAACTATCCTGCATCCATTGGACAACTTCAATCCGATGTCAGTCTCTGTCTCAGCAAAAACAATATAAATGAGTATAAACGCAGCTGGGTATAGGTTCTTTCGCTGGCCGCTCTACTTGACAGACTCGGCAAGTCCATCCCCCAGCTTCATCAAAACTAGACATGGACCGCAATTATCCCAACCAGCAGCAGACGTGACGTCTGCAGCGCTTTTGCCTTTGGCTCTGCCCGACCAAGATCCATGATAACTATTTTTGATGCATATTCGGCCGAATACCGCAATTGTGCGGGAGTAGCTCTGGAAGAACTGCAGACCGACGACCACCGGATTCCGTGGACGCGCACGCAAGAATTGCGACGCCGGCGCACGTATCGAATGCAAATAAATATGTTTGGGTCTGGACGATTGCATTTGCGATTTGTCATGCTACATCTGAATCATACAGAAATCTGTGACTGTGTTGCATAAGTGCCAAAAGCTGTCCACTTTCCACCGAGTTGAGAGGAAGTTTCTCATGCAGAGTTGTAGGCATGATAGAGTTAGAGACCTCAGAGAATCTTCTGTCATGCGAGGTCCCGCATTCCAGACCTCATGGGTCATGGAAAACCTGCGTGGCAAAACTTGCATCGTTCCAGACCCAGACACATTTGCATTTGACAGCCCGGCCGAATGCCTCGATTGTCTCGCGGTTGACGAAACCCTGGAGAGCCGACGGCAGTGGGCAGGGCAACAGTGGGGGAACAGCAAGGCCCTGCGCTACTACACCCAGATTCCCAATGGGGCAGCACCGGTGCGGTCCTTCCGCGACCAGGTGGAAGTCGTTGCCCTCTCGCAGATGGCGCAAGATCTGCACTACAGCTCTCCAGACGACGACTGTGTGCGAAAGAAACTGTACTACCGCGTCGACGAGGCGGAGGCGGCGACAACATCAAGCGGAGGTGCCTGTTCTAGTTCTTCCACTAGTGGGGGTGGCGCAGGTGGAGCACCAGCACCGACAACATGGTCGAGTTCTTACGACAGTGCGCTCGTCGACGTCGTTTTTCCATCAGATTCCTTCGAGCGGGAGGAAAACAACAATTATCCAGGCTCTACTATTGTTGGGATGAGCAGCAGCTACAACAAAGGCAACATCAAACAAGCAACATCGACTGACTACAAGAACTACCTCCCGCTCCCAACCGCCCTGAAGCGGCCGTGGCACGATGCCGACACAGCAGCGGGGGTGTTGTTGAACGAGGTCGAGGACGGGTCCACCTCGCAAGGGAAACAAGCGCCCAGTTCTTCCCTGTCGTCCAGTGTCGTCCCAGCAAAGACGCAGAAGCACCGGACCAAGGACGACATTGTCGTCGAGTACAGGGATGAAGGCAGCATCGTCTGCGAGCCGTATCGCAGCTTGCTGACGCGCCTGCTGTACATGACCCGGCTCCGCAAAATCAGCGTGCTGAGACTCTGTAAAGCCTTCACCCGAGAGGAGAATGCCGCCCACGGATTTCTACCTGCCGAAAGCTTTCACCGCGCGCTGGAGAAGCTGGAGGTCGTGTCAAACGAGCCGCGCGGCGGCTTTAGCACCAGTTGCTCGGCAACGGTAAGGAACAAGAAGATGAACAGCAGTACTACTACGGCAGGAACTACGAGTTTAAGTTTTACTAGTAGTCACGCTAGCAATAGAAGTGGGGCGATGCCGGTGGCCGCGTGGAGCTTTCGGCAGACCATGGAGTTCTGCTGGTGGCTGCGCAAGTTTCAGTTTCGGGTCGACGGGGGGGAGTACGACGAGGGACTGATCGATCTCCATCTGGTGGATCACCTAGTCACGCAAGTAGAACGGGAACAGGAGCGGGACGAAAGGATGTGCCGCCGGGCACTCGCAAAACTGACCCCACCCGACCGCTTCGGCAAGACCCTGCGGTTTGCGGAAGAGCTGCTCGCGCGCGAAAGAGAAAAACGACGCGAGGCCACGAAATCCTCTCGCGCAACGCGAAAATCTGCTGCCGTCACCGCGGCTGAGCACAGGAAGACTACATCCGCAGCCATGATATGCCTCGCTCAGTTGTGACGAACCTCTGAATCCAAATTGAAATTGCAACAAAGTATCTTCTCCGGTACAGGCATTTGCTGCACGACAGGTTTTTTTTTACCTCAGGTGTCCAGACATCTGTCACGCTGAACGCGTTGAACACCAAAAGTTAACCAACTTAATATACCGAGCCGCGGACACGCTGTCGCTCGCATCATGTCATGACTTCTAATGCGCGTTTTGCATTACTACTACAGTTGCGCGCCCTGATCAACTTTTTCGCAGCTGGTGCTGGGGTGGTCACGTCTGAGCGGGGAATAATAAATCGGCCAAACCCTCTTGGAGCTATCGTAGCGCTAGCGCTGAATAGAATTGGTTTTCCTGCCTGCTGGCGTTGTTCCTGTTTTACTTCGGCCCACAACGACCGAGAAAGTAACTCAGAAAGATGCAGTCGGCAATGAGAATATTACAATTATTTATTTGATTGCAACACCAACACGAACGATTGATGATCCTGTTGTTTCGAAAAACATCGGAGAGTTTGCTAGTATCAAGATCAAAGAGCCTGAAACTGAAAAATAACCGCATGAACAGCAACTTAGACTTACATTTACTTTTCGTTTTCAACACGCAAATTTGTGATTCGAACGTGCCGCCAGGGTAAAGCCATCTACCTCTGTATTCTTTGTCTTTAGCCATTTATTACGGTCTGCTTTTTAGAAAAGACAGCAGTATCTATCGAAATACGTACAAAATGCAGGACATATTTGATCACCTTCGCATAGTTTTAGTTTCCACATTTTTATGCAATTTGTAAAGATTCTATCATGAACTCTATGTTTAGTACACCATAACTGTGCATGCAGCAACTCATTCTCGTACTAGACGACTAGCACAGCTATTCAGCAGCCGCAAAATGTCCATGTTGTCTTTCTGACGCTGGAAAGTCATGCACTGGTTCTGGTGAGCGTGAGCCCAATAACGCATTTAATATTAATGGACTTAAGAGTTTGGCTCCGAGCCCAAATCGAAATCAATGCAGGGCCGCGGTCCGCACCTGTATGGGGGCAAGCCTTTCGATTTCGTCGTCTTCGGTTGCGACGTGTATAATTTCGACAGAGAAGAAAACCAAAACGTCAAGACCCGAACAGACAGGACAGACACATGGAGGACATGGCATGAAAAATATCGATATCCAAAAAAACAAAATGAAACCGCGACAAAAGTGGAACCGAGTTGCATCATCGTCAAAATATACATACACAAAAATGCCCATATTCATAGCGCATCGCATATTGAGGTTGAAGATTCTTTCCACCCTTCTATAGCACGGGGTCAAGAATGCCGATGGCCATCAATCCGACAATGGGCATCAACATCCGAGGAGATCTCCCCATCACAACCACATGGTGGACAGAAATAGCACTAGGCCACATACTTGCGTCGAATCTTAGTCTTGAAATATTTTCCGTTTTCTGAGAATGATTTCAGATTATCATGAATATTTTCCAATGATGATGAATGCGCTAGATGATGACGATGATGAATGAATCCCATATGTAAGAAATTCATTGGAAATTCAAATTTCTTTTCATGAATGATTTTTTTTTTCTCATATGATCTTGATATCATCTCTCATTCTTTTTCTTATTTTCTTCAAAAATATAAATATTTTCATTTTGCGAAATATTTTTCATTCATCTATCTCGGAGTAATGAGGCATTTGCAATGCCCATAACCATCTGTCTCATCTCATGTGATGATTCATCTATCTCAATCTCAGTTTCGATTATGTGTCTATAACAATATCTCGGAATTTTTTTATGTTTGTGTCTATTTGTTTAGAGAATGATATTTGTTGTTGTTTTTTGAAAATCTTCGATATTATCATTGTGTTTTCTAGATCTCTGAACTTTTTGAATTTCGTAATATCAATCTGAATTTTTTTCAATTTCGGTTTTTTTTTATCCTATATCAATCTCCTTCGAGATTCTCACAATTCAAAATTTATTTTTCATAATCTATTTGAATTTCTAGAATATCAATTTCTTCTTCTGGGGACTCTCATAGCTTCCGTGTGAATGTGTTAGTGCTTATTCCGTGTGAATGTGTTAGTGTTTAGGAAATCATTGCACACAAAGCACCGAAATCCATCATACGAGAATTTCTTCATCTGATGATTAAATAGATCTTCTGAAGATAAAATTCGATTTGGTTTGATTCTCAAAATTGTAGAGATGGAAGAATAGGAAGATAAGAAAAAGAGGACTCAAGAGACAGAGAATTATATTTTCATATGAGAAAAGATGGATCTCGATGAATAAGATGGATCTTTCTTTCTTTCTTTCTTTCTTTCCATGCCAGGGCATGGCGTCAAATGTTCAAGGCCCTAAAAGTTCCGTTGCAATCCCATTTTTGTCGCAGTAGTGATCCTCCATGTCAGAACCAACTCAAACTGAAAAACTTAAATAAACATCTATTCATGAGAAATAATAACAAGACGATTTATCTGTTCGTGGTCAACAAGTCGTCTAAATTCAAATCCAACAACAGCATTTTAGTAAAAAAAATAGATCCGTCGATCGTAGTTCTTTGTTTTTGGCAAAAGTAAATCTAGATTTCAAGATTACTTTTTTCTGAATAAACTCAGCTGGGGCCACCAAAATGGTAGCTCCTATGTCAGCAGGATAAGTCTTGAAGTTTGATCATCCCAAAAATAAACCTGTTCTTCAAGATATCAATTGGATTCATACGAAAGTCGAAATTTCAAGTTGTTTCTTTTTTTTTTGGACGCAGCTGGAGCCAGCAGCGTGCTAGCTTTTAGATCATCTGTTTCTCTTTTCATCTCGGATCGTCGATCAGCAGACTTTGCAAGTCGTATTCCAATCTTTCCGCTCGGTCACCACCACGTTGCCGGTTGCGCGGTCGTGTTCCACCGCCCGGGATTGGATCGCCCCGCATGGTGGTAGTGGACCTGGGTGTTGTAGGGGAGGGAAGCAAACGCGCCAGCATGAGAGTGGTGGACCTCGACATTCCAAAAAGGACCACAGCCATGCGAAGTTGAATTATACCTGTTCTGGGAGCCCCCGCACCCGGGAGCCCCCGCCCCTTGGTCGCTTAGGTGTAGACCGTTTTGCCCCGCTGTCGCGTGCAGTCGGTTATTCCGTATCTCCGGCAAGTGGCGATCGGCATCAATGTCCCGCGCGTAGAAGTCGTCGTGGCATCGCCAGCCGCCGCCCCGGTCGTCCCCTGGCCGCCCGGTCCATCCGTTGGCCGTGTAGTGCCGGTTGACCTGGGAATTGAGGGGAGGAAGAACACCGGGACCAGCGTTGTATTTTTGCATTCCATGCCATGCAGCGCCACAGGGAAATAGAGTAGAACTATACCTGTTTGGGGGACCCCCGCCCTGGGGCGCCCCCTCCCGTGCCTCGCCTAGGTGTCCACCGTTTTGCCCCGCCGAAGCGTGCAGCCGGTGAGAGTAGGATGTTTGTGGTCTTGTCGCAATCCTTGATGTCGTGGTGGGCATTGTGTCGCACTGCACTTGTGGTTGGTCGATCCGGGATGCCGGGCCGAAAAAGCGATACCTGTGCGGTTGACGAGAGGGCAGCAACAGCGGAAGGGACAAATTGCGTGATGAATGGAAGATGGATCTCGATGAATAAGATGGATCTCGATGAATCGAGAATCGATCAAGATGAGTCGACGATTCTCAATTAAAATCATGACTCCTTATCGAAGATGGATATAGATATCGACTCGAATATCCATATTCCAATGTATGAAGAGAATGAATCCATCGAGTGTAACTGTGTTCGCCACCTTAGCTCTAGTCACAGTTGACAACGCAAAGAGTTCCGCGAGTACGAACAACGAAGATGAGAAAAGAACGACGAACGAGAAAGAGTTGTTTGTGAACCGAGATCCGTTGCGTGCGTGCAACCGCGTTGTTGAACTTGAACGAGTCACGATTTCAACCTTGAACATAGGAAGAAACAAGGAAGTAAAGAGAAAGACGAACACTCGAGCAGCGTGCTCCCTGCTCACGCATTTACGTCGTGAAGCAGATGTGATTTGAGATCCCTCGCTCTCGTAGCTTGTTCCAAGTTTCTCGCTCAAGATAGTTTTAACCCGTTCCTTCTCTCTTGTGGTGATCGCACAACTCTCCTGACATCAGTCAGTGTGCAGTTGGCCGTAGTCCTACATTGGTGAATCAAGCCGGGAACCAACATCTTCGATGGCAACGACGAAGAACAACTAGACAACTAAATACGAAAAAAACGGCGTCCTCCACGTCCCCACCACCACCCGGGAGGAACTGCTATGAAGCCAGGGGATTTCACAACTAAAAACAACTAAAAAAAAACAACCAAAAACGCCGGCTCAACAAGGAAACAAAATTTTCGCGTCGCTTGGACCGTGCAACTAAGCTCCTTCGCAACCTCTACCACACGCGAGATTGGTGCGAGCGGCTAGCGAAAGCTGCGGGAGCACTGACCGTTGGTTCGTAATGGTAGATGTGGCGCGACAACATCACCAATGGATTCGATGAGGTGATTTATTTCGCTCCAGAATTCAACGAGTCAATATACGCTGACGACCAGATACATTTTAAGGGTCGGGCGCGTTGGTTTAGTCCAAAACTAGAGCGCAAGCGCTCAAACGTACACCAACGATATCAGCAGGTCCAGCTATTCCGCAATTATTATTTGTGGCGGCGCCAGAACTTGTATGAGCAGGTGCTAGAGGAGAACCGCCGGGGCCGCTATCGGTTCACAACCGAAAAGGAATTAGACCACACAGTGTGGCAGCTGTACTTGCTAACCCACCAGCTACGGGTCCTGCAAGAGTACATCTCCACGGAACTGTACGAAGAACGCAAAAGCAGGACGGCGAACCGCAGATATCCCAATTTTTGCGAGCCGGTTCGGCCTGGCGGATATTTGGTGGGAAAATATTCCTTGGACACGGCGAACGAACAACACCCGTCCAGCAGGTGGAAAATTCTCAGCAACAAGGCGCGGAAGCTCCAGGAACCAGGAAACCCAGTATCCTTCGGGCCGCCGGTCACTGTGTACCGTCGCACCGACCGCTCCCGCTGCCGGAGAACAACTCTCGAGTCCGAATATAAAAGGTGGCTATTTTTGTCCGCTGCGCGTGCGCTCGCGGCAAAATATCTGACTTCAAGCCACGAGCTGCACATCCTGCAATTGCTCCTGGAACAGGAAGACCATCTTCTTTACGCTGCAAGAAACATAATCGAGCAACAACTGCCTGCTTATTCCCGAGTACAGGAAAAATTGCTATTGCGGTGGGCCGGTGACAACTACTAGATGTCCATCGCGCAAAAACAACTACACTCCTTTTGCTTGCACACCCCCTCGCATTAATTACAATTCTTATCGTTATTTCGTTTGCTCTCTTTCACGGGCCGTCCCGGACAGCAACTATACGAAATATGGATGAGGAGATCTAGACGATTGCAAGCAGAATACAGCTGGACCGACCGGGCAGCACGAGCCGGAATCAACGAAGGGTTTTTCGAGCCGTTCACGAACTCGGTGGAAAATTTAGCACGGCTGCCTTGGGATACGCCGGAAGTAGAACTGGAAGATTTTATCTGCACAGTCTACGCGCCGAAGGAGAAATCGAACGAATACTGGAGCACAGACGACCTCTTCTTCGCGTTCGAGCGTGTAGCCAGGTACTACATCGGCCCGAACTGGAATTCGGCATCAACAGTACTAAGAGTAACAGGAATCAGGTACCAGAGCATCGACGTTACGGCGCAGCGGGAAACGATTCCCCACCCGCACTACCAGGTCAAAGTCAACAGACGGACTGCGGGCTGGCAGCATCTCAAGTGCGGGTGGCATTTGTGGCCGATCATCCTCTTCGCACGGGAACCGGTCTACATCCGATTGCTGCGCCGGCGCACGAAGCCGCAAATTTGGTTTGGATTTTCAACAGAGCAAACCAAAATCGCGCATGCTAAACAAATTATTAGACGCCTCTATCGAGAAGTAGAAATCGCGGAGCAATACAACCACCATTTTTTGTTCTTGCAACGTCGATTTGCAAAACATCTCGAAGACGCATTGCTACAGGGAGAACCGGATCAGCCAGAAGCAGAACCGGCTACGCCCCGGCGAAGAAGAAATAAGAGAAAACAAAGACAGCCAAGGCTTCCGACGCTTCCGCGCTTCTTCGACGCCACGCTGGTCAGCGACTGAAAAGATGGCGGACGACGACAACGAAATGCGAGATTTTTCCTCCATCTCGGACGTATCGATGGGAGGAAATCCGACTACCACGCATACAGAGGAACTATTTGCAACTCCGTCAGAGCGCGCAAATTCCTTCGTCAGGACCGACTCGGTAACAGTAGAGAATGCCGAAGGACAACGAGTAACAGCTACGAGAACTGCCGCAGCGATGGAAGCATCCAGCGCCAGCCGCATGCTGGGTCGCAGCAACACAACGCGGTATGCGAGCGGCGTCGTAGGAAGGCGAAACATCCGCGGAGTTTCCTTGTCGCCGGACCAGAGGAGAGCACTGTCCGTTGTGAATAAGTGCAATCTGGAGGTCCAAATGTTAGCGGATAAAATCCAGACGCAATCGGCGGAGCTACACGAATTAAAACAGTCACTGTTCAGCAAATTCAACGACGATTCGAATGCGCTAGAACAGAGAATGCAAATCGGCAGCGACTCGCTGAGCAAGAAGCTGCAGGAGGCAGACGAGCGGTTCCGCGCGCATGAGAACAAGGCGCAACAAGAGACGATGGACTTGAACAAGAAAATCGACTTGCTGGTGGATACCGCGAAAAAGCAGATCGGAAACGAGCTGCAGAACACCGACGAAGAGCTTCACAACTACCTCGACACTCTGCAGTCGCAATTTGCCGAGTTGCAAACCGCAGTGGCCGACGTGAAAGATGCCGACCGCCACAAAGAGTTCGAAGCGAAGCTGGAAGCTGTGAAAAAGCAGCTCGAGGACACCGCGCTTATCCGCTCCGAAGTGGAGGAGCTGAAAACGAAGCAGCAATCCCACCTGTCGCAGCAAGAAGAATTCGAAAATAAAATGACGAAGCAGCTGTCAGAGCACAAAGAAGCGACGTCGGCGGATAGTGTGGAAATGCGTTCTTTGTCCGAGAAGCGCAGCAACGAGTTGCAGACAGCGATCGACGCAAAGCTGCTGGAGCACAAGGAGGTGAATTCAGCAGAAAATGCGACGACGCGCGAGCTAGTAGCGCGCAGCGACGCGCAACTACGCGAAAAAATCACCTTCGTGTCGGATGCGCACACAGCGACGCAAGCTTTGTGTGTTGGAACGACAAACAGTTTACAGCAGGTGAACGCGAAACTGACCGACACAGTGAATGACGTTGACGAGCTACGTCGCGACTTCGAGCAGCACAAAGAAGAGCAGGAGCAGAAATTCGACGAAGTGTACGAATGGTACGAGTCAGCGCTCGACGAGAAGAAATACGAAATTATCGACACGATGCGCACTCGACTGGACAACTTTGCTTCTGCGTGCAGCGAGGAAACCAATACAAAAATCACGGAGCTCGCGCAAATATCAAAACCACCGCAAAATAATCATACCGAGTATTTTGACCTGTCTCCGCGGAGCAGTGAAGTGATGGAACAGTCAGTCTTCCTTCCGCCGCAGGAGAAAGCGGCGCAGCCGCGCTGGACAGCAAGCGACTAGAGCGGCTTCTTGCTGGAAAGCGAAAGTGGTGATGGTAGAAAGCCGCCGCCGAAAAAAGTCAACTTCGGTCAGCAGGAGCTGCACAGCATCCCGAACAGTAGGACCAGAGCGCTGCCCGGGATGTCGCCGCTGCCTTCGGAACGCGGATCTACGGCTGCTTCGCAAATCTCTTATCCACCGATCCAGCAACAAACAGCGAAAGCGAACTCTATCGACGACATCGAGGAACGTTTTGATACTGTTCTGCATCACAATATTGCGTCGAACGCTCTCGAAGGTTCGGAGACAACGAAAAAGCTAGTACAAAAAGAGTTCAACACGGTTGCTCCGGGCCTCGCACCGGCACTGCGGAATATCCTCGAATCGCAAGAGCAGGTCTGCGGCTACGCACCGAAAATCGACGCCCTCTACACCGCGGAGAACGCGGAAACGGGAAATAGGCAGATCTTCGTCGAATTTGTAATGCCGGTTCCGGAGGAGGAAGTACTCGACCCGGAGCAGACCGCCCGCTGGTATCGGAGAGTAAAGCGAGAAGCCGCACGCTGGTGCGGGCTTCAAGCAGCAACAATAAAAAAACTCGTCATTTATGCAGGCTCTCTGCGTGTGCAAGCGCTGATCGAGCCAGCAGCAGTAAAAGCGGAGGAGAAAAAGCGCTCTTCTAGCAGCGACCGCGGGAATGACGATAAGGAGAAACTGGAGGACATTGCGATGTGCGCCTCGGTGCACGATCCGGATCCGCGTCGGGCAGCGCAGCAGGATTTGGCGAGGCTTGACGAGGCGATCCACTTGCCCAACCGCAATTTCAAGAAGATTTATACGACGCTAGGACGCAGCAACATGAAATCGCTGGCGAATACCTCCAAGCAGATGTTCGAACAGGTCAAGAATTCTATGTCGCTACTGCAATCGAAATTCCAATACTATAGTGAAAGCAACATCCTCCCAGCAGACCGCGAGTACCCGGACGACGTCCAGAAGCTAGTGGTGCCGGGAAAACTAGAATACGACTACGAAGAAGTGATCAAAGCTTTCCGCTTGATGGTGGCGGACGCTTTCAACCTCAAGGGCGACACGCTATCGTCGGTGGAAATCGCGGAGGAAACGCTGCTGCAGACCAAGCTCGCGTCTTCCAACCCGCCTGCAGTTATCCAGTTCACAACAGATATTTTGCAGAATTTGCAGTCGTGCAAGATCATGCGGGAGATGAAAAAAGGCCTGAAACCGATCGACAAAAACACGAAGCAAAACGAGGACGCGATTATTTCTCAATGCGTTACAGCTTTTGAAAAACAACTTCCGCGTCCTTATGTGCAAGAATTTTACAGCACGTCGCGTGCGGCAGCGGTGCAAGAAGGCGACCGCACTCTCGCGCAGTTCTGCGATGCGATCAAGTTTCGAGCGCAAGATGAGCAGACGCAA